ATCTGTCCTTAATAATTGTGGTAAAAATGAAATTCTTCCCAGGTGTGAAAGAGTCTGTCGTTACTGTACTTCAAGTCCAATTGAGGAAGAAATACATTTTTTTTTTTTTTGCTAGAATGCCCACTGTATAATTATTCCAGAGGATAGTTTTTAAATAAAAATCTTTAAAACATTTCCAAATTTAATACTGCTTAATAATGTTGACCTGTTTACATGGATTATGTCAAATGAAGATTCTGAGTTTGTTGTTTTATTATGCCATTATTTAAATGAAAATCTTAACATGAGAAAACAACATAGTACAATATAGGCATATTACAGTCATTATTCATATACTATTTGTATACATTTCATGCATCATAAAAGTTGTCAATTAACTCTCTGTTCATTATGTAATTGTTTTTTGTTCTGTTTATTGTTATTTATGACTATGATTTCGGACATTGTTCATCTTTATGATCCTCTGTGGGCCCAAATTGTTTGAATAAATATTCCGTTCTATTCTATAGCAAAATACTATACCCCTGGCCCCCCGCGCTCTTCTGACCTGGCTTCACATTGCTTTTCCGCGATTGATTTATTTTAGTTATGTATATTGAGCTCTTCTCGGTTGTGAGTAGTATCTCACAGTGTGATAAAAATTGAATGAATTTTGCCTTTTACACTGGTGGGTGGTACTTTTTAGACATTAAGGAAATCGTTCATACAGAGACAAATCTATATGAAGTTTGCAGTGAAATGTGAAAATATGTATATTTGTTCTGTGCATCTTTTAATATTTAGACTAGAGGATTTTTTTTCATCATTGTTTTATCCAGTGCTAATGTTTTTAAATCATTGTTCTCCTCCGGTGTTTTACAAGACTTTTCCTGATTCAAATCCTACCTCCGCGTGGAAAGCATTGGGCAACAGGTTTTACCTGGCTAACGGAAGAGGTAAATGTTAAAATAAGTCGCGGAAAGCAATAGATATCATCGCGAAAAAGCAGTACTTGTCGCGGAAAAGCAGTGTCAAATTGCAAAAAAGTGAAACTACGCTGACGAGCTTACCTGACACTACTGGTGCGAACGGATAATCACCAGGTAACTGAGCATTTCCTTCAGATCCGCCCACAAGTTCACAGTGATCAGCTCCGGAGCCTGATCCATCAGCAATGTTTAGAAATGTATCTGTTATGTTCTGACCTCCAAATATTTTGTATCTAAAATTCACATAAGCAGTGAAATCAAATGAAAAATACTGCGATGAAGCAGACTCCACTTAAACAATTTATACATAATACTTATTTTTAATCTTTCAATATAAGGTCATACGCAACATACATGTACTTTTCAATGTACCTCTCCCATCAATAGTTTTCCAAGATAGTCTTAGTTTAGAATCGTGAAAATTTGATTCAGAGGAGATATAGGCTTACAGCATTATCAGGCATGTTAAAATCGCATAAAGATCAATCTATTATTGGAACTTCTTAAATTATACAGGAAATAAGAAAACTAGTTCAAAACTACGTTGCGTGTGTCCTTTTATATGTCATAGAAAAAATATATACGTAATAGCATTTTAGCTCACCTAAGCTGAAAGCTCAAGTGAGCTTTTCTGATCACCCGTTTTCCGTCGTCCGTCCGTCCAGCTGTCCGTCTGTGAGTCCGTCCGTCCGTCTGTAAACTTTTCACATTTTCAACTTTTTCTCAAGAACCACTGGGCCAATTTTAACCAAACTTGGTACAAAGCATTCTTAGGTAAAGGGGAGTTTAAATTATTAAAATGAAGGGCCAAGCCCCCTTCCAATGGGAGATAATCAAGAAAAGACAAAAATCGGGTGGGGTCATTAAAAAATCTTCGCAGCTATGTTAAGGCTTCCCGAAGCTTTAAAATGCGCTCAAAACATACTATGTCATTGCGAGGTCGTTTTTGGTTTTAATTTATAAGTATTGAACTTAAGTACTTCCAATTTATATAGAGGGTTTCCTCGGCTATATATTAACATATTTGTTATGATATCACATGACTTTGCAGATCACGTGACGGTCATTTATAATTTTTTGAAGTGTTTCATATAAATCGCTTCGGCGCAGCTGATTACCACAATAATTATTAACATTTTGTTATGTAAGTAAACTCATCGTATCCTTGTGTATCCGAAATGTGCTTGGGAAAAGTCATAGTATTACTTAGATACAAAATATTTCCTGAGAAATTTAACTTACCTACAAATTTGAGGGTATTTTCCACACAATATCGTAATTTGTATTAAAACAAAGCCAACATACATTTTTCCCAAGCAAGATTCAGTTAGAGAACAACCTCTTCTTAAAGATTTCCACAAAAATTCTCAGATTAATCCTCATTAATCACCTGCGCCAGACTCTTTTATACACGCAAAATAAATTCTACCTTCAATCACGGGTATAAAACAGAGTACATTTCAAAAGTATATTTTTCATAAGCATTTTATACATGCTGAATTTCAATCAAGGGTAGGTAAGCGGTGTATTTTTAAAATATTCGGACATATACGACTTAAAAAACCTTTACCGACCCGTGAATTATGCAATAGCTATCTAGCATTTTACATGCAGTTTGAAATAAAGTGTAAAGTTCATGACACTCTCCCCGTCATAACACCTCAAGTTTGCAGTGACTTGACGTCATTTTCCATTATGACGTCATATTTTGGTAGTTCAGAGATGTGAAGGCACAGAGTGCACTGTGATATTCTACGGGAAGCCTTAACCTACCTGCGTTCCTCTCAAGAACCACTGGGCCAGAAAAGCTGAAACTTATGTGGAAGCATTCTGGGTAGTGTAAATTCTAAATTGTTCAAATCATGATCCCCGGGGGTAGGGCGGGGCCACAATAGGGAATCTAAGTTTTACATTGTAATATGTAGTAAAAATCTTTAAAAATATTCTTCTCAAGAACCACTGGGCCAGAGAAACTGAAACTTAAGTGAAAGCATCCTGGGGTAGTGTAGATTTTAAATTGATTGAATCATGACCCCTGGGAGTAGGGCGGGACCACAATAGGGAATCCAAGTTTTACATTATTTTCATTGAAATATGTAGCAAAAATCTTTAAAAATCTTCTACTCAAGAACCACTGGGCCAGAAAAGCCGAAACTTAAGTTGAAGCATCCTGGGGTAGTGTAGATCTTAATTGTTCAAATCATGACCCCTGGGGGTAGGGCGGGGCCACAATAAGTACTACAAGGGGGGAAATCAGATGAAAAACAGCAAGGCCAAAGTTACTCAGGTGAGCGTCGTAGCCCATGGGCCTCTTGTATATTTTTGCATTGGGTATATTAAAGTATCAGTAGGTTGGAAGAATTCTTAGAATTACTTTCGCTCTCAATGCAACAGAACCAGATTTTATCCATTTTAAAATAAATCAGTACAAAAAAAAATGACAAAACATTAAAAAATTATTAAAGGTCCTTGCGAGGATCGAACCAAAAAAAATTTCGACTCCATTTCACGGGACGGGTAACGCATACTACTTAGCTATCATCGCTACATATACAACTTGGATATTAAAACGACAATGAAGCACCGCATTTACACATTGGAATTTTTTTTTTTTTTTTTGGAAAAGGTTAATTTTTTATGGTCTCTGTGTCTTCTCTCCTTTTTTTTTTTTTTTTTTTTTTTTTTTTTTTTTTTTTTTTTTTTTTTTTTAAAAAAATGATTATTTGTTTCTTTGAACTAGAATGCATACAAATAACGTTTGAAAAGCATGGAAAGATGACCCAGAGATAGCAATTTTTTAGAAAAACGTGTTTTAAAATGTGACATTTTGTACCAAATGAATCATCTCGCCTATTATTTTATAGGAAATCAAGTTATTTTATTAGTTATTTTATAGGAAATCAAAACACAATATCGGGAAAATATTTCCCTTCTATTTTACAGGAACTCGATACATCAAAAGAATGCTGTGACAACAATGAAATTTTCACTTTTCAAGTGCGCCCAGATTCCTGCCGAATGCCAATTAAAAGCGCCCTCGTTCTTTGAGTCGGGCCGTTTTTAATCAGTCGAGAGAGAGGACAATCAAACATTTTTTTTTCAGATGGCTTTGGTAGCAATTTTCTTTTCTAGCGCAACATAAATACACATGCTTTTCTTTATTCAAATATCTTGATACAAATAAATGACAAATACGCAATTCTTATTGAAACAGTATGCATGTGAAAAAAAATATTTTCTAAGCATTTTTACAAGACGGTTGTTGAAAAAATTCATTGAACATTGATCTATCATGAACGTTTTGTGTATTTATTAGAACTATATTGTAATAATAGGTTTGTAAAGAAACGACAAATAATATAATTAAACTTTACTGATACTGATATTTGAATCATTTGTTTTTACTTTACAATAATAGGGCAAACAGTAATATGTTGGCAGTATAACTATAACGTTACTGACCTGGTACTATTGCACAGCATCACCGCGACATAAGGCAGGGAGATATATGCTGTTTTTCTGATGTATGTTATTCCTCCGGAACAATTATTCCAAGAATTGTCCACGGAAACGTTGTATTGATACCAACAGGACGAGGATATATTAAAACAATCGGGAATGTCTTGACAAGAAAAAAAAAACTTTCAATGATACATTAGTTTTTTGTGCATAAACACAGAATGGATAAACTACAACTAATCAAATCAAATTTCATTACAAAGAATTATCTAATATAAAGAAGAAAAGCGATGGAAAGTAAAAGCAAGAAACATCAATGTACAGGAAAAACTTACTGGAAAATTGATATGAAAATATATTTTTTTAAAGATAAACAAATGCTTTTCACAGAGAAAAAAATATTGCACCGTCAAATGGCATCGGTTTTTAGTACTTCCTACCAAATATTTATTGAAATACCAACACCACCTAGAAACCATGTATTACAACGGAATACATGATGTGGTTAGCTCAGTAACTTTTAATGAAATCTAATTCTAAGTTAACACTTTATTATTCTTTCCTTTTCCCTGTTTAATTACCTCGAGGTATGGAGGATTTGCAAAGTTCCAACTGGGATGTCCATGTTCCATTGGGGAGACAAGTAGAAGTCAGGGACACATGTGTGTCTGGGAATTTAGTGCAGTGATAGTTCAGAACTGTCCCTACAGTGGTGGAGGTGACAACTACAGAAGTATTACCCCTGTCTGGATGAAGGCGAGGACAATCTATCAAATACATATAAATAAGTGTACCATCATCCTCTGTTAACTTTTTTTTAACCATAAACAGAAATATGTTATCATCATTGTTATTGATTATCAAACCTGACTTGACACAGGCTGGACCTGAAACTGTTTCCACACATTTACTTTCGGAAAAACATGATTCATTGCAGTCCTCAAAGTCTGTCTGAAAAAAAGTGTTTAATGCTAGAAATTTACGTTAACTCTATATACAAGAGTGACGAATCAATTTACATGTACTTCGAACCAATCGTAACTTACTGTGTAACATGAATTTTAACCTATCAGAACAGGTGATATGTCATTATATATGTTATTAATATGTTATTATTTCCAATCTATTGGTTTTCAACTTTCAAATTAAGCATGCAAAAATTGTATTTAAAAAAAACCAAACAAACAAACTAGTATATAGGGTTTAGTAGTCTAGTTGTAGTGTTAGTTATTTTTTTATTTTCAATGTCTTTTGTTTTTATGACTTTCTAATCTTTTCGACAGGGCATCTCAAACATTTGACAATTCTATTGTTCTTGTCATGGATATATATATATATATATATATATATATATATATATATATATATATATATATATATATATATATATATATATATATATATATATGTGTGTGTGTGTGTGTGTGTGTGTGTGTGTGTGTGTTATATAGGGGGTTTGTTTTCTCTTTGTCAGAGTGAGAATCTCTTTGAGTGGACCTATCTCCCGACAATGAAACTGAAATTCTGGGTCTATCCCTGACACGTTTATGTAAAGGTTATAGGCCGAAAACGAAGCTAGTGCATCACACATCTAAAATTTTGTAGAATTATTCTGAAATTCACGTTTGAATTCTGCATATATAACATATCGTCTCGGAACATCCTACCAAGAATACTATATAATAACAAACTATAATTAACCACACTTGACTATGGTAAATAAAAATTTTATTATCGAAAATCAAAGTATAGAAGATTTTACTATACAGTAAATCAAAGTGCTTACAACTATCATTTTTCATTGTGATAATATGTCCTCTCTCAAATTAAGAATTTGTTCAATTTAAAGAACAAGTCTCAATAAGGCTTATCTGTGGTCCCCGGTTACTCGTCAAATTTCGAACATTTATTAAAATGTTTAAAAATTAAATTTTATTATTAATTAATGTCTTTATTATTTGATTCATCATCTAAAAATGTCAAACAATAGATATAGGCAGCATACGAAGCTGCGCGTTGAAGGTAGGGTCCTTTGATTTTCATGAATATCAAAAGAAATCAGTGACATATACACACTTCAAAGCTTTCGTACACACCGAGCACAGGTTTGTTCAGAGTCGAGTTTGAAATATAATGTGTGTATTATATGTTTAAAGGTTGAGTGAAAATATCTTTGTTGAACAACCTTGTGCTCTATGTTTTCTAATTAAAAGTATTGTGATTTTGAATCTCTTCGCTGACTTCATTTACATGCGATTAACCTCTTTATGACCTGTTTAGAATCATAACAAGCCACGTGGTTTTGTATCGTTACAGGTAAATGCCCCCAGTGAACGTGCTAGTTCTCAGTTGAAACGTACTCAGTTTTATATCGATCAGCATGGACTTGTTTGGTTCATTTTGTTATAGCTTTTATTCCCAAAGTTTTGTAAATAGAAAATTGTATTTGTAATTGATTGTGAATCTTGAACATATAATTCGTTCTTTGAAAGAAAAATATTATACCAAGATCTTCTTTTTATAGTATCTAATATAAATGTCTCCGCCCATTTCCATGTAATAGAGAAACCGTGGTCTGATCGGGGGAAAATGTTCCGGCATTTTTTAGTGCGATAGGTGTTAAAAATAGGCTTGTATTTTCTGATATGTTTAATTATTCATTATAAATACACAATGTTTTAATTAGAAATACTTCGTTGTACACAATGAAAACAAACAAAATACCGTATGCTAATATTTAACCGGTAAACCAAGGGTGGAAAAAGGGACCACACTACTATACTTAAGTAGAATACTCCTTTGTACATATATTTGAAAATTGGGAGAGGTCATTACAAAGATCCATAATATTCACCTCCAGCACCATCTTACTTGTCAAGGGTTTCTGGAGCAAAGGAATACTAGTACATTGAAACACAGTATTACTAAGGTAAACTTAGTACATGTTTGTATATAGTTTACCAATCTTTTTTTTTTTCTTTTCTTTTCTTATGCAGTTTTAATCGTAATTAGCTATTGATGGTAGATAATTTGAATCCGAACAACGGTCTTTCCACGTCATTTTGTCTGAATAAATCGCTTCCAATACTTTTGAAAGATATATCAGAGACTTTAACCACTTTCTTTTCTGTTAAAACAAAAGCAGAGAATATCTTCAAAATACACATGCTGTACATAGTGCACATATTTCAAATCAGATGCTTAGAATAAATGCCACGTGAGCGGGGTGTTTGGTACAGCACACTACATTTACTGTATGACGAGTAATTTTCGCCCCTGTACATGTTTTATTTTTGGCTCCTTTTGCCTTCTCGCAAGTAGGCGAATTTAAAACGGAACAAATTAAAAGAAAACAGTTTTCACCATTTAAGATTTAAATTTAAAAACGTGACAAACTCTTTTACAAACTTAAATAGGGAAAATAGCCCTGTATACTGTAGTATCCAGACTTCACACAATCATTTATATTAGGCGTTACGAATTCTTTCGGGAAATTAAGCAACGTACTCTCCTATTCGCTCCTTAATAAATACGAAATAAATCTTATTTTGATCTCATTTTGTTATCAGTTACCTTTGGTGCTTTTGCCTTCTCAACATAAACATATTCCGGGTCATGGACTAAATCTGAAGAATGTAATTCGCCATTAGATGAGGAAAGTTCACATTCTAATTGCGTCCGGTAGAAATTCAAGGACGCACAAATAGATCTAGCCCAGCACTCTTTCAGACACATCTGCAACCCGATTGGCGATATTTTATCTATGACGTGTCCAGTTAACCGAGTGTTCGGAGTGGTCAAATTCGAAATGCAGATGACAATTCTACAAAAAGAAAAACAGAAAACTGTGTCCATTAAAACTGCTTTTGTTGAGAAGAAAAGCATCGTTAGACTCACAAGGTGCTTAACAAAATATTCAATCGACGGAAAATTGATTTGTTTCAGGAAAGGATGACAATTTAAAATTAATGCGTTTTTATCAGTTTTCATGGCAGGATGTATATGGTGGTAGAAAGTTTTTAAAAATTCATTCTTATAACTGTTTTGGGGATTGATTATTTGCAGCGCGAATCAATAAATATACATCCCATAAAAAATTATTTTGCTTTAGCAATATCCCTTCAAATGCTGCATGTGTTATTTTCAAAGTTATGCATATATATTAGACCATTTGATTGCATTTATACGTCTTTATTTGTACATTTCATTAATCTTTTGATGAAAGTATCACGCAGTGGTTTATTATTACTTTCACAAACAGTTTTACACTGAAGGTGTAAATATTGAGTTTATATATTTCATTTTCAACATAAGGTACTTGTCAAAAGCATCACTATTCAGAACCCTTGTTGTTTGTGCAAATGAGGAACATTTATGCAAATAAATATTCAATTAATTTATCTTGACCAACATGAACTATTCAAAAAAATGCTTGAATTATTGATTGAAAACTATCATAAAAATTACATCTTTTGGTTGGAAAATCCGTCAGACTGATTACATTTCCCTTTACCAGTATCCAGTGAAAACACTCTTGGAAAACACAACCCACTTACAAAACAACAACAACAAATTCTAAGACTTAACGTTGCAAAAACAGCTTTATACCATGGTGTGACAACAAAGTAAACGAACATTAAAAGTCAGTGATAGTGTGCAATAACTTTTTATTACTGTATATTATTTTTTTAAATTCATTATTATAACTGATACATATTTTCAAATTTTAGTGCGAATAATTTTATGCTTCTCTTAGGTAATATTTTAATTATTTATGAATTATTGATCCACAAAGATTTTAATTTTTTTTATGTGAACTGTAATTATGCACTTCCAACTGTCTAGTTGCTTCGAATTCAAGACTTAGTTCAATTTATTCTTTCAAACCACTTAGTGGTATATGAGGTTCTAAGTACATTATACATGTATACAAAGACAATATACTAAAGATACACGTGAAATAGCGGGAATACATACAAATTAGGTAAACAAAAATAATTATGGAGGACAGATTTGTTCATATACTTTAGATAAATATGTAATTACACAATTTAATCATTAAATGACAATAATTCTGAAAATTTGATCTATTACAATTTTATTTTGGTAGATGCCTTTTTCGGCATTCCATTATGAAAAAAATTGACATTCTAGAATTCAGTGATACTCATCTGCTATTTGTCTTTTATTACAGATATATCAAAGTTTATCATTTGGGGATATATATATATATATATATATATATATATATATATATATATATATATATATATATATATATATATATATATAGATAGATAGATAGATAGATAGATAGATAGATAGATAATTAGATAGATAGATAGATAGATAGATAGATAGATATACTGAAAGGAAAAAGAAACGCAGGGTAAACTTTTTAGTTAAAATAAGGTTATATATTTCAGATTTATTTTCCAGTTATCCTATCTAACATTTAAAATCATTTTTAATAAAAATGTAACCAAAATCTCACTTGATTTTCCCCAGTAGTTCATGAGTTATTGAAACTCATATGACGGTACCCCCCAAAAGTGAAAAATGAAAATTCTCAATATTTCACGTCTCCCTCGCGCATCTGTCACAGCCTTGATTCTCCTATGCATGGAGTTCATCAGTGTGTTTATCCTTCTAATAGAGATATTATTCAACCCTTCCGAGAAGGCAGCCATTAGTTGATTGAGACCAGCTTTGACATTTTAAACCCTATCGTCCACGTAGTCCCACAGACGTTTGATGCAAAAAATAGGGACTTGACAAGAGACCAGTCAAGTCGATAAATGTGTTCGCGAGAAAATCTTGACAAACCCTGGCAGCATTTGGAGGGGGGTTAACATGCCCAAAAAAAATAAGCAAACGATGCACGCATGCGCGAGTTAGAGGAACACTTACGTAAAGTTGACGAGCTCACAAACCAAAATCGCGCTATCGATTTCCTTCAGTTTTGGGGTGAATGTAATAATTATGATAGCCTGCTGTATTAACAGCAGTTTTAGAGTAATGAATAGCCCAATCTTTACGTGGCGCTGTTACGCGACAACGTCATCGTCACGGTTGGTTGTAAACCTTTCTACGCCCTCTCTGAGGACGGATAAAACGTTCTATTGTGGAAAAATTCACAACAAACTGCACAGAAATCTGTCGTTGCCTTTGTCCTTACTTAGGCAATGCAATAGCCAGACCCCATGGTACTACGGTATCGTCAACCATACCTTGATTTCAAATCGACTGTTAATATCGAAAACGGTGTTAAGTGCAGCAAATGGTACTACGAGAAGAGTTGAAAAACATGTCGTCATCGATATGCACGTGTTTTCGGCTTTTTACCACTTTCCTTATGTGACGTCATACATTTCACGGTTGAGTAGTTCTGAAGACTGATTTTAATGTACAGTAACCAAGATATCCCTCCCTCTACGAAAGCTACGAAGCCCAGAAGGCTCATTCGAGTTTCGAAATACGAGAGCCTTCTGGGCTTTCGTATCCCTCTGACCAATTTTCATAATTTTCGGTTATAGTAAAAAAATGTCGCATATTATGTTACCCTGCATTTTTTTCCTTTCAGTACATATATATATATATATATATATATATATATATATATATATATATATATATATATATATATATATATATATATATATATATATATATATATATATACAGTACAGGCCACGAGTTTTCCCCGTCGCACGGTGGAAAACACACCGTATGAAATGCTCTGTGTTACACCGTGTACACGGTGTAGCACGGTGTGTGTGGATTTGAAATACACAGGTAGGCACACCGTGCCGCACCGTGTCTAGAAAAATCCCTGCTAATGCACCCCGTGTCGCACCGTGCCCAAAAAATTCCCTCCGTGCCGAACCGTGTCCATAACATTACAGAGAAAAATAATTTTGTTCTGATAAAATATTTTAAGATTTTAAAACAATTAGCACATTGATTTATATGTAGTGTATAATTATCGTTTTCTAATCTAGAAGACATTAGAGTTCTGAATTGTACTAATGATACATGTAACAGGATTAAATATCAGTAACAGAAAAATTAAATGGAGTTCAATTTACCGTTCGCCCAGAAGTTCATATTTTGTAAAGTTGTTTAGTTACTTTTTAAAATTATTACTTGGATTGAAATTTTTAATGTCTGAAGAATTTAATCCCACGTAATCACGCAACGAAGAAATGGCATGATCAGTGTTACATGTGGTATACGATCCGAGCTGCATGTATTTGTTTTAGTGTACAAACCAAGCATTTATATTCTTGTGTAGTGCACATTTATTTTGTAAATCTTATATTATTCTGAATTTATAAGCGAGAATCGAGAGCAAAATTCCTGTGTACAATAATGTGCGTATTTTTCGTAACAGAATAAATTCTTTACATAAACTAGTAAGTATAAATTCTGTTTTAAAAATCCTTTCAGTGTAACAATTTAATATGTTTTTTCCTTAATTATGTAAAGAAACAATGTCAGAGAGATAAAGGAGAGAGAGAGAGAGATGCTCTTAACCCCCTTTCATTTCACATAAGTCTGAAGAAAAAAAAATCATTTAATTCTTCGTTTAATAATGCCAACGCGTATTTCTCGTAACCGACGTTTTTTTTTCTTTTTATAAACTAGTATTTATGTTTTAAAACCCTTTCAGAGTAAGTATTTTATATTAAGTTTTTCTTTAATTGAAAAGTGTGTAAAAAAAAAATCAGAGAGAGAGAACGAGAGAGAGATTCTTTTAACCCCCTTTCACATAAATCTGTTAAAAAAAAATAATAATAATATTAATTCTTCGTTTTATTTACATTACCAAAGTCACAATTAACCATTCTATAATACTATTTAAATTCTGCAACATTGTTTCATAGTCAACCCAGTTGCAACATGTTGTTCTTGGTTACACACGAAATCCTCGTGCTACACCTGTCAATCAAAATCGCACGACGCTAGATGGCTCAGAAAGTCTGTTTACACGAAAGTCTTGTGATTTGAAACATTCTTATGGTTAGTTCCGAGTTCACACCTTTCTTAAAAATATATTGGGACAGAGCCGGAGGGCCGGGGGCGCTGTGTGTTTATCACACCTTTCGTCTTTGACCACATCAAGTGTATAACACACTCAACTGACTTTCAGCGAAATTCATCTACCGAGTTACGCCACCACACGTGTACTTTGGCTTGATTACAAACTTACTTTGTAAATTATTCCTTTTCAGACACATATAAACATGTAACCTGTTAGATTATGGTTGTTTTATTTCAAAATAACGTAACATAAAAAAAAAATCTTCAGACTCTCGATTAATTTAGAAGGGGGGGGGGGGTAACAAACGTAATAGCTTGAAAGAGGCCAGGGATTTTACTACATGTAACTACATATTTTTTTTCTCTAAAACCATGATAATAACTTTACAAAGACTTTGATCATAAGAGAAGCTTTTAAATTATTCTATGCATGTACATCCCCGAACTACATTCGCTACATGTAATTGATTTTTTTTTTTTCGCAAGCCGTTCGACACATTTTTCATTAAATAATTTCAGGATAAGGTAATATATGTACAGTATACCAAAACTCGACTTTTTTGTGTGTGATATATATTTTCCTCCATATTTTACAACATTACAGACTGCAATAATCCTTAAATTATCAGAGAGTTTATGAATTATGTGCGTGTATCTGACACGTTTTAAATTTTATTTTAGGTATTTTTTTTTTAAAAATTCTCTTTATGTAGAAATGATTTATAAAATAAAATATGCATCTGATAAATACGACATATGAATGCATACGTGCCGAAAAAAAAAATAGATGAAAATGACTGTAATTAAAATGAACACAGCTATAATCGAAAGAAAAGACAACCAGGTAATTTATTTACGAAAGTGTAATCACTATTCCTTCTAAGCGTTATAATAGTTTATCGAACATATTTTTTCTCTCGTATAACTAGGTTTTGAAACACGACTTACATGGATGTGTGTACACATTTGAAGACTTTGCCTTTTCGGTGCTGGGCACGAGCACGTGGATCTTAGATTTTAGGACATCTTATTTGTTCAAACATCTGTATATCGATAATGAGGAACTAATATTTAAGAAAAAAAGTAAAAAAAAAATTATTTCAAAGGAAATTGATATAATTGATTAAACAACGACAATGAATACTTTTTTTTAAAGTTCTGCGTGATATCGTAATGGGACACTGTGATACACCGCGCGTACACACCGTGTTACACGGTGCGCAGCCATCCTAACTTCAAAGACGCCGACATTGATCGAGGTCCACGCAAAAGCGTGGACTTGCGGTCCACGGGGCCCCGTGTTTTTCGGGGAAAACTCGTGGCCTGTACTGTATATATATATATATATATATATATATATATATATATCTCCATACCTGTAGAGTTTTTCAGTAATAAAAAGTAGAACAAAAGCCTAAAAACATGGTGCAATGAAAGAATAACCCGAGGCGTTACTTTAAATTGTCGTGAAGACAAGTACTTTTAACTAGTTTTTTTTTTTTATCACAAAAACATAAGGGGTTGGATTAATTAACTATCCAAATGGTAGACATGCATAGGACTTTGCGTTAATACTTGATTAGCTGTTGTGTATGCTATGATCGTTGAAGTCCGGGTTCTTTTATTTTTCCTTGATCAGTTGATGGTCCAAAAATGCGACCGCACGGTGGCTTCTTTTTCTTTTCTGGAGACGTTGTCCTCTGAATAGTCTGAGATACAGTGAATCAGTCTTCCTCGTAGATGCATAAATCATGGTACTGTCCCTCGCAATAACAAGTAACCAAATACTAGAAATTTGGTATAGTTGATAGATTTTTACAGCATTTTACAAATATTTCATGTTTTATTAATTAAAAAAATCCATATACAGTTTAACATTACTTCTACATCTGACTGTATAAGTTTTGAACATTATCATTGATTAAAAATTTCGCTTGCTTTTAAAATAAATACCTCATAAAAAATTAAGTTTATATAAGCTGAGACACATGCAGCTGCTGCTTTTCACGGAAACAACAAATCCTTGAACATTTGCCTTTCCCTTATAAAGATGCAAATATTACATCTTTAATGTTAATTATATTTTCTCCAAAGCGATCGAGTAAACATATTGATTTTAACATGGTTGTCTGTCAGCCTGTCTGTCAAAATTTTGTGCCCATGTCATGATTCCGGAACCTAGGACGGAAATGGTTTCAATTTTTAGGTCACCGTAGTCACTCAGGTCACCTTAGCCTGGTTCCGGTCTACCCATAATGCTACGCACAGTACTGTGCGTAGCATTATGGGTAGGCCAGAACCAGGCTAAGGTGACCTATTGCTACCCGTTTTTGTCTGTCTTCGCGCGTCGTACTTTGTGCGTTAACATTCGAACATTTTAAACTTCTCTGAAACTGCTAAACCACTTTCAACCAATTTTGACATATAACATCTATGTGTGAAGGGGAACAAAAAATGTGAATTTCATGATCCCTGTCCTCTGGGGCCTAAGGGGTGGAGCTAAAACCACCAAAATTAATGCAATCTTTAAAAATCTTATTTTTTACTTCTTGACATCAAGCAATCAAACTGTTGGCATGATTGTAATTAGCATTGAGCCCTCTACCAAAATTGTGAAATTCATGGCCCCAGGGTCAGAGGTGCATTATTTGTTTGAAAATCTTATTCTAATATGTTGACGGTGCGACCGTTAGGGCGAGCGCAGATACCTATCAGTTTTCATTACTTAGATCAGGCTAGTTTAACCGCACGTGACATTTGCTACGTCTAGACTTTGACGTCATATGACGTCGTATGTATGTTGCATTAGTCTACCAAAACGAAGTGTGAACAGTGCTAATTTTAATCAAGAACACTTATTCCACTATTTGTCTGCTGTTTATCCATTATATCAAGGTGATTTTATTTTTTGTTGACTTTTATTGCCACCGCGAGAACGCAGTTTCCGACGAGATGCAATTCGCTAAGCATTATGGGACCACAGGTAACTGCGGAAAAAAATTCATTTGGATCAATATGCAAAGTCCGAATTTTCTTTTCGCCCAGGCGTTGCTTTAAGAGCTCGCAGTGACGAGCGGCGCTTCGCGCCGCTCGCTGCGCTCGCTATTATCATGGGTATTAAACTAACTATAACTAAATACATAGCGATGATGAGCAAGGGTGCAATTTGTGAATTTCATGGCCCCTGGGTCAGGGGTTCTCACTGGTGTTAGGGCGGAGCTCTATTGATTATATAGTGCAAATGTATTAATTCTTTGAAAATCTTCTCTTCTCCCGGATAGTAAACAAACTAAGTAAAACGTTATGAAGAGGAAGGGTGCCTCTTCCCAAATTGTGAATTTCATAGCCCCTGGGTTAGGGGTTCTGGTGTTAGGGCGGCGCTCTATTCATTGTATGGTGCAAATGCATTAATTCTTTGAAAAATACTCTTTTCTGCTCCTGGGTAAGCAAACTAAGTACATAGTTATGATGAGCAGCAAGAGTGCCTCTTCCCAAATTGTGAATTTCATGGCCCCTGGCTCAGAGGTTCTGGTGTTAGGGTGGGGCTCTATTGATCATATAGTGAAAATGTATCAATTCTTTGAAAATCTTCAACTATGTGCATAGTTATGATGAGGGTACTTCTTCCACATTTGTAAATTTCTTGACTCTTGGTCGTGGGTTATAGTATGATATCTTTAGTGAAAATGCATTATTTCTTTGAAAATCTTCTTTGCTCCTGGGCATATCGGAGGCAAACAGAGTAAAAGTTTTAATAAGCAAGGGTATTTTTACCAGATTTGTGAACATCTGGACAATTTGATCAAGTGTTCTGGTCCTGACCAGGGCTCTATTAATTTGTATTCTACTGAGAGAAGTTATTCCTCTTTTCCATTCACTTTTGACAATTTATCACTGTAAATAAATAATATATTTGAAAGGTTAATAGAATGAGAGAATTATGCAAGATTTTTATTGTAAAACACAAAAAGTACTTTCAAAGTTTTAATGATCAGGTAGACTTGAATAATAGTTAAATAAAGATGAGACAAAAATAACTTATCTTATTAAATGTTCTTCAAAGACCAAGAGAGGTGAATTTAAGATGGATAACCAGATTTGAAAGTAAGGCATTTTTTTAAAGATGCAGTTGTAATACAAAGACTTAAGAATATTCCTACATATGTGGTCTCACTCTAATTAAAAAAAAACTTGAATCTACACTTCATGTATGTGAAGCTTGTAGAATAATTTGACTTATTAAACTCTCTTGGAGAAAAAAATATTTAGTGAAAAAAAACTTCTATGTATTGCCATGGATTTTATTGCCTGTATATTGTACATATACATGTACATTACATATTTTTCAGGAAAGGGTAACATTTTGTACACGTTTATTTTTCAAGAACTGTACAAAATATAAACTTGAGGTCTTGTAATGTTATTTCAAACAGGCTGATATTGAATATGTATCATATATTTTATCAAAATGTTTTCACATGATTTGTTCTTGTTTCAAAATGATAAGATTCCGATCATGCAGCAAAACAAGTGACAAATCAATTTGTCGAAAATTCATCATTGAATTAATACTTATTTTCGCTCAGCATTTCAATTTGACTTTTTATATCCTTTTCATTAGATACATATGTAGTCTTTAAGGCCCAAGGTATAAAAATACGTCATTAGACATCTGTCACTTTTTTAGAGTAATCATCTTTGATTCATTCCATCATCTAGATCATCGGCAACTTGTTTTTAGCTTTTATCTGGATAGCGAAGGCGTCCGCATTGATCGACTCTGAAAAAGATAAAATATTAAAACATTATAGCGAAACAGAAAAGACAAAATACAAATCATTACTTTTGCTCATATTAATGAGTTTAACCGTTAGAAAATCGCTTTTATAGATATTATGTTTCTGCTAAATAATACCATTATTTTATATATATATATATATATATATATATATATATATATATATATATATATATATATATATATATATATATATATATATATATATATAAAAAGATAACTTGAAACACGTATTATAAACAAGAAAAATACACAATGCTGATTTTGTTTAATAAAATTAACATAAATTTGGAACAAATCTTTATTAAATGAATAATCGTTTTACTTAGCAGAAACATAATATCTATATAGGCGATTTTCTAATGGTAAAACTCATTAATATGAGCAAAACTAATAATCTGTTTTTGTCTTGTTTTGCTTCGTTATAATAATTGAAATTAGTTTTGATTTTTTGACCGAACAAAAAAGCATGCAACATTGACTAACAATCTACAGGTGGGGATCAAAGGATCTAATTTTAACCAGATGATCGAGACAAGAGGCCCATGGACCACATCGCTCACTTGAGTAACTTTGGCCATGCTGTTCATTACCAGACTCCCCCCTTGTAATACCTATTGTGGCCCCACCCTCCCCCCAGGGGCCATGATTTGAACAATTTAGTATCTACACTACCCCAGGATGCTTCCACATAAGTTTCAGTTTTTCTGGTCCAGTGGTTCTTGAGAATATTTTTAAAGATTTTTCCTATATATTTCAATGTAAAACTTGGGATTCCCCCTATTGTGGCCCCGCCCTATCCCCTGGGTCATGATTTGAACAATTTAGAGTGTACACTACTTGAGGATGCTTCCACATAAGTTTCAGCTTTTCTGGCCCAGTGGTTCTTGAGAAGAAGATTTTTAAAGATTTTTCCTATATATTTCAATGTAAAACTTGGATTCCCTATTGTGGCCCCGCCCTACCCCCGGGGGTCATGATTTGAACAATTTAGAATCTACACTATCCCAGGATGCTTCCACATAAGTTTCAGCTTTTCTGGCCCAGTGGTTCTTGAGAAGAAGATTTTTAAAGATTTTTCCTATATATTTCTATGTAAAACATTGATTCCACATTGTGGCCCCGCCCTACCCCCGGGGGTCATGATTTGAACAATTTAGAATCTACACTACCCCAGGATGCTTCCATATAAGTTTCAGCTTTACTGGCCCTGTGGTTCTTGAGAAGAAGATTTTTTAATGACCCCATCCTATTTTTGTCTTCTCTTGATTATCTCCCCTTGTGAGGGGACTTGGCCCTTCATTTTAACAATTTAAATTTCCCTTCACCCAAGGATGCTTTGTACCAAGTTTAGTCAAAATTGGCCCAGTGGTTCTTGAGAAGAAGTCAAAAATGTGAAAAGTTTACAGACGGACGGACAGACAGACAGACGGACAGACGGACGACGGACAAAATGTGATCAGAAAAGCTCACTTGAGCCTTCGGCTCAGGTGAGCTAAAAAATGATATCGATTAAAGGGGAAACAATTACTCAGTATATAACCATCTTTTTATTGTATTATTTATTCTGAACTGTCTCCCAAAAAGTGAACGGTCATGTAAAACCAAATTATTTCAATTTTCAATTACAGGTTATGAATGTAAGGCATGCATGTTAAACATTTCATAAACAAAGAATACTATATAACTGTAGGAAATCAAAATAATGTTAAGCATACTCAACACCATCATTTCAATAATTACGAGGGGTGATCAAAAAGTTCGCGAACTATCTCTATATTTACAAAATTCAGATCAAAATGAAATTTGGTACACATATAGTCATATACATGTTCTATAAATAGCAGATGCTATGTCATGTTTGGGACGTCACAATGTGAAAATGACGTCAATATGTAGATCACTTGAGACAAAAAATGATTGACTCTGTCCTACTCTAGCTAAGAACGGCAGTAAAGTTGAGCAATTTGTTATGGAAGATCGCCAAGTAACAGTTAGAAAAATAGTTGAATATCTTTACAATAATATGATTATTAAATCCCTAAAGTATCGTTTACTTTAGACTTCAGACATATCAGATATGATAAAAAGAAGGCGCCCAAACTTTATCCACATTGGATAAACGACGCTCCCAAGACAGAGGAGTCGGGTTGTGATGGTCACCATGCTCATTCTGGGAAAGGGTATTCTTATCATCTCATCCTATTTCCGAGATTTGGCAATTTCAGACAAATGGACCGTTCTTGTTTTAAAAAATAGCATGCATGGTAAGAAATATAAGAGTCGGAAAAATCTTTTAGCCTCTGTGAACAGAACGATACGGAGCATGTCAAGTGACCGCCTGTATCACGTGATTCGCGCATGGTCAGAACGGTGGCAGATGTGCATTTAAATTGGAGAGGACTGAAACCTTATTTCGTATCTTACATTGAAGTAATTCAATTAGTTCCCGAACTTTTTGATCACCCCTCGTAGATGTAGAAGTAACAGGAATATATATAATGTGTACGTACAATAACATTTACATGATATATGCGATTATGATTCAGATTGCATGCTCAGTCTCATTACATATTCTCATTAAAAGTATCTTTGAATGAGTCTGACTTATTAGTAAAACATGTTGTATACAAGCATTACAAACACTTATCAAATGTACATGGTATATTTTAAGAAATAAATAAAGCAGAAAGAAACGGAAGTGAAAAAGAAGAGAAGAGAATAAATCAAATGCAAAAAATTACCTCTTTGCATATTGCACATTGTTGTTCCAGGACAGACGACAAAGTTAGGCATCGCCGATTCTCGTTTATCAAAGGCACATCCGGTTGGAGGATAAAATGAGGTGGTAAACCAGGCTCTGTCATTTGGACATCCTCCAAAATTATGAGAAATTGACCAGTGTCTGTTCACTCTTCCACTGAAACAAAGATAAAAGCTTAACGTTTCCGTATTCATAGCAAACGAAGTAATTAAACCACACTGGCAAAACAAGATGGCTTCCAACTCCCTAGCTTCAACCCTTCATAAAACTCAATACTTGTTTCATTCCCAATATTCCACTCCCCAGAATAGGACTTAACCTTATTTAATTGTTTGACTGTTTCGCCTCTATCACTTCAAAACTCTCTGGATCTCTTGCAAGTCATATCTGTACATTACTTCAAACAGTTTGTTGATAACTGTATATGGTTTTAATTTACTGTATTTTTACTACTTATTTGAAATAAACTATACTCGTACTGTTCACAAAGCTACAACTTCTCATTATCTTTTATAGAAATCATGCAGCCACTTATATCATATTAATGTGATTTTGTGTCATTTATGTGTACTAGTCATTATAGTGGTATACGTACTCTTGTATCCCTTGTAGAGAGAAGAGATTGTATGTTTGAGTTGCTGTTAGATCCGTCCAAGATGAACTCAGAATCCGCCGACTAGAAAACCAGTCGGTGCTGGTGCTGTTTTTTCCGTCAAAAATAATTTCTCTTTTAATTTCACTATTGATAATAACCAAAAATCGAACCTAAAATGGAATGACATCAAAGTCCATAATTAAGATTATTTTGGACAGGAATTTGTTAAGGAAAAAAAACAATTAAAGACTAAATTTGGTGTTAAATGTGATTTACTGATACTAGTAGATCTTTATGTTATTTCTCAGTGATTTTTTCAACACTACCTGTTGAATGTCTAGTTTTTCCCAGCTGTCGATCAAACCAGTTCTGTATGGCGTGAAACATCCTGATACTTTAGCCAGATCAGTACAACGTTCAGGAAATGAACCCCAGAATTCGTGCCGAACACCCTCTGACTTGTATATTTCAAAGGGAGAAATTCCTGTCAAACTCTGGGCTTTGAAAACAAGAATCCAATCTCCGTCCTTTTTGTCTATACAAAGGAAGAGAGGAATTATTTTATTTTCTCAAACTTTAGAAAGTTTTGATAAATATATTCATATTTCTGGAGGAAGACAGAAATAATTCGAAATACATTATGACAATTTTGTAATTGTCTTTTCTGATTATTTTTCCAACTGAAAATCCATTTCAAATTGCTTCAATAAAAGTGTTTCTATCTGTGATTATTAGCAAAAACGCATAAATATCTGGCTCAGTCATTTAACAAATTATCAAAAACAGATTTGGATATAAGTTATTAAGTTTGAAAAAAATGTCTCCAATATTGCAAACAATTACTTACATTTTATTACCGGTAGACTGGACGGCTCTGGGTTGGAAACTAGAAAAAAAATACATTCGATAATGTTAAATTTTGTAGATGTCTTATTTTCTGCATCAATTCGAACTAACTTTTTTGAACCATGCAAATGAATTGTGGAATTTAAGACTGTGAGGTGAAATTAGATCCCTGCTGAAATAGTGATATTCATTTACATGCGTATACCAAAGTTTCACTAAAACAGAAATTTCTAAATGCTGGATTGAACCCTTGATATGACTCCGGAAAAAAATTCGTCTTTTTAAAGAAAACGTTTACTTTGTACCTTAGCAAAAATTCTTTTTTTTTTTTTTTTTTTTTTTTTTTTTTTTTTTTGGAACGCATCTTTTTTTTCTTAGAGAAAGGCATTAATGGCAAACTAGCAACTAGACTTAATGATAAACGTGATGACTTCAAATTTTCTATGTCAACTTCCATATTTTATGTAGCAATATACATTATATGCATATGGAGTTTATGTCTCCCGATTGATTCGATACACAAGAGCATGTTCTACGTATGAACAATTTCAAAAACGAGGCACACATGTTTTGAATTCGGTGCATTTTATTAATTTCGTATTAAGCTGTACCGAATAAAATAACATTGCAATAGTATAAATGTGAAATAACTATTGATAGAACCAAAATTTCCGTAGCTTCCTTCGTTAAATATTTACGAATGTTTTTGATCCTTGGATAATTTAACATTGCTGTACGACATTTCCTATTTACATGTTCTTTCAAATTAAGATTTTCGTCCAAAAATGCACCCAAGTATCGTATACATTTTACGATATGATGACCATTCTTAGGCCATTATTTTCATACTGAATTGTCTACTGATTTTTCCGTTTACCCAGTCGTGACAGGGAGCACACGGCGGGTGTGACCAGTCGACAGTGGATGCTTAATTGCTCCTCCATAGAACTTGAACTTGATCCTAACGATAAGGTTTTGGAGGTTTGTGTTTGCTCTTCTCCCAAACTGTATTGTTTCAATAGACTTTTGAGATTTTTTTTCAATAAAGTTTAAGAAATTAAAAAGCAACAGACTGGACACTATTTTAAAGAAAAAGAAGAATTCTTTTCACTGCTGTTTGGAATTAGTAAATTAGTATACTCACATTTCATTGAACTGAATGGTTCATTAACGGAAACTGAAAATAAAAATTGTGCGGAGATATCAGTTGATGTGGTAAATATCATTTCAGTTTTTACTCAACTTAAAGTATTTAAAATATCAATAGATTAAATTTTAATAGAATACTAGTATAAAAGAGACATGTTTATAAATATTACCGATGTTACTTCCAATCCTGAACTTGAAGTCAAATGCAAAGTTTTCTAGGTTTTTAGTGGCATCGTCTCCTGTTAAAATTATGTTTCTTCCCTGGCTCTGTGTAATACACAATGCACAGAATACGAGTTGTATTTGAAATAGCAGCATACTTCTCTAACTCTGGCTGAAAATCCTGAATGACTTTCATTTGTCTATCAAATATTATTTATATACACATAGAATGAAACTAAATATTGAAATGATGTAACTTAACAAGTAGATTTATTTCGAAATTCACAAATGATTCATTACCACATAATTAGATGCATTTCCAGTCTACATATAAACTTGTCGAATTGTTTTGACCTATATTTTGTATTCGGGAATAACTGACGATCATGGTTCTAATGCAAACATAATTTTGTAGTCGGGGACAAATACATGCATAATTTTTAATTGAAAACAAAACTAATTATGTTTTCAGAATTTACTTCGACACACACGCGCGCGGCTGGGTGCTCATTTCTACCTTACCCATCAATTTTTATTAAACTCATCTTATGTTTAAATTTCATTGTTCAATATTATTCTTCAAATTAATCTTAATCGGATCTAAATATACTTTAGTTAACTTAACATGTATATTGCTTATACTATAGTTAACTATAGTACTTCGGTACTTTGATTTATATGAAACTTTACTCTATAGAACATTTTGAAGATTTAAAACCTTAATATTTCTTAAATTACATCTATCAATGATGACAGTTTTTGAAATAATATGTGAATATGCAAGTAATATTTCCTTTCAATATGAGAAAATTGTTTGTAGGAGTTTAAAAAAATAAAATAGACCAATCTGAAATTCATGGTAAAAATACTTCGATTAACTATAGTAAAAACTTTGATTTACTATTATAATAGTAGTAAAAACTTTTACTATTAAATAGTAAACTATAGTTAACTATAGTACTTTTTTGTTAGGGCTTCACCATATTTCCAAGATTTTACATAGAACGTTCGTATTCACTATTGTTATTTTGTATGAAGAAATTTCACAAGTGAACATTCTTATACTTTTAGAAACAATCGGAATGTGTTTAGGTAATTCTCACATATTTCAAATGTATTAAACCTGAATATTGTCATGGTACGTAATCGAGTATGCTAAACATTGACGGTTCTCGATAAATGTTATCAAATCGATTTTAAAAGTGTTCCTTCAGAAAATTTATCGAAATGTTGTGTAAAATTTAAAATGTTATCAAGGTGTGGAAAAGTTCGTATAAAACTAGCATCTGTTTGAAATCCTTACTTAAATGCGCTATATCATTTTTGTCACTAAGAGAGATAACTCTCATTCGATAGCAAACCCTCAGTGTTTCATTTATCAAAAGTGTTTTGTTTCAGATTTTTGTCTTGTGTCGTGTACTTGATTTCCTTGAAACATACTTGCGTCAATTTTCTGGTAACCCAACCTCTAATCAGTGTTCCCTTTCAAAAGATGAAATTCTTCAAAACCACCTTTCAGTTTTTAATACTTTTAATATTCCAGTCAGTGGAAGTGAGTTTATTTTACCGTATACTGGATTTCAAAAATTTCTTTTTAAAAATCCTTACAAAGATATACTGCAGGGTCAAGTAAATGTTCAACCAAGTCGCTATCCTTATTCCTCACCAAAATATAAACTTCTGTAACGGAAAACTTCAAACGTACTATGCAATTATATATTTTCAAGAAGTAGTGTAAATCAAATTTGGATTCTAAAAAACTTAAAAGGACTTTTGGAAAAATTAAAATTCAAAAACTTTTTAAACATCAAAAGCATTTAACGACTCTTCTTTGCTTTATACAGCTATTCCTTACAATAAATTAAAGAGCAGACCTTTTGACGTTATAGACAACTGCTCCCTCAATAAAAATTGAACAAGGGTGAGATTTTTTTTTTTAAAAAAAATGACCAAACGCATATTTATCAACCTGCATTAAAAATACAGGCAATGGGAATAATTTTCTATACTTCAGCAAATTCTTTAGATAGTGTCTAAATACCCTCTAAATGTCTCATTGATATCTTCACAAAAAAAGTTATGTCCAAAAATGATGCTAAAATGTCATGAGTGGATACCTTTTGTGACATTATGAAAATTTAATATTTTTTGAAGATCTGTGAAATAATAAATAATGGTTTATGTTGGAAATAAAGACTTTCCTGATAATACTCATAGTATTGAGCTTTAAATATAGACTATAACAACTTTTATTTGACCAAGTTGTGGTCATTGCTGATGTTGAAAAAAAAATGTTACACCATGTCAGAAGTGCAACAGAAAAATGTAGTGTTGCCAAAAAACATTGATTTTAAAAATCTGAAAGACAATTAAGTCAGAAAAGAATTTTCAAAGTGTAAAACAATAACTAATACACAATTTAAAACTTAAAAATGTTCTATACATCACAAGCAGCATTAATGAGAGTCAAGTATCTGTACATACCCAATAATGTCAGGAGTGAAACATTTGATGTTTTGCTTCCCAGCATGAAAAACTTTTATCAGTATATGATTCTCTGGTTTTTATTTTGGAAAATAAAGAGACAAAGAACATTTTTACCAAATAGATTTATCAATTACAGGGTCTGTCTGTGTTTCAGATCTATATTTCTATGGTCAGGAGCGCGACCCATTTTTTTAAGATTCAAGTTATATGATGAAAAGACTTCTATTCATACTAAGAAAAATATTCTTTGATTAATAATAATCTATTTGAATAATTTATTACTAAATTATGGACAGTTTTATTATTAAAATCCTTCTCTTTTTCAATTTTATCAGTTCAAATGTGTTTGTTTTTTCTTTCTTTGATTTTTATGACTGTAAAAAAAAAACACACACACAAGAAAAATTGTTACAAAATTCAAGTAATTCCACCTCAACTTCATTGAAACAACAGAACAAGTTCTGATGTAATTTTCACATCACAATTCTACTTTAGAGACTTCCATGCTCTTAGACAGGAGTGCAACACATGTGTTAGAATGATGTTGATAAAAAAAATAGATATAAAGAAAAAAATTGATCAGTAGAATGTTATACTGGGTGACCTCAGTTGCTTACAGTATTTGTCCTGTGAGGGAAAATATACTATGAAATATATTTTATCTTCTAAATATACATTTTAGCTTTTTTTTTTTTTTTTTTTTTTTTTTTTTTTTTTTTTTTTTTTTTTTACATAAACAGAAAATAATTCAACATATAAAGCCAAGTTTAAATACTTTCATATGTTTTAATTATGAAGTATTGGACATATAAATATTGCAAAATTTCGTTACCACTTCATGTTACCAACACTTTATGAATGTTTGTGTTCCATGATTTTAATTTTAAATTTTACTGTAGTCAGGAGTGCAACAAAACTGCTTTATAATTATCATCTATCTTTACTAAAAATAAATTGGAAAAAAATGTCTTTTTTTAACATTTAATGATGGAAAATTAAATTATAAGTAATGAATTTAATAGCTACCCAAGTTATACTGGTATAACCTGGATTGAAACAGATTATGCTTTTTTTTAAAATATATATTCGTATATAACACATTGCAAATAATCATGTTTTGAAATCCTGAAAATATGACAAACTTGTCGTAAATGATAAAAAATATCAAAACGACGAAATGATTTACAAACTAAGAATGAGTTATTGTGTGTTATAATTTTTAAAACAATGTTAAATAAAATACATATCAGATGTTAGGATACAACACAATATTGTAAAGATAGGGCCAGTTCATAATCTAATAATTTTTGTAAGAAAACTTTTATATCAAAATTCTTTATCGAATCATTTATATCCCTGATACCATTTTGAAGCATAGATTTTTTTTAAAAAAAAACAAACTATAATTTCTTCTGATTATGTATTTTATAAAGATTTTTAGGATGTAGTGATATTTTTCTTTTTTCAAATGAAGTTTTACCAATAAAAATTCTGAAACTTTTTTGCATGTACAACATGATGATATAAGTGAAAAATATGTTATGGGTATAGTTGAATCTTAAAAAAATCAATTTGGTGGTCATTATTTTTTTAATTCAACCACTAGCAATTTTCATATCTTGTTATTGGATATCTACAAAATTACTTTGTTTAAAAGCATTCTGATTTTATAGTTGATATTAAAAAGATGCTGGAATTCTTCATTGACAATTTCTACGTAGTCTTTGGAGAGAAGGTCTTCCAGCAATCTGCTGAAATTTCGACAGGCACTAATTGTGCCTCTTTATTAGCCGACATGTTTTTATATTCCCATGAAGCAGAATTTATTCAAAAACTTCTACGTGAAAAGAAGAAAACTCTTTCTGCACACCTTCAACTCGCCTTCAACTCGATATTTAGATATACCTACAACGTTTATCAATTAACAATAGTTTCTTTCATTCATACGACTCGATATATCCTAATGAACTCAAAACTAAAGATACTATAGAGTCTGTTTCATGTTTTACTGACTATAGACAATAAAGACCAACTAATAACTAACGGGATGAGTTGGGCTTTTCCATCGTCAACTTCCTTTATTTATGTAGTAATATTCCTGCATATGTCTCTCAAGTGATTCGATACTAAAAGAACATGCTCTGAGCAGATTGATTTTTTTTTAACAATTCTTTATTCACTCAAAACCAGATCACTGGTACAAGAGGTACATATATACATATATACATGTACAAACAAAAATTAACCGAGGTAGGTACTGACAGATAAGTTGATATTACAGGGCTTTCAGGAACCTCGTTTAAAGTCAGCATTTCGTACATTCTATGGTCGTTATAATGAACTTGCTAGAGAATATAAACTATCATTGGGTTTATTTGACTGACATATTGCATACCGATTATTAATCCTTTGCTTTTATATTTTGATTTGACTACGGAATATTCCGTCTACCTGATCAATACATAGGGCTCACAGCGGGTGTGACCGATCGGGAGGGGATGCTCACTTTTCCTTTGTCATTTGAACATCCTCCAAAGTAATGAGAAATTATCTAGTGTCTGTCCACGAATACACTGAGAAAAAGAAGATAAATTAAAGCTGAAGGTCTCCTTATTTATAGCTAAGCGAAATAGACGGACGCGCTGACGGACATACGGATACCCCCATCACTATACATCCCCTCGCCCGATTGAAAAGCGGGTGGGGGTGCATGGATGGGGTTGGTTGGTTGGTTATAAAAATATTAAGATTTTAAGAGTCACACGCACGTGGCGAGTTTTTCCTGTATTACTGTACCAAAAAGTAATTGTAGATTTATACGCTTTTTAATAGTCTCAAGTCTAATCATTCTTTCTTAAAACCACCACGTGTATACCAAATTTATCAATATAATTTTGTCTTCATTGTTCATGAAAATCAATTATTGATTGCGTTATTTACGATCTGCAACGAACAAAACCATGTATCCCCACCAAACCTGCAATTCTGTACTTAGAGGGAAAATCTTGACATGCAGTCAGTATATATAGGATGTCTTTTTATCACAAGCACTTGTTTCTGTAATAGAAAAAATTAACCATATATATAATATAACATGAGTTAAAAAAATTATTACAGAAACAAGTGCTTTCTACTCCTCAAGAGACATTAAATTAAGTTGTGTTGGCCAATTTGATACACATCTGTGAAATTTCCCACTTTAAACTAGTTTTTACTCGTGATGCACTTTGTACTGGGGAACCACAAGTAACCAGAGTAACTTTCCGTGTGATGTTGTTTTGCTCTCTGCTTTTTTAAGGTCATGAGAATTTTCTCTGGAAGATTTCCTTCATTAGTTTATAAAGCCCCATGCACATGCGCCAATTTACTTACATATGCATATGATGTGTAAATATATTTTGTGTATGTTTGGGGAGGGGGTGCTTTACATGAATTAACTGGTTAAAACCGATCTAAAACCCTGTGCAAATCAAGCAGTAAGTTGGCAACTTTCAAGTGTATTCTGTATAAACTTGATAGTTTGTTTCCCTTAACTTATTGCTCATCGACTCCATGGTCTTCCAATCTAATTAAAAGGACATTTTTTCCCCATCTGCAGATGACATTGTTATTATCTCTCTCTCTCTATCTCTCTCTCTCTCTCTCTCTCTCTCTCTCTCTCTCTCTCTCTCTCTTATTCAAATGCTACTTAAAATAATAATTGGACAAAGGGTCACTGCTTTTTCGGACATAGGAAATGATGCAATTTTTAAGGAAATTATCATCTAATGAGCAGAAATTATGCTGGCGTATATAACATTTGTACAAACTTCAAAAAGATATTTGTTAGCTGCTAAATCTATTTTTTAAAACAGAAAGTAGAGTATATTACGAAGGCAATATTTTTTTTTTCAGCTTGAAATGCGGACATTAAATTGGTGTGGACAGTTTATCCTAATAATAAAGTTGTGGTTTTTATTAATTCCTAAGTTAAATCTGAACATTTTCAATTTCGGGGTAAGAAGTATTTTTGGCTCATGTATAAATTTCAATCGGGTGTGGAATTCCAAGAATAAATTATGAGAAGGCGCTAAAAGTGAAAATACATTTATACAAAATCAGAAATAGTGCAATAGGTAAAAAATGCCGTAGTGGAACAAAACACCCAAATTATGTTTACATCAGTGTTCAAAAAGCGGGAAAATATATTTGTTTTCCTTATTTCGGTGTTGTTTTTTTTTTTCAGAACGTTCTTGCCAGCACTAGGATTTTGTTCGTTCTAATGGCACTGAGTAAGAATATTTACATGATACGTATTGTTGTTTTGTTTGGTTTGTTGTTGGTTTGTTGTTGTAATCATACCATACATACATATGTCCATGATGGTGAGTTCGGAATTTTTTTTCAATATCAATCGCAGATACGGCATGTAACGATGGTTAAAATTCTTAAAATTTCATCAAAATAAATTCAGCATTTTTATATTATAGTTTTTATAATAAGTCACATTTATTACATCAAATGATATAATATATATGTATGACGGTACAATATCGTTTTCGTTATACCCTTTGTAAGAGAAGGTTTTAGACATTCGTAACACAAGGCATGTGAAAATAATACATAGTCGTGACCTGGGCTTGACCAATGAAGATGTTTTTGTGAATATAATTGGAACATATTGTCGATCAATCTTGATGGATAGGTATCTTGTACAGGTAATGATGTCATCGCTAGTTAGTTTTGATTGTTTTAGGAAGGGAGACATTCCTCTCTTACTTCCACCATGATGCTGTGACCATTTTGTTTTTGTTTATATTAAAATGAGCAATTCATTGCAGTAATTTAGGGGCATCTCACAGAAACTGTGTATGAATTTGTTTATTTTGCATGAACAGATGAATTCCGAAATATTTGATAAAATGTCTATTAAAAATTATCAATGACGATGTTATTGAAGAAATAACCATATTCTTTATAATGATATTGTTGTATTACTGAGTGCTTTAGTACCATTGTGTTTAAAGGGAAATAACTCTTGTAAAATTAAACATTCACATGCAGTTTTTGTCATTGATTTGAAATGAATTGAAAAATTAGACACATATAGAAATGAATGAATATTTACATCTTTTTGTATAAATATTGGGTTTTTTTTTAATCTCTGAGATTTGATTTAACCTGTTTGTGGATATGGAAGTCAATTGATTACACATTTGGGAGAAATTTAATTTTTAAAAAAGTACATATACATGTACTAGGAGTTGTGGAATTTAGGATAGAATTAAAATAAATCTTACTCATTTTTTCTTACACCAGAACTTTCGCCAAAATACTTCAGGTCCTTAAATATGAATTGTCAGCATCCGTTTTAGGTTAGTTCACAACGATTAAACACTTAGACACCAATAGAGATTGTCTAAAGTAGATGAAATTCTTCAATCTATACAAAAGAAAATGCACTTGAATTTGATAACTACGCAGAAATTTCAATAAAGTAGGTCATGTAAATAAATAAATTTGTAATAGCATGGAAATTTAATAAGTCCGTATGAACTGGCTTCTTCATAAACTGAGGAAAACATTCAGCTTGGGGGAAAATGTAAAGAGCAAAAACTGTAATGATAATAAATTTATTTTTAAAAGAATTTTGCAATGAAATGTTAATTAATATTAAAGTAAATAATAATGACAGCTAGATTATGGCATTGTATTTGTCTCATTCTTCTGGTTTTAAATTCTTTGAATTATGTCCGATTATGAACTGAATTAGCCAAAAACAACTATTTGTGTGATTTCTTTGGTGTATAAAACAAGATTTTAATTCTTTATTGTTATCAATGTTTTAATAGAGCTAGTATACAGTTTATTTTAAACTTTTCTGTTTGTATCTACTTCTTGACCTCTTAGATTAAATATTAATCTTTGATACATATACTTAATGACGTCAGATTAATTTTCCATAACATAGAATTTGTTTTTGTTTTCAAGCAGTCAGGAATCATGCGACATGGTTATTTTTGCCTGTAGGGAAGGTCTTATGGCCAAGTCTGTAATCTGATTGGCTGCCTTTAATAGCATGACCTGCCAATATTATGGTGAGAGTATATAACACAGGAGAGCCATAAGATCATGTTATCAATGAGAAAATAGTGAGGAATAAAGTACCCACTCAAAACCAGAACAAACCGGCCGTTAACCGGCTTCAACCAGCCTTAACATCTGTCCTAAAAGAACCTAAGGCAAGTACTTGTTTTCTGTTAATTTACAAATAAGTGTTTGTATCGCAGTGATTTAAAGACTAGCTGCCATGTATTAAAAAATTTAAAATGAAAATTTTAGGGAAACCAGCATCTTCCTCAATAGAAAACTTTCTTAAATTGTTTATTTTTACTAATTAATGACCAAAAACTAGCAATTCCAAATTTGAGAGAGAGAAAGATAGAAAGAAGAGAGAGAAATTGAAGTTTCTTTTTTGATTGCTGCAAAGATTTATTCTCTCATATTCTATTACTTCAGTGGCATGGACAATTTTCATAGCTATACTCATGCAACCATAAAACAAGCAGGAAATCTTGGACATTAATAAGAAGTAGGTTCAGAGACCTGGCTTTAGTTTGCATTGATTCACAATAATCTGTTTATCGCGATCTTTAAAGAAATTCTAGTGTTCATAATTGTAAATTTGTGTGCCCTTCAGTCTCGGTAAAATTTACTGCACTCTCTTTGTTTCCTGTCTGCCTTAGGTTATGCAGGTAATCTCTGATACATAAATGGGAGAATTCTGATAATCTATGACTCACTTTTTATAATAATTTTTTTTATGTTCTTTTATTGCAAGTTGCTTTAATGCAGTAAGAAGAAGAGTATATCCAAGCAATCACCCAAATACCCAATTAATTATAAAGGAATTTTAACTGTTAATTATAATGACCTCAACATGCATTAAATATTACAGACTAGTTAAATTTGAGTTAATCCCATTATATAAACACTGAATACAGACCAGTTTAATTTGAGTTAATCTTATTACAAAAATACAACTCAAATGTATATATTCAGAAATTAAGGTTTGCTTTTGTACAATCTGATGAAACTATACACACATTTATAATTCCTATTTTTGCTGACCTCTGTGCATAAATTAAGGATTGGATCCTTTGTTGGAGCATGGCTGAGCATTCCCCGAGGAGATTTGGCCATAATATTTTTTGTCCAATTAGGCTAAATATGTTAGATCTGTCTGTAATGGCCAATACCAGTATCTATCAAACCAGAGAATGGTATATCCTGAATAATTCATCAGAACTGTCTACTCAAGGGACTACTGGTGGCAGAAAATGTTAAAAACACAGTCTCTTATTGCGAGCCGATCTAGATCCATATATCACAAATATTGACGCAAGATTTCTAGATAACAATGTTCATTGTCCATGCTCTCGCACATCAAACTGTGTTAGTCACAATATCACACTCTGTCAAATCCATTGTAGGGGGTAATTGACAAATTCCTTGAGATTTGAGAGGAAAAGATATGTTTAATATTCTTGTGTGTTAGACTTGATATATCTGAGGTACATATACCTCCTGTCCTTTCTGTGACCAGAAAGTCTGAAATCCATATAATTAAGGCAAAGTCTCCCTCATCTTTTAGAATGAGAAGATATCATATGACCTTAGTTTATTGACATTCTAATACATTTGTTTGTTTAACATTAGTGGCTGTAATGAAAGTCACAAGATAGTGACCATTATGTCAATAACCCTGTCATTATTTTTCATTAGGGTACAGATGGGAGTGTAATTAATTTACAGTCTGTCCATTGAAATACTAATGCTGAAGACCTGTGAATGCTTCAAGGCCTTTGTATCTCAGATAGTACTAGTATTATTTCTGAAGTTCTTAAGTCTAGTTAAATTCACATCATGCCTACAATTAAATAAACCCAGCAATGATTATGTCCCTTTCTTAAATTAAGTGAATATTGATTTTAAAAAAATAATTAAAAACAAAAGGAGCTCCAAAATATTTTAACAGAAAAAAGGGACAGTGGGTAAGAGAATTTAGAAATTGAAAATGAGAATATTCAAGTCATAGTAAAAATATTGACATTAACCTGTTTTCTAGGTTGGACTAGTGATAGTGTCAGTTATTTGAGCTAAGTATTAATAAAGTTCCATTTACTAAGTTAAATGAAGTGTGGGGGGTCCTTTATGCCATACTGACCCGGTCATGCACTGGAACCTAAGAGAGAGGGGAAGTGTATGGAGTATCATGGTACTGTGTTTATTCAAATCAAGTAACTCTTGTCCAGTATTTGTTGTGTTAGATAACAATAAATCTAGACAAGTCTGTCAAAATGTTCTTTATGTGAAGTATTGGTGTAATTAAGTTTGCCCCCTTGAGAAAAATAACCAGTACTGACTGGTTTTCTGTGTAGCATGGGGGTTGTATACAAACAGGTTAAGAAACTGCATGCAAAGGCACACCTTTAGGTAGTATTTGATAATCCATTTATTTCTAGCCCTCTGAGTCACTAGCAACCTGTCAGGTCTTGCATGTTACATAATTTGATCCAATTTATTTCCTGCACAAGAACTTTAATATTTGATCTTCTGAATGGATAGAGTCTTTGCTAAGTTTGATCCTTAAGCTCAAAAATCTCTCATTGCTTAAGTATTATGGCACTATATTTTTTCAAACTTTCATATCTGATTAAAATAAGATTTGCAGGATAACAATGTGTGAAGGAAACCTCCTGAATTAAGTTCCTGATAGTGCATTGTTGTAAAATAATTTATAGTTTGGGAAATCTGAACATAAAAATAAAGGAGGAAGATTTTTATGTATAAAATTCATTTCATAAAGTATCATATTCTGAAATAAAGCATAAAAATATGACAGTGTGGGTTGTATATATGGTGATAAAAGAAGCTCTTTGATATGGTTAAAAAATTTTTTTAATAAAAAGAAAATGATTGCTTTGATGAAACAGCTACACTGCCTTCTAATCTATAGGTTATAAAGATCTGACTGTTGATACAGGATTATATTTTTCACCCTTACTAGTGTCCTTGCCTCTGAAGGCATCCACCCCTGTTTTTCAATCTAAAAAGACCGTTCATGGTAGCTCAGTAGGTAGAGCGCTTGCTCCGTGATCGGGAGGTCATGAGTTCGAATCTTGGGTGCGACCGACCTTAGTTGGCACGATAAAGATCCCTCACTGCTCAATGGCCCTGAGTGCTGAGTAAAGGTCAAAATTTGAAGCCCTTCACCGGTATATGGTGACGTCTCTATGTATTGAGTGAAAATTCTTGAATGGGATGAAAAACAACATACAATCAATCTAAAAGAGAAGAAAAATTGTAAATTATTTTTTTTTATTAGGATTTATTTGTTGCATAATGGTCAAATAGTAATTGTATAGTGATATCCTGGTGAGAACCAGTTTTTAAACATGGAATTTTAATAAGATCCCCCCCCCCCCCCCTTCAAAAAAAAAAATACTTCCAGTGCTCCTTTTGACTTTGAGAAAAATATTCTCATATTTAAGAATTAATTTATCAGATATTTTATTCTGCTTGAAAGAAGGGTACACATTTGTATATATATTGTTGAGGAAAACATTTTCAAACAATATACTACATGTATTTATCACCCCGTTTCCAATGCATGTATTTTTTTTTTATGTTCTTTTAATATTGTGGTACATGTACCAGTATTAAATTAAACATGTCTGATGTTTTATTTCCTTGTGTTTAATTGGTGGTGATGCAATATTTATTACGTTTCCAGTTATTTTTTTCTGTTCCCTCCTTTTATGGTAATTCTCGTCTCTTTTACAGGATGAACACTAAGATCGTAGTATTGTTAGTGGTAGTGCTGCTGGCAGTTTCTTTAACAGAGGCCCGACGAAGGAAAAACAAGGGCAACAAAAATCAGGGTAACTATAGTAACATTAATTATTTCTTAATTTTACATTATCCAAATACATGTACATGTTATTCTCAAAGAATGACCCATTGTAACCATGTAAATATAGAATCTATGCATCATACAAATATATTAATTTTGTAATGGGGAGGGGGGGGGGGAACTTTTCTTTAAAAAAATTGATTCAAATTTTAGAACATGTAAAAAAAATGTATTTGAAAGAAATTGAGCATGAAAATGTATCTCATGTCTTGAAAACATTTTATTGTAAAAACATTTCATTATGTTTACAGACAGATGTAGGTACAAGAGAGACAAAAGTGCCGGGAGGCCCGAGTGTATTAAGGGCTACATGACCCTCACTTTGCAGTTGAAATCAGGACCAGCTGATTGTGCACCAACCCTCACAAAGACCAAGAGGTGCAGAAACAGAGGTCAGTGTACAAATACAAAAAATGGAGAAGGTTAAGGAAGCTTAATTTGTTAAACGGTCCTCAGTCACTCTAGAACAATTGAAAATGAATTTGATATACAGTTGAACTTTCGGTATCTCAAACACTGATATCTTGAATACCATGGATACTGTATGTGTACTTAAAAAAATGAGCTTCATATTTTAGCGGCTTTGGTGCAGACAATAATGCACTAATTCATGAATACTGCTAAGAAATCATTTATAAATACAATATAGTTGCACGGACATGAATAACGCTAATTCATGATTTCGCCAACAACTCCATACCAGTGATGGCGCCAAATTTTGAATACGCCAATTTATGTACACGTACAGTATGTCGAAGTGATTTGAAAGTCCCAACTACTCATTCTTTAAGTATTTTACCCTCAATATTTCGAATCCTCGGATATTTCAAAGTTTTTTCTTGGGCACATCGAGTTTGAGATAACAAAGTTTGACTGTACTTATTTAAGAGTATGTGTGATAGACATTAATACTCACTTATTATTCATATTTCATGGTAAAAGACTAGGATTTGAGAAACCCCCCTTTCCCCCTTAATTTAAATACATGTATTGTTCAATTTACATACATTCTGTATTCTAAATTTGCCAAAACATTCTTTTTTCAATATCTCGGAACACCAAAATTTAGTATAATAAGACAATTTTTTTTTTTTAAGACTGCAAATACGATGTGATCAGCTCAGTATGCAACCAAGAAACCAACAAAATGGTTAAAACTCTGCAGCTGAAGGAAGGAGGGGATGAAACAAAGTGTGAAAAAACCATCACAGTGGAGAAGAGGAGGTGTAAGAACAAAGGTAGGTGTCTCTGTGAGTGGGGGTGGGGGGGGGGGAATGTGAGAATCTGGGGTGGTGAGAGTCAGTTATTTTAACATATAATAAAAAAGTCTCAGTTATGCAAAGAAAAAGGAATTTCCCTCCATAATTAATGCTATTTGGTGTAATGATTTTGTACTTCATTCTGAGAGGTTCATGTAAATAGAGACGCATGTATTTATATCTTGCATTACCAAAATCAAACTTTAATTTTGTCTAGTTACATTTGATAAAAATTAAACATCATTTGCCATAATGATTAATTAAACTTTCTCCCGTCTGGTTCCCTACATATAACAGTCATTTACTAGTTTGTGACAGGTTATAATATAGTTATTGGTTTGATATATTTATATAAGCAATAGGAAATTCTCTAAGGATTATCTCTAATTAGGGAAAAGGGTCATGGCAATGTCATGTTTGGCAGAATACTGTAATTATATCCCATATTACGTGGAGTAAGTGATGTCTGACCTCTGAAGGCTTAAACAGTGAACCTGCTGAGATATTAATGGAAACAGGAATTTGTGTACCTATAGAGGCATGTTAGTGGGGAAGAATGTAATGAATATGAAATATTTAGGTCTATTCTGGCTTACAAACATCTATACACAGTATTAAAACCTCAAAAGGCTACAAAGATTCCTATTAGATGGACATTTAAACGACTTTCTTAATGTCAAAGTCTTCAAGGTACATGTACAGCTGCATATTGCTCTTAATAACCTTATAAGATGGGCAGACACTTAAAGTCTGATAAAAAATGGGAGGTTATTATGACTAGACGTTCCTTTTCTTAACAACCCAGGTAGGCATTAAATAAAACTGAATTTACAGGAAATAGGACAGAACGTATAAAGGTGCCTTTTTTTCGGTAAGAGCCTACATTGACAGTGTCTTATTGATCCTAGTCAAGAGAAACCCAGCTACTGCAAATTAAAGGGTGAGAATGTTTTATCGGAAAGAAGCGGTCTCCGAGATTTTTATGAATGTATAGTCTCACTTTAGTGGCTCATTTCTTTGAAATCATTGATCAATATCTGGAAGTGAAATATAACTTGGAAAAGCAATATTGAATTTTGAAAAATCTGCCTAAAGTGTAAACATTGTATCAGATTTATGGTCATTTTTTTTTTATTTCGACACTCTAATGTAGAAAAGCAATATTGAATTATGAAATATCTTCCTAAAATACAAACATTGTTTCAGATTTATAGCTTTTTTTTTTTTTCATTTCACACCCTAACCAAATTGATTTTATACCAAAGCTTTCCAGGATTAATAAACATGTTATGTAATTGATACAGTACAGATTTGGCTATATTGAACTGAATCAACACAAAAATTATTTTGTTCTGGGATCATCAGCTATTCACCATATCATGTATGCTATATGATAGTGATCAATCTGCAGACAGATTTTGTGTATTAATGTTATAATTTATTTCATGTTAGGATGAGACAATTAAAACAAACTCATACATCCTGGTTTAATTGTATAGTTCAAAAATAGATAATGAAGTCTGCTAACGTCCAGACAGAACATCAATGCCCTACATTTAAACTGGATAATAACTTAAATGCAAAGGATGTAGTTACATTTTGATAAATGCCACAAAAAGTTGTAAAAATGGTAAAAATTTGAACTGAATATTTTGTCTCAGAGATGTAAAGAGGGACGGCAGTGGAGGGCATGTTGTGTCTTGAGGCAGTTTGGTAGAAGTTTGAGAGATTACCATGCAGTTATGTAAAAGAGTGCCTTGGTGTATTTATGCAGAATACATCATTCTTTTTTGTTTGAATCCCCAGAGTGGAGCCTGTCTAGGAGCTCCAAATCAATGTAGAATCTACATTATCCATATTGCATGATCAACGTACAAGATCAATCGTAAGATAGGGTAAAAACACTTGATGCTTAATCGTACCAGCATCAAAGAGATTTAATGACTCAGGCACACACAGGAAAATTTTCACTTCAGTCTATTAATGTGTATAGTCAGGTTCTAATGCCTTGTGTTTTGGTCTTGTTTGGTTACTTGATATCAACAATAGGTTTTATTGTTAAGTAAAGCTGATTTTGCTGTTTTGTGATTTTGTTTGGTGATTTTTATCTTAAAAAAATTTTAAAACTATTTTTTGATTTTAAAAACTTTTTTTTTTAAACAATACTTTAAATCTATTTTTTAGCAAAGTCAATTATTAATTATTTAATAGTATTTCGAATATTTTATTCCAGCTGACAAAGCTGCAAGAAAGGCTGCACGAAAAGAAAAGAACAAATTAAAGAAGGCTGAGAGAAAAGCTGCCAGGAAAGCCGCCAAGGCTGAAAAGAAGGCCAGGAAACACAACAGAAGAGAAGGTACCACTACCGCAGTGATCCAGGAGCCAACAGCATAAGCACAAAACAAGCACATGTGCTTGTGTGCTATCCTGTATGCTTCATGCTCCCTGGTTCTTTAGAACAAACTCTATGACTCAACAGCACCAATGATTCACCTACTTAAATTTTGTTTTGTTTTTTTTTTCCTTCTCTCAGAATGCAAGATTGATTACAAAAGTAACCCGCTATTAAAATGATAAGAGTGCTTTTTTTAAATGCTTTTTAAATCTTTGAATTTTAACATGATGGCCTTTAGCTATAGCTAGTCAAGTTTATACCAGTCGACAAAGCATGAGGAATGAGTTAATTCATCATTTATCTTGAGAGAATTCATAGTTCATAAAGTGTTCACTGCATTTTTTGGCAAAATTTATTTTGTTGTTTTTTTTTTTTACATTAAATTTCCCAAACATACATAGTCCCATGTAAGCATGAATTATACATGTATTTCCATATAAGTATTTTACATTGTATATGCATGTATGTTAGACTTTTCTATGGTGTAAAGAGACAGAATTTTTTTTTTTTAAGAAAGGCTTATATTTCTTTTGTTTTGAATGTTGTTAATTGTTGATTTTTATTTTCAAAAAAAAAAATTCTATAAATGAAAATGTATATAAAGGTAAACACAGGCCAACCTATGAATTGTTGGTATGTGGTGCATAAATAAATTCTTAATCCTTTTAATTGTACCATTTAAAAAATCAGTTCAAGATTAATTCTCTCACAGGATAATGTACTGAAAGAAAAGTTGTCACAAGATTTTTGAAGAAGTACAACAGAGCTTGTACTTTAAACCAACAATTTTAGGTCTGCCAATAATTTCTTTGTTGGCTGGTGATTAGGGGCTCTGCTGTAATTATACTGTGATTTTCAGAAGTGTTCTGCTGTATTTAGTGTTATCTTGAAAAATTTTCTTTCTTTTATGTCATGTAGAAATTTTCCACTGTTTATGAAATTTCCTGAGCTGTGTAACAGTACAGCCCTTATACTTCTCATTGTGTGTATTGTTTTATATTATCTGTGCAGTTTCTCTTTTCATCAGTCAATAAAGTCTCAGTAAACTTGTACTTTGTGTTGTAGTTTATAGAGAATTTCAATTATAATGGGTTATAGCATTTAAGTACACTTTAGTAGCTCCTATGCACTAAATGCAGTAGATTCAATACACCTGGATTTAATGGGTATATGTAGAGCAATGCTGAAGAATGTTATATAATTATACATCAGTCAGGAAAATTGGCCCTAAGTCTGACTAAGATGTCTGATTGTTGAAGTCCATACAGTTTCTCTGATTTGACTTCCTTGAAATCATTTCGTTGTTAATATACTGAAACGCAAAAGATGCGCAACAATCGTTATAACTACAAATACCCATATTTTTTATCTTTTGATATGCACAATTTAGCACAGATTTTAACAATTAAAGATAAAACTTGATTTAAAAACATTAAATTTTATCTGTTCATCATAGAAAGAAATATCCGTTAACAGTCCCCACACCCTCACCATTCAATAAAAGCGTGCCACGCACAACAACTGCAGCTTAGATTCTTCAATGCACCAGTCTCTTGGTCTGAGCAGAAGAAATATTCTTCAGCCTTTTTTGAAGTGCTTGTTTTTTAGATGCTGAGGTCCAATTTCCTGGAACCTCGCCCAGTCTAGCAACCCTTAGACTCCCAGTCTACGGACTGTAACTTAAGCTAATGAAAGTATGACCATGATGAGGAGTGATATAGTGCATCTTTGCATCTGCAACTCTCATTCATCTCATTTTGAGAATTTCCAGCTAGAGCAATGGAAATGCGTGCTAACAGTCATTTTCAGGAAGTCTTGGCATCACTTGCAGAAAAGAAAAGAGAACTTTTTTTGGAATATTGCTGCAATACTTATGATGAACAGATGCAAGCTTTTGTAACTCCGAATTGTAGTCAAGTTTTTTGCTTAACATGCAATTTTTGATTTCCGTTAAGTCTGCATCAAACTCTGGTCCAGAAACGGGATGAAAATCATTCAACCATTAAAATACTGACTACGCAAAGGGAAGATGTCCTCACTTTTTAAGTACAAAATTATACCCTTGCGTTTCAGTATAATACATATTTTTAAGGACCACAAAAAACATTCAGGAGGGTTGTTTAGTCAGCATGTATGTCAGAGGATGCTAAGGTAGAGAAAAAAAAATATAAACATCAAAATAAAAAAGATTGTTTTAATAGTGAGGTCAATAATATTTAAATGAAATTTATGATCAAGACAAATTGAGCGTATTTGAGAACATGTTTTATATATATATATATATATATATATATATATGAATAAGCACTTATAATGTATAAATGAAAGACATGACAGTTTTACTATGTCATTCAAAAGAAACAAAGAAAATAGGAATTAACTTTTATGAACAGTCAGAGACTGTTAATGTGTTAATTAATTGTAAAGTTGGATAACATTTTAATGCTGTTTTGTGTAGTAAGTTCGATCGTGATTTAAAATCTGCCAAGAAAAGGTATACATGAACATGCACCAATTGATTAATTTTTTAAGCACTCCTATCAATGTTTAACCCAGATTGAAGTGAATATGCATTTTATGTGGCCATCAGAGGAGAATAAGCAAGATAATAATTATACCTAAAAAAAAATTCCCCAAGTCTAATGTTTTATTGAGGATATTTTGATATGAGCTGATAACAGAACAAAGGGCCAATGTAAAAGGGATTTTTAACTTGCTAAATGTTAAGTGAACATTCATGCCACATGTAAAATTATTCTTTATTCATATTGTTAAGAGTTAAAAGACATACTTTATGCCCTGCCATGAATATAGTGTTTGTCTTCTGTCTGTCCATTCATCACACTTTGCATTTAGCTCAGTTAAAAAGGAACTGTTCAAGAAATTTTAACCAAAATTCAAACATTAATACATACTGGTGAGAGCTATTCCACTGTGACATAATATTCTGACCTTGACCTTTCTTGTAACATTGACCTAAATACTATTCTGGGTTTAGTGCCTTTTCGAAAAAAAACTAGTCAAGGTATTAATTTTATCAAAACTCATACACAGATCATTATAGGAACTATTCAACTGTGTCATAATTTTCTGACCTTGACCTTCCTTATGACTATACTCCATTATATCCATCTTGCATTTAGCACAGATGGAAGAAACTGTTCATAATATTTCCATCAATCTCCATACAAAGATAAAATTGATGAGAGCTATTCAACTGTATAAATATTTTCTGACCTTGACTTTCCCCATGACCTTGACCTCACTATTAATTATTTTGCATTTAGCATTTTTTAAAGGAAACTCATCTTGATATTTTCACCACCAAACTTCATGTACTAGCCTTATACAAGTTTGTGCCACCTTAATTCAACTGTGTCATTGTTTTCTAATCTTGAACTTCCCAGGACCCTAACTTCACTTTTCAAGATTTATTAATCAAACATTATAAAAAGTTACATATTGGTTAGAGCAATTGAAGTCTGTCATAATTTTCTGACCTTGACCCTCCCTATGACTTTTACTCTCTCATGACCATGAACTTAACTTCAAATTTTTTTAATGAAACTTAATACAAAGATACATATTGGTGAGAGCAATTCAACTGTCATTATTTTCTTGCCTTGACTTTTTCAATGACCTTGACCTTCTTTAGTGTTCAAGATATTTTTGTCAAACTTTGTATACTGATGAAAATTAGTAAGAGCAGTTAAAATTGTGTCTAATTTTATTTTACCTTTGACCTTCCCTATGACCTTCGATTTCACTTTAATCCTCATTCTGCTCTTCTTATTCAATTCCATAAATTTTAAAGATCACTTCATTCATCTCTCAAATAAATCTTCTTTTTTTTTTTGTTGTTGTAAAATATTGGTTTAAAGAATGTAAACATGAATAAAATCATCATTCTACAATATACCATTATTATATAAAAAGTACATATTACTGAGCCATTACCATAGTTGTATAATGTATTTAGTTGCCAAAAATGGATTTATTAAAGTACTTTTATAAATTAAAATACAATTTAGATAATTAAGGATTTTCCCTGACAGAATGGAATTATGGTCATTGAAAAAGGAAAGACTTTCTACAGTTTTACTGATCCAATAATTTTTACTATATTGCAGAATATGATGTTAATAATTCCCTTATTAATAAATTGTACAAGTCTAATGGTGCAGTGTCTCCTAGCAACATTACATTAGACCCTGGCTGCTGACCAGCTCCATGTTTAGTTTGTATTTTGGGGGATTTAAGGATTGATTTTGTGGTTGTGATGGCATAAGTTTGCTCAATTTTCCAGAGGTATATTAGAGTCTGGGCCCATTACTTGATGGCAATATTGAGCTTTAAAGTGTCAATGGACCAATTCGCAAACCGGTTTTTGTCTGGAAAATTGTGATTGACACATCAAAAGGCTTCCAGCAATGAAACAATATTGATCTCGCAGATGCAATATTTTAGTCTGTAAAGAAAATTACATCTTTTGTGACATTGTGTAAATATTTTCTCAGATAATTGTTGGTATCAATTTAATATGGCTTGCTTTCTATAGTTCATACAAGGCTTTGGCATTGGTATTTCTGTTCAGAGTAAAAATAATGTGTTTGCATAAAATGTATCATTATCAAGATAAGGCCCTGAAATTCAATTCAACTGTATTATTAAAGAATTGCTGGGTCCTTCAGTTTGAGCATATTATGCAACAACAATATTAGTTTTAAAAAAAAAGAAAACTATTAATACATACAAGGTCCTTTTGACCAGAAGGAGACAGTGTCATTTGATCTTCTCTAAAAATATTTGGACAAAAGGGGGGGGGTGCATTTCTACTCCAACCTGACTTATGAGGGTGTCTCCAGATAGTGAAATCAATTGAATCAGGTCAAGGTCATTTGTGAGGAAAGGAGTTCAATTTGATCACTCTTAAAGGGGCTGGGACACAGATTTAAGCTCATATTTTCTAAAATTTTCTATATAATATCATGACTTATTTGTTGCTAATGAGCATTTCACATTGAAATATATTAAAATTGTGTTAAGAAACTTCTTTTATCTTGAAATTATTAAACTACAAATTTTGGGATGCATTTGATTAACACATATCCTTCCATTTTTCACAAAGTAAACTTTATCCAAAATACTTCAGAAAAGTAGAAATTTTTTTGTGTATTAATGAAATATAATTAAAACTATAATCCAGAAAGTTCAGAGTAGAAATGCGAGAAAGCAAAACCAACTCACCAGTATTGTCACTCCATGCTCAGTGATGTATGCAGACTAAACAAATTGAACACACCCAGTAAAACATTTAAACACTAACAATGACAGAGCTCTTGCCCTGTTTACAAACATGGGTGTTTGACATGATGTTATGAATAATATCGTCATTGAGTTCTTATAATATTCATGTAAGTTCAAATCATTGAACTGAAGTTGTTTTTGTTTTTTTTAATAAAATAGACATATAAAATTGTAAACAATGCAACTGTGTCCAGGCCCCTTTAAAGACTTAAAATGTTTGAAAGTTTGTACATGTGCTAATAACATTTACTCACAAAGGTTTGCTTGTGTATTTTGAATTGAAATTTTGAATCAGTTAAGCAGGTAAAGGTCACTTGATGAAACAGAATGCAATTTGTTGTATTTTCTGATTATATATTTTTAACTGGTACTTAGAATTGCATTGAACAACATCATTTGCTAACTTAATTATAACAATATATATATATATATATATATATATATATATATATATATATATATATATATATATATATATATATATATATATATATATATATATATATATATATATATATATATTGTTATAATTAAGTTAGCAAATGATGTTGTTCAATGCAATTCTAAGTACCAGTGAAAAATATATAATCTCTTTGGTTTTTCACCTGGATTAAATAAATATACATGAATTTGCATAGAATATTTTTTTTATATACAACATCTTTGAATTTATTTGCCTTGAATTTGAAAAAAAAAAAATTAAATTGCAGATCCGTGAAACAATTGTTTTTCTCTTACTTCTAATTTTTGATCAACACAGTTACACTGCATGCCTTCATGAGGCTGACTTTCAGGTCTCAAATTCTTCTATAATCATGACATTAAACAGAAAATTATTGTCAACATCAACCAAAATGACTCCATTGCAGAGCCTGCAGAATTGGGCTATAATTGAATGAGAGAACAAAGTTTGGATTTTCACATGTTCACAAAACTTGTTAATATATATCCTAATCATGTGACAGTAGAATTCCAGTCAGTCTGCTAATGTTAGAGTATATAGTATGTTCACATGAGAGCTGACATTACTTATAAGGGCATGCAATTAAGTAAATGCATTGGAAATAAAACATTTGTAATTCAAATTAAGCAAAAAAACATAGACTTCAGAGCCTAAGCTAGATTCTCTGCAAGTTTCCTATGCTATATCATATATAGCTGAAGAAATACAGTAAAACTTGGTTATAATACTAAATATGTTCAAAAAGCAATAAATACAAAACTTAATATCTTAGAGAACTAAAGTTTCTGATGAATTTTAAATATAAATAATTTCAACAACAACAAAAAATTCAGTTCAACAATTTAAAGTTTTAGGTCTTTAAAAATCTGCTACAAAAGTTGTAAATTTCATTATTTTCGTTTATAATAACCATAAATTTTTACAAGGAATTGTTAAGAATTTTTACAGGGATCCCAAAACGCTTTGCTATAATTATCCCCAAGGCCAGGACTTATCTGGGGTGAAGCCAAAACTCCTTTAATGATATGAATTTTTTGTTTCTTTTATTTCATGTACCAGGTAATAATACAAATTTCAAAAGTAGGGGTTAACTCACTTGACTAATGCACAGAAAATGGGGATTAAGTCTATTTACAGCAATACACTTTGATACAAATTTTGAAGCAGGGATTAGCTCACTTGACTAACTCACAGCAAAATAGGATCTAATTTCTAGGGAGTTATTCACATCTAATTTTATAATTAGTGTGCCTACACCATTAAATGTTTATAGGAAGAAATAGATTTGAGAACTGCAGTTTTGGATCAGCTAAGTTAAATCTTTAATGAAAAGGTTAAAGTTAGTTTGCAAGGTTGCAAAATCAAACTACACATAAATATAATTTTAAATTAAATGATATACATGAATATTTTCAGTGGCTGCATATGGAGATTTTAAGAATATCTTCATTTTCATGTACTCAAGACATTCAATTCCATTAAATGCTCGGTTACACATTTAAAGATCTAATTTATTATTACAGGTCACCACAGCTGTTGATACACAGATCTAATTTATTATTACAGGTCACCACACACGTTGATACACAGATCTAATTTATTATTACAGGTCACCACAGCTGTTGATACACAGATCTAATTTATTATTACAGGTCACCACAGCTGTTGATACACGGATCTATTTTATTATTACAGGTCACCACAGCTGTTGATACACGGATCTAATTTATTATTACAGGTCACCACACCTGTTGATACACAGATCTAATTTATTATTACAGGTCACCACACCTGTTGATACACAGATCTAATTTATTACAGGTCACCACACCTGTTGATACACAGATCTAATTTATTATTATAGGTCACCACAAATGTCAATACACAGATGGTCCATGGGAAGCTTGTGATGAAACCACAGACACAATGGCTAAAACACTGACCTTGACCTCTGGTGACCTTAATCACTGCCAACAAACAAAGATCATGCGTAAACCATGCCGAAAATGTTAGTAACCATGTAAGCAAAGTTGATAATGCTCACTGAGGTTTGGTTGATTTTTTTTTTAATGAGTTTTGTTATTGTTGCAGTATAAGACATAAATTTGCAAATTTTTGCTTTAAAATTGTACAGAATTTTAAATTTAAATACTATGAAGAATCTTACTTAAATATAGTAATTCTTTTAATTGTCATCTTTTGTAGCATGTCAATACAAGGCTGGTAAATGGGGGCGCTGTGATCCTAATACTGGTCTTGTAGAACGCCAGGATCGACTCAAACCCAACAGTGCAAAGTTCTGTGCTCAGTATAGAACTCTGACCAAGAACTGCAGAAGGATTAGAAAGAGTGAGTACCCCTGGTATCTTTTATGGGAGCATTTTCATTTCCTTTTTCTTAAATTTGATTTTTTTCCTGAAAACTATATTTAACTAGTATATTGTCATGCTTTCCTTCATTTTGTTTATATGGATGCTTTTAATTGCATGCATTGCCAAATAGTTCTCGTAAATGATATTTCAAAAAGTTGAACTCAGAAATTAAGTATTATACCATGACACATCGACAGTCTTGTCCTCGGAAATGATTCCCTCAATAAAACTGTCACTAATAGTTACAAACCTTATTTGTATTCAGGAGCCTCAATTAAACTTCTACTAAACACAGTCCCTTTGCTTTCCGCATTCCTTAATCTATTGCTTCTGGCATGGAAACTTACACCAGCTTTACTTAAAGAACATTTGTATTCTTGCCCCAGAACAAGTAATGCAAACTGAAGCAGGGGAAAATGAATATTTTGTAGCAATGGTCCCTGCAAGTAATTTTTCCCGAGGAAGAAGCAATCAGTGTTGAACAAAGGCTAACAATTCTTTTCAATATTCATTTGTCTTCAAGTATCAGAGCCCCACATGTCAAACTCAATCTCTGAACACTGTAGTCTATACACTAGCTATACTGCTTCTACATGTTCTATAAATGTACAGTTGATTTGTTCTACATTGATCATGTTTTACTTGTGAACTTAATTTTATTTATAACAGTGACTAAACTGGTAAATATATATACATGTATTTCCAGTAGAGTATACATTTTTAATTACCACGTGTTCTGCCATTTTGTAAAATGTTATCTGGGTGTTTAATAGTGCGTAGAAATTGTTTTTTTTAACCATAAGAAAAAAGGTTTATTGGTAGTTTATGTATAGTTTGGACTCAGGTGGATGCACATTCTGGTGTAAGTGCTGTGTGATTGGTGATTTGAGTGTTATGTACATGATGTCAGTATATGTCATGTCACCATTTGTCAGCATGACATATTTTCGGGAAGAGCGGGGATGTGTTCCAAGGTCATCTCTTTTCTTTACTATACAGATTTGGAAACTGAAAATCCCAGAGGGGAGGGGTGGTCCCTCACTCTAGATTTACATATGGATTAGTACAACATTTATTTCTATACCTGCAACTCTTTTCATGGTTTTCAAAGTATACTAATCAATAATTAAGAAATGCATCTTTAGGAATCATTAATGTCATGAATATAGTCATTTCTTCTCTACATACTGATTTAGTAATACATATTTAAAAACAAAACATATACAATAGGAAACTCCTGTAAGTACACAGTGAGTCCGTGGGGACCATGTGACCCAGTGACTAAGAAGAGGACGAAAGTCCTGACCCTAGTGAAGGGAAACGCCATAAAATGTAAATCAACAAAAGAGATTCACAGACTGTGTATACGACCAGATGGAAGAGGTAAGGTTTTTTTTTCTTTTGTGTGTATGTATATGTATGACGTATACATAACCTGCTATGCCCTGTGCCATTACATCTCACCTCAAGGTGACCCCTAAATATCAATTCTTTTAATTAGAAGTTGATATTTTCATTTTTGTGTCCATATTTGATCAGATGTCATCAGAAAGTCTAGTAAATAGACCTCAGATGTGTTTGAATGCTGTGAAAATAAAAGAAGAAAATGAGGTTTGATTGATGGAAAATGCTTCAGTTCGGAATCATCTTGTCGGAATAGAGAATATAGATTTATATTGTGGTCAGCTGGTTCTCTGTCAGTGTAGCAGCTGCTAAATCATTCTGTGAACTGATTGTGATTCATTTTTTCATTTTCACTAATCATATCATAGATCACTATATAGTATATACAATGTTCTAGCTAGTATATGACTTTGTCTTACTTGGCTATTTTATTGCCCGACCATGAAGAGCAGGCACATATAGTGTTTCTGTCATCTTCCATCCTTCTATCACACTGTTTTTAGCTCAGTTTCAAAGAAACTATTCTATATATTTTTTTATCAAACTTCATATGCTGATACATATTGATGAGCCTTATCATTTTTTTACCTTGACCTTCCCTTTGACCTTGACCTCACTTTTCAAAAATTTGTGTTTAGCTCAGTTAAAGAAACTGTTCAAAATATTTTTAATCAAACCTTATGTGCTCATACATATTGAGGAGAGCTATTCAATTTCATGAACATTTTGACATTGACCTTTCCAGTGACCTTGACCTTACTTTTCAAAATTTGCATTAAGCTCAGTTTTAAGAAACTAATAACGATGTTTTTTACCTGATTTTTTTTTTACTAAAAAGGATTCATGCTTCTCTCTTTTAGATCGTTGCTTCTTTGGCCAATGGAAGGACTGGGAGGGATGTCTGAATGGAGTCCAGAAGAAACAGCGGGAGGTTCTACAAGGAGGAGATGAATGTCAGATCCGGGCCGTCAGAACTAGAGCTTGTTAGTCATGGAAATTCTGTGTAGAACAAGAGAAACTTGTGCACTCTGAACACTGAAGCCAATTATTGGTCAGGAGTTGATGGGTTCTTTTGTGTTAAACTTGTTAAGTAATCATGGTAGTTTTATTCATTCATATTGAATGAGACTCAGTTTTACAATGTTTATATGTGTAATTGATGGGGTTTTTTTTCTCAAACATTCATATGAAATTTTGGGTGTAGACAAGGATATTTATTATCAAAAGTTGATATTTTACATATTTTAAATTATATAACACATATTTTGAACACATCCCATTTGAACAGCTAGTCTGGGCGGCTTAGAAATGGCAAAGATATGGATTCCTGTCATCCAGAAACCTGTGACTATAGCAATCTTTTTCCTATGGAAAATATGTATAGAAAGCCAGGCCAAAAAGAGGTCAAGGCATGGAATATTTGCTGAAATATTGAATTACATCACATGGTTCTAAAACTCGGAAACCCTGTGCCAGAAATCTGTGTCACTTTCCATATATGGAGACACAGATTTTTGGAAACCAATGTCAAAAAGCTGTATGACTTACCATATAAGGAGTCATATGGGATCAGTGCATTCAGCTTTATATAGGTCAGGAATGGGATCAGTACATTCAGCTTTATCTATGTCAGGAATGGGATCAGCACATTCAGCTTTATCTAGGTCAGGAACTCTATAGAATCTCCTGATGTTACTGTAGATGTTAAACTAAGAATTACATGATTAATATACACAATTGTTATTTTACCCATTAATTAAATTTGTTCAATTTGAGAAAGAATTGAATTAAATCATATAACTTTCTTTATCACAGTGGCACATAAAATAAAATGGGACTGTTAAGTTTAAGTAAAACTTATGTCCATGTTCTGGATATGCAGAGCACTGACAGATTTTCAAAAACACAGGTTCCATCCCTTAGCCATGTCTATTCAGCCTCAAAATGTTTTAGGGTTAGTTGATACATGTAACTGTATTGTTTCATATGTGTTTTTAATTTTTTTTTTTTTTTTTATAAATCTTAAGTTTGATAAACTTGTATATGAAATTATTCAATTTAATTTTATCATGATGCAAGATTTTTTTAAATTTTTAAACACAGGATAAATATATAAGCATATTTTTAAATGAAAAATAATGTACATTATCAATGGAGGACAAGTATGTGCAATGCAAACCAAACATAAGTATCATTAAATTTAACATGATAATCAGTAAAGAAATTCAATCAGTATGGTGCTAAAGGTTTTATAATGACCTCACTTTTTTTAATTTCTTATTTCATTCTTCTTTTTTGTGGGAGGGAGTGTGGGGTATTCAATTATTAGAACAAATTTGTATCATTGAGGATGCTTATTATCAAGTCTGGTTAGATGGTCTTTTCGGTCCCCGAAAAGATAGATGAAAATGTCAAAAGTTTAAAGACAATAGACCACAGAGAGATGACAAACAAAATTTTGATCACTTGGACATGAGCTAAAATATAACTCCTTTATAAACAAGCAAATTACTTAGGCATTGCACTTTAACTTATTTAATTGAATCTGAGAGATACATGTCATTGAGCTTTTTATCATGATATTCCATCAGATATATCATTCCTCTTCAAACTGAAGATTTATCAATTTAATCCATTTTGTTATATCAGATCTTGAATTTACGTGTTCACATGATTTGTACTTCTACTTCTAATAAAATACAAACTTAATTTGAATAATTATGTTGTTGTTGTAAATACATGTATAATGAAAAATTAAGTTGGTCTGTAGTAGAAAAATCTAATTTATTTTATGCAGAGTTTGAAAAATATACAATTATTCCCTAAAGAAGTTGTACAAACATGATTTTGGGATAATTTTATAGACTTGTAAATATTCAGAGGTAAACGGTTTCCCAATAGCTATACCCCCATTTTTCATAGAATTTAATAACTAAATTACTGTCAGTGCATTATAAAATATTGATTTATAATGAAAGATCATGTTTTGAATATATTTTCCTGAACTTACTGATTTCTGCCTATTAGGGTTCAGGATTCAAAAAAAAAAAAAAAAAAAAAAACAACTTCAGTTGGAGTTTAAGGACAGATGATACAAACAAAAAAATGGATGTCTGGATTTGTGTATCTTTTTTGACCTATTTTGGATTGTAAGTGATGTGAATAATAAATTTATAATTTATTAAAAAACTTTCTCATTCATAATTCTACCTTTCTGCAACCATCCTTATTAATCTATACAAGTTTTTGTCACATAAAATCCCACTAGTGTTGAATTTGAATGAAAAATTAAAATCTATACGGTAACTTATTAATTTTACTTTATATAAACATGATAATTTATTTTCAAGATTTTTGATAAAAGTTTGTTTTGTACCTTTGTTTCATCTGTCCTGAAGATGAGAATATGCATCACATTTTGAAAGCCAACGATAAAGGAAAGACAACTCTTGACAGCCATAACTGTAATTATCACAAAGAGTTGTAGAACTTTGATAAGGAAGAATAATGGTTTTATACGTGAGCAGCCATCTTATGCTCTTTTTCGTCAATGAAAATAAAATCCAGGACTAAAATGGCAAAGAGAGCAAAAAGAAAACACAACAGTATCTGGTTTTGAATTTTAAAGTTTAATCATTAAGTAATCATCCTGCTCTGCAGAAATGTATGACATGCACTCCTCTTATATATCACAGTCAGAAACTATCATTCCCAGAAATGATCCAAACACACAACACATATAACAAAACAACAATGTAAACAAAATTATGCCACAGACAGACAGAGTCTGTTTTACACCTATGTTGAATGATAAACTATTAAAGTAATTCATTGTATTGTATTAGATGTACATGTTTAGTAATTACATCTACGTTGAATAAAATAACACTATGAATGGAATCATTTACATGTACCTATATATAATTCAGCTGAACTTTACTACATTACAACTTTAGACAAACCGGTAAATTATGGTATCTAGAATGGCATCATATCAATTAATAGAGAAGATAAGATAAAGGCTACACAGACTACAAGTAGCACTTCATGTTACTGTCGTAAAAAAAAATTCATACGGCTCTGGCTGCTACAATTACAATTATATGATTACATGTATATATCATTAACCGATTACTCTATACTTTAAACTACCTGTAAATATTTCATTGTGAAAACTAATACAGTTATTATTAAAGACATTTTATAATTTTAGTAGCACTGGTTTTTTCCCCCTATAAAACAAAGTCTGGTTTTAATTGGACATTGGTCTCAATCACTGTTCATCTGTAGAAGGGAGTTGATTGTTGTGTCCTTATTACCACGGTTGGCCTCCAGCACTGACCTTATGACCTCATCCTCCATATTTGGGAACATGTCCTTAACCTGCTTGAAGTCCTCCTCTGTGTATAGAGGGCGCTGTGGTTGGGGGGTCCCCCCTTGTTGAGGGTAAGCTGGCATTCCAGCAGGTACAGGTTGAACTGTAAAATAAAATTGACTCAAGTGTTGACTTCACTGTTTGTCAATTGTGTACATCTAAAAACGGTAGAAATAAATGTAAACAGTATGTATTTCAGGCACTGCGCTCTCCTTCATGTAAAGTTATGGAAATTACATATTGTAAATGGCCTTTATATTTTTATTTTTCCTTGATATGGGTTTACACTCATATACAAAAACTGAAGTACCCATATTAAATTGCTGGCCAGGTCCAAGAGAATGAATCAAATTCTTATCTAAAGACATGCAGAAAATGACATAATTGATGCTTCTGATCAGGTGTAACAAATTAAAGAAAATACAAAGGCAAGTTCAAGTTCGATTTAACACAGTACTGTACAGGTAGTTGCCATGACCTACATATACACATAGTTTAAGAACTGCCATGATAATTCATAACCAAATCTACAACAAAATTAGTATTTGTAACATAAATAAAAATAACTGTATAAAGGAGCAATAAAAATTGCAGGACAACTATTCATTTTTATCCAAAACATGCATAAACACACATTACCAAAAACTAACTTGATGAATTCTGAATATATGTACATAAACTATAATTGTAGAAAATCTTAGAACATGCACCAAAATTCCATTAAGATATAACAACACAAAAATGTCTTGCAAATAAAACAGAAAGGTGACAAAAACCTTAAATATGCCTTTTGAAATTACTGATTTGCATATATAAGAAAATTGAAAAGTTTATATATACACATATCCTTTTGACTGAAACATCTTACAGGACAAGGAGATAAATTTGCATTATATAGGCTGAAATGTCTATAACAATTTGCTTGTCAAACAATACATTATTTTAGCAATTTCAATGCTTTAAATTTACTTTCAAAAATCCTATCTCTATATGCATAGGTTGCATCGCAAACACAAAAATAAAATGTGTTTAAAATTGAAGCACCCAAAGAATATTCAAGTGATATGACCCCAAAAATACATGTACGTGTTTCCATCTCATAGAAAAGTACTTCTGTACAAAATATGAAAACATTATGTTGAAAACTATTTGAGTTATCCTGTCACATTAAGGACAACTAGACAGATGGAAAATGATTCCTATAGGGCTCCTGCTTTTTACAGGGCCACACTTTTTAGGTCTCTGGTACCAAAACAGATATTTGAAAAAAATTATCCAAAATATTTGGCATATATCTCTAAAACTGTAGAAGGAGTTTTACTGATAAGAGATTATCATAGATGGATAAATGGAGATAACTTAAAACAAACCCAAGCTTTCTCTAGAAAGTGTGGGCATATGACAAATAGAAGTTGTAAATCAAAATGCAATGTAAAGTTTAAATAGATTATATATACATGTAAATAACAGTTAGTAAAAACCTAAATTATGCCGACACAAAAACACATTACCTGCAATAGGGAACCCTCCTGTAATACCACAAGCTTTCATTTAGTTACACTGTTAAGAATGTTACAGCCAAAGGATACTGATAACAATCAACTCCAAATTATATAAAAGTAAACAATCCCAGTGGATGTTTTAATTTTATTTTTATTGAATGCTAGTTTAATGTGTAGAATAGGACCTGATTTAGCCAAACAACTGCCTTAATAATCCCATATTCCCTTTAAGCCTTGAGTATACCTTTCCAGGAGACTGACCTTATCACCACTGGTAGAGAGCTTGTTATTGACTTACCTATAGGTTGTGGGTAGTACACAACAGGCTGCTGGTAAAGAATGGGGGTGGTGGATTGTACTGCTGGTTGCTGTACCTCCTATGAAAATGTAAACATGCCACAAATTACTGTAGTATAAAACTAGAGATACTGTGAACACACTCACAAAAATTATACCACTGCTATATTTCATTCTTTTTTATAAGGGACCTTGACCATTAGTAAATAACTTCGGATCAGGCTCAAAATGAACTTCCACTTTATTTCATTCCAAAGTTAATGCACTGTACCTGGACAAAACTTTTTTGGCAGTGAATGTAATTGTCAAAGATGTTGGTATCTGTAGACTAAGGCCAAACAAAAAAATATGTGTGGTTCCGGTTACACTTCCAAAAAAATTAGGGTAGGTAGGCAGGGATTTTTTTTTTTTTTTTTTTTTTTTTTTTTTTTTTTTTTTTTTACCAAAATGATTTTCTTAATTTTTTCTTTAGAAATAATACCTATCACTGCTTTGCAAATGGCATTTAGATGTGGTGTGATAATATACTAGTCAATATTGGTAGGGGACACCTACATGCTAGTTTGCTTTGGATTTAACACTATTAAACTATGTTTTGCAAGGAGGCCATCATTGCTGAAACTAAAACTTAAACTGGAGCCATTGATGGAAATCGGGGAAAATTCCGGAAAAAATATGAAAATTGCCAAAAAAAAAGTTTAGGGTCGGGGGTATAAAATAGGGAAGGTCGGGTAACCGGAACCACATATATTTTTTTATTTGGCCTAATACCCACCCAAAGCCATAAACTATCTTTGGTATGAATTTGAATGCTTCCCTGTCACATACAGTTATATCCTGACAAAATTTACAAAAACAGATGGATATGCTGATTCCTACACACTAGGTTTTTTAAAATTTTCATTTTAAATATTTTGTTAAGGGGGGGGGGATACATGTACAAATGTAATTTATATTTAAATAAACAGACTAGCTGTGTTTAAGAATGCTTTTTGAATTAACTCTCTCTTTTCTCTCTCTCTCTTTCTCTCTCTCTCTCTCTCTCTCTCTCTGGAACACAAATAAAGCCTAATAAAAAATTATAGAGAATTTTTGTAACTGATTTCCTTCCACAAAATTTATGTATTTCAATTCAGCATTTTAAACTTTTACCTTATACTAAATCCCCTTGTATGACAGACAAACCTATTCTTGCTGGAAAAAGAATGTGTAATATACTATATGCTGCTGTTGGATCTTTCACATATTATTAAGCAAGTTAACATAATAAATAAAACAATGGATACCTACTATACAACAGAATAGCTTAACTCAGTAACTTACGCTTAGTGACATAACTAGATTAATCATGCCTTCCTTCTCATCTCCTTGACGACCACTCAGGGGGAACCACTCATTCACAGTATCCCCATTAAGGACAGATTGAGGAATGGTAATATATGCCCAAGCAATGCGATCATCCATTGTAAACTGTTTCTGTATGAAATAATACCAACACAAATTACCAAACTCCATTTGACATTTTCATTTTTAATAAATAAACTATTCTAATCAGAAAACCCGATGCACATTTTATAAAAGAAATTAAGTGAAAAAGTAATGTTACATTTAAATCATCTTTATATATGGCAGTGTTTTGAAATCTATCTTCTCATATATAAATAAATTTTTACCTCATCAAAAATCTCTAAATACATAGAATCAACTCCATGGGGAAGATACCTACAAAAAAGGCACAGCAATGTTAGAAAGTGCATTTACATTTTTATAATTTGGTGAAAAAAGAGTCAAAGACAGTGAGGATGTTCTCTATCAGATTCAGACTTATATATATTCAATCAGTACACCTGATACACATTCTGCTGTTCCTGCGAAGAAAATTTTTAAAGATTTTTTCCCATATATTCCTATGTAAAAGTTTAATTGCCTATTGGATTTGTGGCCCCACCTTACCCCTGGGAGTCAAGATGTGGACAAACTTGAATCTACACATGTAATGAAGCTTTTACATAAATATGACTAGGAAAGCATTTAATTGCCAATTGTGGCCCTGCCCTAGCCCAAGTGGTCATGATTTGAACAAATTTGAATCTACATTATGTAATGAAGTTTTCACATAACTTTTACAAAAGATTCATCTCTCTTCCAGTGGTTATTGAGAAAATTTCATAATTACCTCCCCTTGAAAGAGGGTGTGGTCCTTCATTTGATAAAAAATTTGATTCCCCTTCACTCAAGGATGCTCTGTACCAAGTTTGGTTAAGATGGAGAAGATGAAATTGTGAAAAGTTTACGATTTCAACAGACGATTAGCAAAATACACTTAAGACTGTTCACGGTAGCTCAGTAGGTAGAGCGTTTGCTCTGTGATCGGAAGGTCGTGAGTTCCAATCTCAGCCATGACTGACCTAAGTCGATAAAAAATAGGTACATAGCAACTGTTCCTTCGCCATGCGCTCGACACTTTGAAGTGAAAGTTGCGGGTCCTTTGGATGAGACCTTAAAATCCGAGGCCCCGTGTCACAGCAGGCGTTGGCACGATAAAGATCCCTCACTGCTCAGTGGCCCTGAGTGCCGAGTAAAGGTAAAAATTTGAAGCCCTTCACAGTTACATGGTGACGTCTCTATGTGAGTGTAAAATTCTCGAATGGGGCATAAAACAACATACAAACAATCAATCAATCACTTAAGCATTTGGTTCAGGTGAGCTAAAAGTAGCTTTCATTTCCTAAGAAACACTTACAGGTAAAAAAAAAAATGCATTTACAGTGTAATAAATAATTCAGTTATTCAAAATGTAATTATTGATAGACTTGCTGTGGTTTCAGTCTCTGAATTCAGTTAAATCTTAACACAGAAGGAATCTTACAATTTGATTGCATTGCAAAAAATATTCAATACAGTATTGAATTAGGAAGTATTATACTTCCATGTACCGTTTCGCCTTGAGTAATGGTTTGTCCTAAATTTTACCCTGTATGTAATACTTAATATCCTTCATTTTAATTTTTATCTCCTTTTTTGTTAGAAAATTTAATTTCCTTTATAAGGAAAAGGAAGAATTCCATTTGCCTGATGAGAAGATCATTTCCCCTAATTATGAGTGATGTGACATACTCTAAACCTCGTCAGAAATGCATTACTAAAACATGACAGAGCCCTCCCCCACACCCTTCAGCAAAAACATGTCCCCGGAAAAATTATGGTATACTGTATACATGAAATAAATATAACTTTGACAAGTTGCATTATTTGCCCTTTACATACATGAAGTACAATAAACCAATAAAACTAATCATACTGATAACGAATCATATTTCTGATGCCTACAAATTGATGTCTTTGTTCCAGCGTGGATTCTTTGATCCATTGTAAGCTGTAGGAGTCTCTATTACAGAGTGACCAATTCTGATTCGGACATAGGGATCCATTCTTGTTATTCCATAATTCTTTGCTAGTTTAGCCTGAAAAGATTCATGTTCTGTTGATAGTAGTATTGTTTTATGAATAAGAATTCAAAGGCAGAATGAGACACTCAAATATAGATGTTACAGAATAGGTATGATGTCTTTACTTCTTTTATAATAACAAAAAAATCAAAATACCAGGGTATGTACAATTGTGATACTGTTCTCAATTCATCTCTCATTTTAATACCAGGGTAAATTTGAATAAAATTGACCACATATTAATTTTGAAATCGTATCCATGTCTTTTAGACTGTGGATGATACAGCAGTTATATCATCATATAAGAGTTGTTCCCTACCTGTACAACCGTTAGACTGAGACGTCCCTGTATGTTAGCGGGGATGGGGGCCATGAACCCAGCTTGCTGCTGAGCTTGGAGGATCTGGGCAATGCGTTCATCCCCCATAACTTGCTGCTGTGTGTTGTTGTAGGAGACTCGTAGGAAATCATTAGGGAGTTCCCCGATCATCACCTGGAGGAAAAAGTGAAGATAATGTACAGTGATTCTATCTCAAATATCTATATACAATACAAACAGTGATCTATCTCAAATATCTATATACAATACAATACAGCGATCTATCTCAAATATCTATATACAATACAAACAGTGATCTATCTCAAATATCTATATACAATACGAACAGTGATCTATCTCAAATATCTATATACAATACGAACAGTGATCTATCTCAAATATCTATATACAATACAATACAGCGATCTATCTCAAATATCTATATACAATACAAACAGCGATCTATCTCAAATATCTATATACAATACAAACAGTGATCTATCTCAAATATCTATATACAATACAAATTTGTGTGCAAACATTAGAATCATATTAGTGACCACCAAAATTAGTTTGAAAAAACAACAATAAGAGCCATGGAAAATTGTTGTATGTGTAGCTAATAACCTATACATATTCTGAACTAGACATGATAGGACTTAAAATTTTTGCATTGATCCTCCAAAAACTTGAACCATTAAATCTAAAACTTAATTGACAATAATGCTCTTTGAGGGAATAAAAAGGAGAGAGAAAAGAGGAGGTCCTTCTTTCACAGTCTTCGACAAATCCCGGGAGTCTGAAGCCCGGGACCTGGTAAAATTGAGAGCGGGCATGTGGAAATTGCATACTTACAAGCCCGAAGGGCATGTAAATTCTGAGGCCTAAGCCTCCATATTATCAAATTAAATAATACCAATAACATTAAATGTACTTAAAAGTCTGATTTTTCATCAAAAGTGTAGCACCAAATAAAATTTTAACAACAGTTTATTCTACCGCCAAGGAGCTCTTTTGCAAAGGAGACACAAAAAGTATACACGTTGAAAACAATACGCGACTTCCAAGGAACTCTTTTGCAAAGGAGACAAAAAAAGTGTACAGGTTGAAAACAATATTAATGGTGAGACAATATATCGATAGAAATTGATTTCGGATCACTCCTTGGCATGAAAAGGCAAGTAAGAATAAAGTTACTATAGATAAAATTCTGGGCATGTAAATATTTGTTCGGGCTAGTGTAAAAAGTGGTTAAACCTGCCCGAAGGGCATGTACTGAAAAAAAGATTTGGCGAAGACTGCTTTCAGTAACTAATCTCTTCTTCTTTCCAAAATAAAAAAAATTATTCAATCAGTACTCCTTATTATAACTGTCCCAGTTATTGCAACAGGTGTCTGGGTCTTAATTAATATACATAAATATGTATGATATCTTATACACATACAAATATTTTTATGTATATAAAGTATCATACATTTTCATATGCATTAAGACCCATGCACCTGTGGTTATTGCGGTTCATAATGAAATCATGATCAGATACACTTTAGACATGCACTGATTTAGAACCTGTATTCTTTTATCCTATAATCATGATCTAAAACATCATTATTTTATTCTTATCAGAATAATTTGCTATCGATTCATAAAAAAATTTTTATTGTCTGATATCTTGGTATAAGACAGCATTAGATTTAGTCAATGGTATAACAGCACTTGGCCTTGCTGACCAATTGAATACTGCGCTTTAGCGTGGCATGATAATTTGTTGGCATGAACAGGTGCTGTTATTTTTTCGACTGAGGACATCCCAAAATAAGAATTCAATGCTTATGTTTATATTCTCTTATTTTCCCTATTTATGTTTTATCATTCATCTTTATTATAAATTTAGCACTTTTCAGAGCTGTTGTGGTTAATAAATGTGTGAGCTTTTTTGACATGGGAAATTGAAAGTTAAATAACAGAAATGAACTTTGCGAGGGGAAAATATGACATATTAATTTCAAACATGCCATTGTAATATTTTTACAACGATTTAATTAAATTCAGTCAAAACAATATACAGATATACATTTAGGTTTTGGTGTTCCTAGTGTATTGAAATTGAATGTAGTTTTCCTAGATCTCCAAGTGTTGTCACTATTTTTTACCGGCTATTTTCATGCTTAAAAAAGAAATCAAATAGACCTAAGTAGAATAAATTCGATCAAGTGCGAAGTCTTATTTTCTGTTGATGACACTGGATTCATCTTTTCTAAATTCTTACCAAAAAAAAAGAATTTATGTTGATTATGCTGGATTTGACTTTTTAGAAAAGCCAAATACTTGTAAAACATTTACTGATTTAGAAACACTCAAACAGGAACCGTGTAATGCGTCGTTGCAATATCGCTTGATTTTGTCAACAATCACTCTCTAAGATAATTGATGTACATAAAGTATTGTACATCCTGTTTGTTTAATATTATTTTATATGCCTACAGTACCTGTGCTCTTCTGTTTTGTGCATTTTGTGCTGTCGCACTTGATGTATTTGTTGTAGCCATCTTGATGTTTATGTTAACGTTTTTACCTGAAGTCTGAAGTAAAATTCAGAGGATATCCGAAAATTACCACTTCCGTTTAGAGTGTCCTTGACTTTCTAACGATAATGATCATGATGAATCATAAATGCTGCCATCAGCTGATTCTCAATCATAAAAAAAATAAAAATTCTTTTTACATATAGGCCTACTTTTCCCGGCAAAAGATAGTTTAATTATATATGTTTAACTATATTTACCACTATAAAAGTTTCATTCATATTACTGAAGATATTTTATAGGATTATTCTTTAGAAACCTATCTGATAATATCTATACTTTCCGACTAAATATTATGTCCCTGCATGATTATAATATATTTACCATGGAAGTTTGATGAAAGATTTTTAAAATTCTTTCAACATATACATTTCCCAGCAAAAGGTGGTTTAATGCTGTATATTAACCATTATATAATAAAATTAATTTATTAGTAACGGGCGGTTGCCCGATAGTCCCGAATCATATTACTTAAGATATTTTATAAGATTATTCTTTAGAAACTTGAGTATTGCAGGAACCTATCTGATAAATATATACTTTCTGACTATGTCCCTGATTATAATATATTTATCTTAGAATTTTATCTTCCATTTTCATTTATTAAGTTTTTCAAAATGAATTCTGTTACGACCCACAAAACATAGGGATCTTCCCATACATGTAGTGCTTCAAGAAGGATGTATACTGTGTTTTATCAGTATTTTATGCCACATGTACCTAAAAACAAGTGAGTGAGGCTTTTGAGATATTTTATGAAATTTTACTCCACCAATTTATCTATACAAGATTCAATTAAGTTTGATTTTGTTGCACAGTTGAACCAAATTTTACTAACTTTTTCACTCCTGTCCTGTCCTTTTTTTATTTTACAATTTTATTTTGTTCATTTTACTTTTGATGCACACCGTGTCGGGTGCTCCTTATACAGAAGAGGAAGTCCACCACATTGAACTGGCTATGGAGAGAGAGAGAGAGAGAGAGAGAGAGAGAGAGAGAGAGAGATTTGCCAAGGGGGTGACAATGTCGGACGGAATGCAACTTTCCCTCACGTAACATCGAGTTGTGGGTACATTTTTTTCTAGTGCTTGGAATGTAGATAATGTTTAGGCTAGTTATCCATTGACATGTCGAAACCCTAAAAATGCTGGGGGAGGAGGTTCCAGATCCTATAGTCGAATTGTATATATACAAGCCAATTTATCACCAATTTTATTCTGCATATATAGAAAGACTTCTAAACTGGTGTAATCAATTTTTTTGCAATGTAATTTTAACTTTAATAACTATAAAATCTTATGGGGATATGGATTCCTCTTCTTACCCGAACCAGCCCTTATAAATAATTAAATATTATATATATATATATATATATATATATATATATATATATATATATATATATATATATATATATATATATATATATATATATATATATATATATAAACTTAAAGATTTTATCATCATTATTTTAAAGAAAAAAAGCTAGTTATTACGGTGTACTTACTGCAGATTGATAGACTGAATGTGTAAAAATATAGGTCCTTCCTGACTTCGCCGATTTCTCAGACTTCCACTTCGATTTCTCAGACTTCAACATCGAGCTCATTTTTGTGATGATAACCAGTAATACAAATGTACATACATATACTGGTCAATAAAATACTGAGTATCTTACATATACATATTTCAAAATATTTTTCTTTTTGTTCATATAGATACCAAGGTCACCTTGATATCTTTTTCTTTTTTTTTTTTTTTTTTTTTTTTTTTGATTAAAAGACACGCAGTATATCTGTCTATGTCTCAGATTACTTTATATCATGCAGGTATATGTATCTGCTTACAGTATGACCTCATCGACAGATTCCCACCGTGGCCTCGCCTCTGAGGTAGGCTATGTCATTGTGTGACCAGGTTTCCGATGAACCAGTATGCTCAGGCAAGTAGTATCATGGTGGATTGTCCCTTTTTGCCTAACATAACTTTTTACTGTTGAAAATATTTTCAACAGCAAACATTGAAATGCCACCCTCCCCCCGCACTTTTTGTTGCAGTGTAGCCAATTGCAAATCACCCATGGCAATGTATCAATAAAAAATTTTGTTTGTAGAAATAGTTGGAACCTCCCCCTCCCACCACCACCAGGAAATAGGATTTTTTCGAGTTTGGATAATTTCCTCTTTTTAAATTTTTTTTTTAATTTGCTTAATGTCAAACTTTTGAAGTACGTTGACAATTTTTTTTTTTCGGCTGCTCCCTCCCCTTTCTGGTGCTCATGTATGTCTGCAACTGAAAAAGGGATTATTTAGTAAAAATTGTTGCTAAAAAAAAATAAAAATTGAATAAAAAAAAATAATTAACATTGAAAACATTATCAATTCTCCCAGTCTCGATGATTTATTTTCTTACTTAATAAAGTATAGAAATTTCAAAAATCACAATTTTTTCCCAAAATCGGTAACATCAAAATGTATGTCCTTTCAACATTTTACAGTGTATATACAACCATTCCTCACAATATATTAAAGTCCAGAGGCTTTTTAACATCATAGATAACTCACTGGAAGTCGGAAATGTTCATATCTTGTGATTGTCATCCAAAAACACGCTTTTGTGATGTCATAGCGAAAATCCTCGATTGAAATATGAATATATATCGCCGTATTTGAATTTAAAGTTTAAAAGTGCTTAGAGAGAATGTAAATTTTATACAGTATTTTGATAAACAATTTTATAGTTAATATTTTAAAAATATAACGAAAAATTTAAATACACCGGAAAAGTCTTTCTGATTCTACTCACAAGTAATCTGAAGCTGACATTAAAGGATGTTGGAGTTCGAATTCCTCATATGCATAATGTACGTAGTCTTTGGAGAAAAAGTCTTCTAACAATCTGTTGGAATCCCATGGCTGCCTACTGTGTCCCTTTATAAGCTGACCTGTACCTTTATGAAGCAGACTTTATTCTCTGCACGAAAAGATGTCTCTTGCTGTATAGCCTTCTGTTCTACATTTAGATATATCGGCATTTTATTAATAAACAATTCTTATGTTGATTCGATATATTCTACTGAACTGAAATATAATACACCGCAGAGCATCATGGATGTACATGTACGTTATTAGAGAAGCTAGGCAAGCTAACAATTAACTTTAAAATAAACGTGATTTCACCAATTTAAATTTTATATCATCAACTTCCTTTATTTATGGACATGGAGCAATATACATTTTCATCTGCATATGTTATTTATGCCTCCCAGTTGATTCAATACGCAAACTTTTTGCAAAAGCATGTTCTGCGTCCGAACAATTTGTAAACCGAGACAAGCTAGTGACAAGTAAGTTGATGTTACAAGGGTATCAATTTCCACGTTTAAATCAATATTAATTTTGCAAATTCTGTAGTCGATGCAATGACCTTGTTTGCAAATACAATATGTCTTTAGGTTGAATATTAAGTTAATAGGCCACTTTTTAAATTCCAAATTGTCTACGGATTACTGCGTTGTTCCCGATAAAGATGAATGGAAGTTATAATCTGGACATTTTTTTTTTATTTTTCTACGACAGAAGTTCGTTAATAAAAATGGAGTCGTCATGCAGCCTTCAATGTCTTATTCATTCAAATCCTGACTATATAATAAAACAATTATGGACTCTTTCGGTGGTGAAAGTGGTTTGTTATTCACCAGAAAAATATCAATATTGACATCGGCTTCAATTTTTTTGTCTATCTTTGCCAAAACAAACTAAAATAAGATATCACTTTTTTCAACCCCTTTTATTAGATGGAAAACAATACAAACCTCTTCATATAGATAAAGCACATTATACATATAAAAAAACCTGTAAATGATAAATAAACTTAAATGAAATAATATGCAAGCAATGTCAAAAACGATTACATGGAACAATCTAAATGGCAGTTACTAACACTTTCACACGCATTTCTTATTATTGAATGTTATAAATTTCATTTTAAGATAAGTTTGCAGTTAGTTTAATACCGGTATTTAAAATCGAACAGTTTAACAGAAAAAGATATTTAAAAAAATGAAATAAATTGAACATTCAGTTGATCCATCACTTTCTGGTGCCTCCTCGTCGGGGAGCCTTTGCCTTGAACACTTCACTATAAAAAAGAAAATAGAAATTCAATATCAAACATCACAGGTGTTTGAAGCAATTTCTTCCTTGAGATGCTATATTCAATACATGTATAAGTTTATGCCTTTTTATTTTCACCCATAATCAATGGGAAAAACTTCCATCATAAAAGAAAAAAAAAGAACTCGATCATTCTTGTTGTCACATTTTACATACTAATATTATGGACAGGAACCTTACAATGAAGCACCATATGAAGATCTAAAGGACCGTGTTACTCATTTAGAAATCTTTTTAAAAATACCATTAATAGTTATATATAGTTACATGTACTGTAACATATATGTAGTTCGTATATACATGAACTGTGACATATATGTAGTTCGTATTTACATGTAAATGTACTGTAATATATAGTTCGTATATATTATACATGTACTATAACATATATGTAGTCTCTTTTTTATGTGCAAGAAATACGATTTTTTTAAAACTGCGAATATCAGCGATTTTTCGATTTTTATTATAATCGGTATACTTAGACATAGAAAACACACCACCCTGCAACCGAGCCCCTATGACCGTAACCTTCCGTAGGTTCCTAAGTTCTTGGTCTTCACTTAGGAATAGAATATCTTTTAGTTATCGACAATGCCTTATATACATGTATATCCTACCTTATATCTCTTACTATACTCTTAAGTCCTTTTCCAATTTCTGCCTGGTTGTTAGCATCATCAAAATAAAACCGGTTCTTGAGGGTAATTTGTTGCACCTTGGTGTCATCAAGCAGCGCGCGCGCATTTCTCCATGTCATGATGTACGTCTGCAATATGCAATGAAAGGAAATATGAGTTACCACTTTCTTGTTTCTGAAAACTAAGGGGGTTTGCAGCCAAGACAAGCCAACTGAATAATGTGATTTATTCTGGAAAAACAAACATGAGGTAATCAAAATTGAATTCTGATATCAGAATCTATATACAATTTATGTATCTTGACGTGGTCTACGTGCAAAAAAATGTAGGGGGACTAGAGTTTAATCATAAATACTTTCAAACAGACGAATGCTTGGAGCTACACTTAATATTTGTATATTTATCTCTTCACATTATTCACTATATTATAGTTATATATACAACCAATCCCGGTCGCGGTAGCTTAGTGGTTCGCTTAAGTTCGTGACCGGGAGGATCTGGTCCGATTCCCGTGCCCCCCCCCCCTCCCCGATCGAGTCAAAGCTATAAGTAGTAACTATTCATACGCCAATTAAGTGCCCGGCATTAGAAGTGAAAGTCAAGAGAATTTTGAATTTGACTTTAACAATAGGCCCAAGGACCTTAAAGATCACGTATAAGTATAACAGATCCACAGAATGACGGATTAGTAATTATAAAACAAAGCAAAATTAACTAGTAGGGGAAGACATGTTGTTTAAAAACAAGAGAAAAAGGACAATCAAGGATCAATAAAATGGTTAATCGGTAATCTTAAACATCTCTGAAGGTACACTTCTTAATTGCTTGTATTTGCCAGATTGTTGCCCAAACTGCCACGTGTTTTAAATAGCACTACTCGTGACAATGAAATAGTGCTTTCGCATAACACTGCAGAGTTCCCATCCACCATTTGCCGTTCACTGTATAATCATAAACGGAGGTTCCATGTCACAGATAACGAATTCTTACTATACGATCGTTAGCGCCATGCATAAGTCAAAATTCGTGGCAGTTTACCTAAAGCTAGTGACGTCTCAGCATGAATGAAAAATTATCCAATGGGACGTAAAACAACATTCAATCAAAATATACAGCCATAACTTACAATGTCATCATCCCTAGAGTACAGCACTAATGTGTTAGTGTCACAAGTAGTCACATTCCAGAACATACTGAGGTAGTAGGCGTACACTCGTGCATCATACAACACGTCCTGGACATTAGCTGACTGACTGAAATAGAATAAAACACAGGCCAGGTAAAATGGAATGAAACAATAGAGGCAGATTGGTTAAAATAGAATAAAACACATAGGCAGACAGGTTAAAATATAATGGAGCACATAGGCAGACAGGTTAAAATAGAATGGAACACATAGGCAGATAGGCTAAAATAGTATAAAACACGTAGGCTGACGGGCTAAAAGAGAACGAAACACAAATAGGCAGACATTCTAAAATAGAATGGAACACATAGACAGACAGATTAAAATAGAATGGAACACAATGGCAGACAGATTAAAATAGAATGGAACACATAGGCAGACAGGTTAAAATAGAATGGAACACAATGGCAGACAGGCTATAATAGAATGGAACAAATTGGCAGACAGGCTATAATAGAATGGTACACAAAGGGAGATAGGCTAAATAGAATAAAACGCATCTTAGGCAGACCGGCTAAAATAGAATGATACACATTGGAAGAAAGGCTAAAATAGAATAGAATAAAAAAGGCAGAATGTTAATGATATAACAGACCGGCTTAAATTGAGCAGAACACGACTACCTAGAACACAGTAGTTACACATTAACAATAACAAACCGGAAATAGAACAGAGTAGAATAAGAAAAGCACAGTGGTAGACCGTAGTAGAATATACATTAACAGACAATAATATATAGAATGTCTAAATGTAGTCACAGTCTGCTCTGTCTAGATATCAGTAAAATATATAACAATTGACTAGGAAACAATAAGACATACGATAACACAGCAACTAAAACATAATACACTTGTATTATATACACCGGCTGACTACTGACTAGAATAAAATTCAGGTAAAAAATGGATTACACATATGAGACTAATCTCTAAAAAAAAATCTTTATTTCCGAAACTTCCGAAACAAACTGACTTTCAAAATAGGCGTTTTAATTTCTTTGCAACCAAGCACTTTATCTAATTTCTAAACGCCGTAGAAGTCACGGAAGTGCATGCATGCATTCACTGACGAAATTATATACAGTATATTATCTTTGGTATTTTGTGGTTTGACTTTTTTATGGTTTGACTTTTAAGTTCAAGAGACGCATTGTTCACCTTCTAAACGATGGACAACGTAGCTATAGATTGAAGGGTGGCAATGAAAAACACCATTGTGTTTTTGAGATTTCAAGATTGCAAATTTTAAGAAATTACACTCAACAATAATTATTATTAAGGCGCTTATTTACTCACTTGACTATTCTATACATCCGGGGCATTATGGCCACCATTATGGGATAACCCTGGTTGTTGGTTGCACACTCGGTACACGGGCACTGAGTGGACTCGTATGTATCCCGAACCATTTCTTGTAAAGCTTCAGCTGCATGTTAAAAACAAACATCTATGACAAACTATTCTTTAGCTTTACAACATTATGATTTTATGGTATTTATAAGCGAGTTAAAATTTTCACAAATCCTGGCCATTTTAGTATTAAAATTACAGAACGATATTTTCGCGAGTAGACGGTCTCGCGTAATTACGCGAAAATAATGTTCCCGAAAATAAAGTAATTTATGGTATACAGAAAGAAAGTAATTGAAAGAGAAACTTAGTGGTACTGTGAGGACTGAGCTCACAAAAGCCCCCCCCCCCCATATGAGTATAATGGCAAAGTGTATTTCTTGGTAGTATGGAAATTAGATTCTGTGAAAGTTCCATTGAATTTCATTCAGGGGTTTAGGAGGAGTTCTGTTAACAAAATGGGTACCCCCCATTATCGAGTATAAAGGCAAAATCCATGTTTTGCAATTTGAGACCCCATATATATCTGGCGAATCGAAACGTAAAGTAGGAGGAATACAATTGCACTATGTAACAAAGATTATCTGAAAGTCTCATTAACTTTTATTCAGTAGTACATGTACACGCACAAACCTCAAGCGGGGATATAAAATTCAACGTTTAGATATTTTTTTGTTACTTTACCAAAATGATAAATAGAATACGATATGGTTATTTATGCATGGTGAATAGACACGCCATTCAAAAGAGCCTTACCATCCGCTGAGGAGATAATGCCGTTTGGGTCACATATCCAGGAGGACTCCTTCATACCACACTGCTTGGACTGATAGACAGGGTGGGGGAAGTCTGTCACCCTCCATTGAGCGGAGGACTGGGCCCCAAGAACCACCGACAGAATTAAAACAGCGTATAGACAAAACGTCTTCTGTAATATAATTAAGGAAATGTTATGATTTGGAATTATGACTGGTGATATATTTGTATGCATGTTCTTGTATTCAAAACCTTCATTAACAAAGGAAAACACAAATACTTTAGATTATAATGCATAATACATGTATTTTGAGTGAAATGATAAAAAGTCATTGCTGCCAAATTTATTAAGTACAACAGGCTTAACCACAACTTACTCTAAAATATTCCGCCCCTTTCAATGAGGACAACATAAGTGTGCTAAATGCATTTTACATATTTGGGGTCACTAACTTTCATTTTTTTTTCTTTAATCTAAATGCCAGTGGATTTACGCTATATAATATCGACAACGAATCTATTTTGCGGTCCCATCTTTTATTTCTGAACCTACCTCTTTAAATATGCAGAAAAATTAACAACTCTTTGTTAATTATTATGTACTGACTGGAAAAAGAAACGCAACATTCTATTAAAAAAACAGAACAGAAATATTTATGAAGAAATATGCAGAAAAATTAACAACTCTTTGTTAATTATTATGTACTGACTGGCAAAAGAAACGCAACATTCTATTAAAAAAAACAGAACAAACCACACACACACACACACACACACACAATGAGTAAAGTTTGTGCTGTGAAAGTTGAAACCTTTTCAACTTTGTGTTGTCGATAATTTAGCGGTTGACTCAGTCTTGTCCCGACTGATTCACAGAATTCAATTTTGATTACCCCATCTTGGATTTGTCGCACTTCTAGTCAAATTATAAAAATACTACAATAAAAAATTTGCTCAGTTTATAACATGTGATAAATAATACTATATTGTTATATTTATGAAGCACAAAATTCTATCGTCTGGTTTCCAATGAAGGAAAATCAAGAGTTTTGCCGCACTTCTGATATTCTATCACGCAGTGTCAAAATATCATTTTTGTTCAATAAATAAACAAGCAATTTAAATTCAAAGAATAGTGATCCCCCGCTTTCTGTGTCTTAGTGGATGGGATGTCATTATTTATGGCATATTGTGTCAAATATCTACGCCTATCATACGTCATTTCAAAGTAATCACCAAAGTTAACATTTTTGAAAATTAGGTCAAACATGAAGGTCAAGGGGTAAAAAATTATAGCATGTTCGGAAACATCTTGTTACAGGTAATGCACATGTCATATATGTAAGTCCTATATCTTCTCAATCAAAAGTTATAAGGAAAGATAACATTTTTGAAAAGTAGGTCAAACTTCAAGGTAGGGATCAAAGATCATAGTATATTTGAAAAAGGTCTTGTCACAGGTAATGCACATGTGAAACATGAAAGTCCTCTCTCTTCTCATTCAAAAGTTATGAACAAGGTTAAAGTTTTTGTGACAGACGGATTGACTGACAGACGGACAGACAAGTGAGATTTAATGTCCCCTCGCTTTCGCGAAAGCGGGGAACAATTACAATATTTCACTCTTGAAATGTAATACAAAATATTTCATAAATTATATATTCAATTATTGTTGTTTTAAAGCAACCTGTTACGTTTCTTTTGTGTGTCAGTATAGTTAATAGAATGCATGAATAATAATGATTTCCAAAAACTCGCTGTCGATGAGATTCAAACTCGTACCAAAGGAAAGAAAGAAAAATGAAAAGACACAACAGTACCAGCAACCTCATGTCCCACCTAAGATGGACAAAATACATGAATCGTTTTATTATTGCAAATGTGTGATATTAAATAGTTTATAGATGGTCGCTCCCCTCCCCCATGGCAGGGTTGCACATAGAAAGTTCAAAGGAAGATGAATGAACTATTCACGATAAATCTAACGACATGTACTTTTAACATCTAAGCACTTTTACCATCATATTTTTCTATGCGAAAAAAAAACTGTTATTTTTTCGTTATATCATGTTGTAAATTTTGAATTTACTAGAGGGACGAAAATGCAAAATTTACAACATGATAGTTAAAACATGTAAAAGCAGGAAAATTATCTAACTTAAGAATTTGAAGACATCTTTTGTTTATTCTTAAAACAATGAAAATCGACCTGTAAATTTAGGTAATTTTATAATTTGGATATACATGTACATGAGTGTTTATATAGAAGAAAAATTCAACATCTTTTTTTCCTTTTAATAATGATTCTTTTGTGGATCATGATCCTTTCAAACGAGCACAAATTTACCATAGTAAACCACTGTATTTAAAAACAGTTACTGAAAGAAGAAAAGCTCTGTTCAGTTCCTCTCCATCATGAGCTCACGTCATAATCAAGTATACTATAGGATATTTCTGACTCGGACATCAAAGGGGTGCATGAATATGGAGAATTCTTATACGTACGTAGGTCCCTTATATGTACGCAGGTCTGGACCCTCGTTAATTCGGACGCCGAAAGCTTCACCTTTTCGGACGAAAGGTACAGAATATTTATATCAGTTCCAGTAATGGGAACTCAAGTGTCCGGATTGACGGGTCTCGACTGTAGTACGATTCGACAAAACAGGGACGTAGAGAGATCGACACCGGTCTATTAATTCCAGAGAGGATTGTCTCAAGAACTTAGTTATGAACAAAGGCAAAACTCATTAGTTATTAAATATAACTATGCGTACATCTGTTTGTATTCAGTAACGAAGACGGATAATTTGCTATTCACAAACAATATTTTGCTTATTGAAATTTAATATATTGACTATATTTTAAATAAGAATTAGAAATACGGTAAATGATAGATTCACTACAAAATGGCTGCAGCAGTAACACTCACCATGTTGGCTGTCTTGAGTTTTCTTTGTGTATACGCTGTATCTCCGCATCATACATGCCAAACAACTCAGCGGGAAATACCTACTGGGGTCAGGGGTCAAGCGGGGGAGTCATAGGGTGCAAACCAATTACACATAACTTATATAGCCTCAATGAGTGTTAGAGTATCATTGGCAGCTTTGTAATTATTTTATTTATTGATTTATTTTTTTTTTTTTACCTTTTCCACAGTTTTGAAATCTTTTAAAACATGTAAAAACGCTTTAGAAGTTAATCTCTCTGCATCAGATTAACACACTTTAGTTTTTCCACTTAAAAGTTATGACTATATTATGTACATGATCGCATTCCATATTTTAACTTTAACTTGTATTTATAATGTATAATACATTTGAACGTTTTCATTTGTACTTCGTTTTGAATAGGATAAATCAATAATACTGACTAGTATTCAGTGTATATTTTCTTACATGTTATTAATCAACATGTTAATTTCAAGTATAGTTAGTAAAGCAGAGTACAAATACTTTTTTCAGAGTACAAATACTTTTATAGTAAGTAAGTTGAAGTACTATCAGTATGCAAAACACAATCGAACCCCCCCCCCCTTCCCTGTAGTTCATACAGGCCTGCATAGACAGTTGAGCCTCGTTTTCCCGGACACTTTTGTTTCCACTTCCTATGAGTACACATGCATATGACTTTTCATATACCAATGGCAGTAAAGAAGAATCATTTGGCATTTCATAAATATGTTTTATTGTATAAAATACTGTGAACAACTGCATAGCACTTGTTAAAATATAACAAACTTGTACTGCGAGTACCGAGCTCACAATATATTTATGTTTAGCCTCCCATATGTTTATAATGACAAAATCCATGTTTTTGCTATTGGAAACCCGAAATGAGTGTCCGATTAAAAAAAAAATAGGAGGTGCACATGTACAATGGCAATATGTAATAAAGATTCTGCCGATGAAAGTACCATTAAATTTTATTCAATGGTATAGTAGGAGTTGCGGATAAGAGATGGGTATCCTTCAATATTAAAGAAAGAATGGCAGTATCTATGTATTGCTATTGGAAACCCGAAATATGCATGCGTCCGATAAAAAAAAAATAAATAGGAGGTGCACAATGGCACTATGTAACAAAGATTCTAGCTGTGAACGTCTTATATATTCAATGTCATTCAGAGGTATAAGAGGAGTTGCGGATCAGAGATGGGTAACCAAAGCGTAACGGACGGACGCACATCCCTATCACTATACAGCCCCGCTTTTCAACCGGGGAGTATAAATATACACCGCTAAAACTAATACAACTATCACAATATATTACACAATACAAAATTGAAATTTTTCTAATATTAAAACTTCTAAACATGTACACTGTATGTGTAATATAAACATGAACATATTAAAAAAGCACTGAAATTTAAAAAAAAAAAAAAAAAAACTAGAGGTACTGTGAGCACTGAGCTCACTAAATGATACCCCCCGCCTCCCATATGATTATAATGGCAAAGTCCATGTTTTGCTCTGAGAAACCCGAAATAAGTGTCAGATCAAAAAGTGAAATAGGAGGTGCACAATGGCACTATATGTAACAAAGATTCTGTGAAAGTTTCATTAAAATTCATTCAGTGGTATAAGAGGAGTTGCTGATAAGAGATGGGTTCCCTAAAGCGTAACAGACGGACGGACGTACAGTCGGACGGACATTCCGATCACTGTATACCCTCCCACTTTTCAAGCGGTGGGTATAAAAACCAAAACACCCCCCCCCCCCAAAAAAAAAAATTAAATTTCTTCACTTGTTATCGCTATCATCATTATTGTCTTCCATGCATATCAATCGATATAGATATTAATTATTGCAGTCCGTTCAAAATAGATGTTCTCTGTTATGTCTGATGCCTGTGAAAGAGTCACACCTTTGCATATTTCTTCTTTAGGAGTCTCGGGAACTTCATCTCGTGAAACCGGCATCATGATGTAATCGTTTGTCTGATAATTTCCAGACTCTGCATCTACACCTACTTCTCTGCTATCATCGTCACGGCTTCTGCATCTGCTGTTCATCCAATGGAGTGTCTTCTTCATCTACTTGCAGTACAGGAGGCGGGAAACTGGCACATCATCATCTTCATCTGAAATATCTATGGAGAAAAGAGTGGTCTTTACATGTCATTTGCAATTTTGTGAAGATTTATAATTTAACACAGTCCGAAACTGTTTTCACCTTGTGCAGGGAAGAATAAGTGCCTGCACACGAAAACCAAGTTCTGCGTATGGTAAAAGGGACACAGTAGATAAAAGAAGTTTATTGTACAGTAAAATATTGTTCATCCTGTACATATTGTATAGAATGTAAAATATAAGTTATGTGTTATAATTAAAGGTATTATTGAAATAGTTGAAATAAGAATTGTACACAAATACTTTATCATAAAAAATCATGCAGCTTCAATATACAGGATGATTAAAATACAGGTACGAGTAGTTATAATAAAGTGCTGTATAGTATTAATTATTAAACAGATATTGTTCAGTATGTAAACGATTACAGTGGGTGTATTAAGTATAGTCGGAAAAAACGTGTTGAAGACAAGCGTCTAAGCAGTGAATCTGAAACAACTTTTGCAAATACAAGATAGGAAATCGAAATTCTAGTTTCGCCACAGATCGAATGTTATTAAATTCATGGAACTAATGTCAACTCAAAATGAAAGAATGCTGAAAAAACTATGTATGTTTATCTTAAAAATTAATGATGCTGTCTGTCCTCCTTGATATATTTTCCCCTCTTATATTATTTATTTATTTCCTCAATCTTCTGTCATGTTTTTTGTTTTGTATATGTACCTCTGACCAGTTCTGTATATAATGTATATATGTTATTAATGTACCCCATGTACCAATATTTTGGTTTGGGTGAATAAATTGAACTTCAACTTGCCATCAGTCGTTTTTCGGCTTATTGTTAATTAAGAACCTACAGACTGATAATAGCTGTGAAGAACTTGAGACACTGGAAAGATAATTTGTCCCAAACATTGTTTGGTTGTCCCCTCCATCAGTGGTATGAAATCTTATCGTTACTTATTTAAAAAGGTCATGTCTATATGGACCTATATAAAATCCACTGAGTGACACAGTTTAAGGAACAGATATACTGAGATGGAGAAGACAATATCGGAATCAGAAACGACCTTTACAGCAGTTAGTGTAATCCAAGTGGATCGACTGGAAAAGGGTTCTTTGCCACCCTCCTACGAATCCTTATCACCACTGCCTGTAGGTCTGTAAAAGCCTATTATTTCTATTTATTAATCTTTTTCCAAATGTCTTAGGGGGTCCCACTTTTTTAAGAGTGGACACCCCTAAATTGTCAGCGAAAAGTTTCTGATACGAACTCTACAACAACACATTTTGATCAGAAGCCCTTGGCCGTGAGGATGGGGCGGGGACAAAAGACTTTTTCAGAACAGCTGCGCATGCTTACTATGTTATTTAGGCTAGGCACATGCCAGTGATCTTATCAAGAAATAATATAACCAACCAAAAAAAAAAAAACTTCATGATAAACGTGATGACTTCAACTTTTCGATCGCCAACTTCCCTTATTTATGTATATGAAGCAATTTACCATCATCATCTTCATATAGAGTTTATATCTCCCAATTGATTCGATACGCAAAAGCATGCACAGTTTCTAAAAATGGACAAGCTACTGACAAATAAGGTGATGATACAAGGATATCAACAGTCTCATTTAAAGTCAACATTTCGCAAATTCTATGGTCGATACAATAACCCTGTTAGCGAATACAATCTATAATTGTAAAGTCGAATGTTGACTGACTTTTAATACAAATCGTTAAGCCATTATTTTCACAATGAATTGTCTACGGATTTTTCCGTTTGTCCGATCACAAGGACAAGGAGCACGCGGCTGGTGTGACCGGTCGACAGGGGATGCTTACTGCTTCATGGCTCCTGATCTCACTTTGATGTCTTAAAAGGTCTGTATCTGCTCTGCTCCCAGTTTGTATTGTTCCAATGGACTTTTGAGCCTTGATTACTGCTTATTCATTTATAATATATAAATTCACAACATTATTAAGAAACCTCTATATAACGAGCTTATTGTTGGGCGGTATTGAATTTCATTATTTTTTTTTCGCACTGATATTCGAACTTTAATTGTCTTTCAACATCAATCTGTTATTTCCACAAGAAATCCAACAAATAGTACATGTAACCGAGAAAAATCATTACATATGAAATTAGAAGTAACCTTTAAACACAGCTCCAAATATCGTGCGATCAAATATGAACGCCATGCACGAAAAACCATTAGTAGCTGATTTAATGCAAACTTGAACAGAACATTTTCTGGAATTTTAGGTTAGGATATACGTGGTGATACGAATCGATGCGTTCTCAGATGATCTGTTTTGCTTTCTTTTGATATTGTCATGATTGGTCAAATTCAGGTGACAAGATCTGTCAGATCTGAGTTCAGACTCTATTTTATATACGTTGCTTTAGGATTGTCCTGATCGAGTCTACGATTGGATCGCGATCTGACACGATCAGAACGATCCTGGTCCCCGATTTGGGACGATCGGGTACGTGCAGATACTTTTGTCGCAGTAGGTGCTGACACGAAAAAGATCCCTCTCAGCTCAAAGTCCTTAAGTGCCGAGTACAGGTCTAAATTTGCAGCCCCCACCGTCAATTGAGTGAAAAATTCTCAAAGGGACGTTAATCAAACGAATAAACAAAGCAATAGGATACGATTGTATTTAACCATCAGGATCGAGGATGGTCACGATTTTAGTTATGTTTTGGCCTGTCAACACTGATGAGAAATATAAATTGGCCATTGATTCTAAAAGAAAAAAAAATCTAGTTATTTAAAAAAAGAAAAGAGGTACATGTAAGAAAGTCAGTGGCTACAGGCCCGTAGGAAGCAATTTCAGTTGGGGGGGGGGGGGGGGCACAGCCGTACATTTTTCAGTTGACAGTTGAGGGGGCACTACCAAAAATTCCTTGACAAGCAAAAAAAAAAAAAAAAGGTCATCAAACGTTTTTATTGAGGGGGCACAAGCATATAGTATCTATGTTTACTATAGTAATCTATATATCGGCAAAATTATTGGGAGGGGGGGCACGGCCCCCCCGTGCCCCCCCCCGGTTCCTAAGGCCATGGGCTAACTTTTTCCAGTACGGACCCGTCAAAGATAAAACATGAAACTACTCATTTAATGCATGTATGCAGTTTGAGATACTGATATGCAAACGGTGTTTTATTTTTAATTATAGGTAAAAAGTAACAAAATCTGTGTAAGATTTTGTCATGGAATTGTGGTTTCACAAAAAGAAAAGGTCAATAGACATCATTTTCAATTTAAATATGAGACATCCCAACATCTCAATGTGACCTTTGTCCAAGTTGGAGCTCGATCGTCACGATTTCTTAATACGATTACATGTAATGTATCGTTTGTTACAATGCTGATGTGATGATCATGATGATTACGATTAAAAACCAATCGGAATTTTTTCCCCGAGATGTACTAGTATGTTTATGCATGACATTTTACTAATATATATTCAAGAGTAATATGGTAAATGATGCAGGTATTATTTTTTGTAAACCTGAAGTTTGACGGGTGACTTATCTTGAAAACACTGAAAAGCCTTAAAATACGGGGGTGGGGTGTCCGGATCTTCGGATTCCCCTTTCCTTCCACAGGATCTGCCCATAACAGATATTCATTAACAAGCATTCTGAGAGTATTGCATTAGCAATACTAGTCCTCTACCGGCAAGTGTAATCTGATTCCCATTAAAAATGCTGTAATTCCATCAAAAAATCATTGAAGCGGAACATAATGCAAACTTGATCTGTAACTCATCAAGATACACTCACATACCAAAAATCAGCTCAATATCTGCAAGCGTTTAGAAAAAAAGTGCGGAAAACCCTTACAAATTAAAAAGGCCGTAATTCCCTCAAAAATCAATGAAACGGAACGAAATTCAAACTTTATCTGTAACTCATTAATATACACTTACTGCCAAAAATCAGATCAATATCTGCAAGAATTAAGAAAAAAAAGTGCGGAAAACCAAGTCGAACAGACTGACAGACAGCTAGAGGGACAGACAGACAAACGGACAGCTAGACAGACGGACGGACAAACTCGGAGGAAACCTATAGTCCCCTCCGGTTTCACCGGTACGGGACTAATAACATCAATTCCATACAGTCGATACAATGTAATTATACATACAGATCCGGGTGACCGAGCGATATAGTGAATTTTCCTCTTGTAAAGATAGTATCAATTCTAATCCCACTAGAGTAAGTTTATACTGTATTTAATTCACGAGCGGACCACTGTACTGATCTAGTTACATGATGACTGTTAATTAAATTGCCCGTTGTTCACGAGAGTACAAAGTCCACGTACTTTAACCGTTAATTGTACAATATTTAGGTCGGTAGTTCACCTTAGAACATGTAATATTTCACGATCTGTCATAAAAAGAAATAAAATAAGAAAAGAGAAGGGTATAAAAATCATTCAGAAAATTTAATAACATCATTATATTATATAATGCCATCCTTGTACAAGCTTATGCAAAAGTAAAATTTTAATAAATCATTTTTGGTCCTATTGGCAACTTTTTTTTTAAAGTGTTTCTCATTTATTTTCGACATGTTTGCTCTAATACTTTATTCTCAACATATCCAGTGATAAATTAAATAAAATTTTTAGTCAATTCAAATATCGCGTAAGACACGTCTTTAACAGCGTATGTAAATATATAAATGCTACACAACAGTGCATTTTTAGCTCAAAGTGTGTGTTTATATACTAGTATATAAATGCTATTTGTCATTTTGGGATTTGACAAGCTTTTAATAAAATTTAAATTTAGCAGAGTTGAGAGAGTAACATGTGCTAGATGGATACTAATATTCAGTTTTGAAATTTGTGATTTATGACACTTTCAATTAAAAGTCAATGTTAAATTACAATTGATCATATATAAAAGGGAAATAAGAATAAAACTTATTAGGACATCTTTCAAATAATAGAATTTCTGATGAGCTTTTTGTCCCCATTCCTCTTTCGATTTTTGCAAAAAATTTTGAAAACTGAGAAGCTTAAAGAAATTAATATTTATATCATTGGTTTATCATCTCGACTTTGCTATTGTACGAGTAAATATAGTAAATGATTTTAAGGAAAAGATATGAATTTTATTTTTTTTTTCATTCACGAACGTATTTAATTAATAATCAGGTTATACTTCCATAAAGACAGACCTACATGTACCTATAGCTATTGCCCTTAATATAAAATATCTCACAATCATCTTTTTTTATTGACTGGTTTGCAACTCCGTGCTGAATCTAGAATTTTTTCTTATTAAGGTGTCCATTTCCAGTCCGAAAAATCCCACTCAGAAAAAAAAGAAAAGAAAAAGAAAATCACAAAACACACGTACGCACAGCAAACCCTTACTTTTTTGATGGTGGGGGGTGGCAGTGATTGGGTTTGGCTTGAGCTGTCAAAAAGCAGCCTAATAAACAACCTGAAAAATCTAGGGAAAGGGAGTTGCAACCCCCCTCCAAGGTCCGCCAAAGATCCACCTTTGCTTGTAGAATCCATAGTCAAAATAAGTGTGTCGGATACCTGGACAAAATTGATACGTTCAACCCCGATAGTGTGGGGAGAGTGGCGAACCTTAGAACAGAAGGGTGAAATGGCAGATGCACAATTTATTTTTCTTCTGAATTATAGATTGTATAGATTCTCAAATTAATCTGATTCCCTCTCCAGAAAATTCTACATATGGAGGGATACAAGATCCCCCATCCTCACAGGGAAAAACCTAGTATTTCTTGATCGTAATTCTCTTCTCCTTTAAAGAACATCGATTATAACTTGCATTAAGGACAGATGGTGCAAATAAAAAATGGATGTCTAAATTGGTATATATTTTTTGACCTATTTTAATTGTAAATGATGTGAATATTAAATCTATACTTATAAATTAATAAATTTTGCAAATAAACACCGAAACGGGTGCACCAGAGTTCTTACTTCTCTAACAATACATTAGATACAAGATGATGTCCGTAAACTATATTCAGATTTCAATCGCATTGTAAGTATCGTATATTAAATTAAAAGTCTATTTTCATTTTCTATAAACAGTCATGAAATAGCAAAAACGTGAGTACGGTGGCGTTTCCGGTTGGCGGATCTAAGTTACTGGTAATTTTTAATGAAACTGACAACAAGCATTCGTTTATTTATTTCATAAAACGTCATCACTGAATTATTCAATCAAAACTTGATTACATGATATAAAAGAAATAAGTTGTGATAACCGATCAAAAAGGGAAATGTGCAAATTATTTTCGTCATTCACCCATCTTAATATTGACGGAAGCTTCTAGAACATCATATAGCATCGAGCCCGATGTTAAAAAGAAAAACGAGGCGATTTTAGCTGCGTGAACATAAGAAAAGCTTTTGTGTGAATGGTTCATTGAAATAATACATGTAGTAAATCACTGATAACACTATAAGATGTTAATATATTTATACATGTATATCGAAAGACTATTACATATACATGTATGTAGTAGTAGGTTTTCCTACTAAATTAATCAATACATTTCAGGGTTTTTTTCTGAATATAGTCGTTTGTATCAAATACTCGGCCTATTCATAAGGCGTTAAAAGCTAATTTTTACACAGGTATTTGGGTCTTGGTTTATAAATATGTATGTACATGTACCTATGTACCTTATTGATATGTAAAAAAAGTAAAGTACATTTTTACATATCAATAAGGTATACAAACATATTTATAAACCAAGACCCAAGTATACCTGTGAATTTTTACCCCCCCCCCCCCCAAATCAATTTATCAGTAAAATGTGCATATTCGCTGCTTTAATCCTTGACGGAAATGAAATAAGAACATCTGAAGTATTATATCTATAACATAGTATAACAGGTTTCACGATAAACGTCAATGAATGAAATTGTTATTTTTCAAGTTTTTACAAAGGGGGGGGGGGGGGGGGGTGGAGACGTACATCTACTTCATGCGAGATTTTGAAGAAAGTATTTCTTCCTGCTATATAAGCCTGTAGGCTGTCAGTAGAAACTACAAAATATTTTCTCTCGGTAGTGGTATAAATTCAATTTCCCGCGCTTGCGCGGGTTTTCATTTAGTTTCTAAAATATTAAGACATTGTGAACTTTCTATGATGTTCAATGTTCTATCTTTCTGCAATCATCCTTATTAATCTTTACAACAAAATTACATTAATGTGAAACTGAGCAAATAAATAAATAAAATCTATGCGGTTAAATTTATTTATTTTACTTATATAATATAAGCATGATTTTATTTGTTATTTTCATATTTTTTTTTAATATATATAAAAGTTTGATTGTATCATCTGCCTTTAAGTAAATGTTTCCTCTGGGCTTCCATACACAAACAAATACAAATTGATTTAGGAACTACAACAAACGTACATCGAACCCGGTGTTGTGAGCATGGCTATATTTCGTAAGTTTTTGAAACTAGTGTCAGCTCTGTGATTGCATGTTTTTCTATATTTTGTAATCCTTATTTTTTAATGACAATATTTTATATATTTACATAAAGTTCGTTTTACATATTTCTCTTTCTTTTTTATTGATTTAATACTAATGTACAGGATTAGGAAGGAAATGTATAATGAACACATCCGTGTTGTGTAAATATGCTAAATGAAATATCTTCGCCCTGCTGAATAAATCCGAATTTTGCCTTGTCGATCTTTGATCCGCCACTAACTTATACTCAGTTCAATGTCATCTCTAGTATGTATGAATGTGTTTTAAACCGACACTAGGGGAGATTGTGAAACTGGTTCATTCTAGTTTTAACTAGTTGTTCTAAGCGATCGCTGAATGATCCCCCTCCCCCTATACTATTTTACACCTAAATGGTTTCAGTACCCTTCCCAGCAAAATATTGCCAAATCGAACAGGTAGTTAAATAAAATCCTTCAAAGTTCAAATGTATATTTTTATTTTTTTTTATTAGCTTCTTTAAATTAAAGGTCTTTATGAATCATTGCACAAAACACATGCATATTCTTTAATATTCGTGCCAGATAATAGATGCGCGTAATGTAACCGTTACACCATCATGACGGGACGTAACTCGTGTGAAAAAAGTTCAACGTAGTAAACGTTCTTTGAATGATAAGCTCTCTCAAAATATTTTTTTTTTAAAAAAAATGCATAAATATTTAAATAGTAATAAAATAATAATTAGTATATGAATAAATAAGGAATTGTAATAAAAATATTTTACGAAACAAGGTTTGTTTTTGAAACACGGATGCCCCCGCACGAAAGCTAGCTCCACAGGCACCCGAAGCGTGGATCAACCCCCACCCCACCTAACTAATAAAATATAAGGATTATTTATTTTCTTTATAATATGTGATTTCTGAATCTCCGTCAATTCCGTTTGTATGTCATTCTGTGTAATTGGCTTAAAGACCCTTATTATTTTATTACATTAAGTTAGGTGGGGAGGGGGATAGATTATGATTATATTTTCCACGCTTCAGGTGCCTGTACTAGAGTTTGTCAAATGCAAGTGAAACTCCAAGGTCAAGATCGTGAAGTCTAAAACGGAAAAGTTTTGTCACAAGGAATGCACCTGTGAAATTAGTGTAAAGTCCTAGCACCAACCGTTCAAAAGTTTTGGCCAAAGTTAAAGTTTTTTTCAAAAGTAGGTCAATTTCCAAAGTCAAGGTCACTAATGTTAGTACCCTGGATGAGGTCTTATTACAAGGAATATACATGTGAAGTATGTAAATCCTAGCATCAACCATTCGAAAGTTATGGCCGAGTTAAAAGTTTGGTAAAATTTTGCAAAAGTGGGTCAAACTCCAAGGTTAACTAAAGGTCAATATTTATGCACAAATCACTGCAGAAAATGATCAGTGCGGTATGAATATTTGTTTATATAACGATGATGTACACTCAAACACACTCTGCATGTATTAAAGCTACTTTTTGAATACACACACAAATATGTTTCATGAATTACTATACTTTTGATACTCAAATGAAATCATCACGAAAAATTGTTCACTTTCGCTCAGTGCTCACAGTACCTCAAGTTTTAATAGTTGTTAAACACATTAATGATTCTCATTTAGTACCGGTACCCATGGATCCGCATCGGCCGGTGCTCTTAAATTTGGCTTTGAGAATAACGTAGTTACAGTTGTAGATATATACTACATGTATAACGGTGTATTCCCGTGTCCGATCAATATTCTATCTGGAAAGAGACCCTCCGATACAAGGAAAAACCAATATCAGTATAGAACCAATATGAAGAAATTCCGTTTAATTGTACATGTATTGATTTCACAAGATATACTAACATTTTGACATGCACATCATCATACATGTACATAGGGTCAGGATTACCCCCTTTCCCGCCTTTATTGGCTGTGTGTGTGTGAAGGGTGGGGTGGGGGTGGGGGTGGGGTCCACATATACTTAAAACAATCATTTTCACGCCACCCCATCTATACTAGATGACGACTTTTATATGTTATGAATTTACTAAGAATATATATTGTTAAGTTTCTTTACAGCAAGGTCAAAGTATCAGGGTCTGGACTTGACCGATCATTGATCCAATTCATAAATTAAGATATTGGTGTTCATCTATAGCTGTATGTGAATGATGTACATTACATAGAATGAAAAAGGGGTACAAGAATATGATTGTCCCCGAACTGTATTACACGAGTTTCATCGCACAAATTAACTTTCATCAGAGTTTTTAGTTTAAACTTATTAGTTTAAATGTGATTGTCTTGATTTAGAGGTCATGATTGCATTGTCTTTTTAAAAGCATTTCTATTATATTGTAAACGACCAACGCTGCACAAATTAGAAAAAAAAAATAAAAACCTTGGTCTTATTTTCCAGTAGTGGTCATTAACATCTAATTTTTTTGTAACCATGTGACCTCCCGGGGTTACCATAACAAAACGAATATCTATGTGAAGGGGACAGTCACCTCCTATCTCTGACCTTACACTTTTATCAGCCCCATATCTCAGTAATATTTCTCCGCACGTTAATGCAGAGTGTTATACTGACAAAGCCATGTTTTTGCTTCTGGATCTATAATTGTTCTCGTCATCTGCGTTTGGTGGATACAGTTTATTGTTTTTGAGTTGCAACACGTTGTTTTCTTCATGTCTACAGGTAATGCGCTCAGCCGAAGTCTTCCTGAACTTGATAATGGACCCCAAGGTCAACCAATTCTGGTCCAGAAAAAAGAACCGGATGAAAACTGGACAGACCACGACACAAAAGGTTCTCCTACAACAAAAGTGTACAAAAGACGTTGGGTGATTGTAAGCCTGTTTTGCCTCTATTCCATGAGTAACGCTTATCAGTGGATCCATTTAAACATCATTGCGAACATCATCACAAAGTATTACAATGCCAGTCTTCCGGAAGACAGATTCCAAAGGGAGACAACCGTGGACTGGTTATCTATGATTTACATGCTAGCCTACATTCCACTTATATTCCCCTCTACTTTCTTACTCAATAAGAAAGGACTTCGAGTTTGCGCCATTGCTGGGGCTTTTCTGAACGCTCTTGGGGCGTGGTTGAAGGTTGCTTGCATTTCCCCTGATCGTTTTCCAGTGCTTATGTTTGCTCAGACTATTTGCGCTATTGCGCAAATCTTTATTCTTGGACTTCCTGCCAAAATTGCAGCTGTTTGGTTTGGCCCCAACGAAGTTTCAACAGCTACCTCTCTTGGAGTATTCGGAAATCAGGTATTGTTCTAAAAAGATGAATCATAAAATAATACTAGTATCAAACTTCCTGGTCTATTGCCATGCTTAAGGTACTACTTGCCGATATCAAATCAAACATTCGCTGAAGAATGTTAAGTTTAATTCTGTCCATCCCATGATACATTTGTACATTTTAATCCTTTGACTTTTAGGTAGGCGTTGCGATTGGATTTTTAGTCCCACCTATTTTAGTCCCGAACAGCGAACCACTGGAGGAAATCGGTGACGATCTCAGCATTATGTTTTATGGAGGAGCTGGTTACATGACTCTGCTACTTATCTTAGTTATAATAAGTAAGTCATTTCAAAACTTGAACATAATTTTATTGTCAGAAGTAATTTATATTAGTTATATATAAAGCTATCATTTTTCTTTCCTCCCTCCGGTGTAAAAGTGCGCACTAAGAGAGCAATGTCGCAAGCCACGAGTTTTTAATTGTGTCCAATTTTTTTTTCAAATAGAGTGGACAAAAAATTTGTGGCATGAGACAATGGTGGAAGATCTAACAAGTTTATGATCTTGGCCTTTGACCTTTCACCTCAAAAATCAATACGGGTCATATGTTAGATAAAGATAATACTAAAAAAAAGAATGTAAAAACCATTTTATACGCATTGAATATAGAGTAATGACCTCGACCGTTCATCTTTTGACCTCAAAATCAAAAGGAGTCTTTCGTAAATTAAAGAAAATCATCATCTAAAGTAACATTGCAAAGGTTAAAAGAAAAGTATAGTCATCACCTGGAAACTATTTAATGCTTTGTTTGAATTTTTTTATCTTGGTCTTTGATCTTGACCTTAAAGAGGCTGGGGGGTTGTGGCCATTTTTAGACTACATTGATCTCCTTTAGAAGAAGAGCTCCATATGAAGATATAGAAAATGATCAAATTTTAAAACTAAAATTTTTGAAATTTTTCTTTGCCAAATGATATTTGACAGCTTAAGATATCATATCTAAAAAATTAAGTTAAATCTGGTGGTTAATTTGTGGTTAATTTGTTGACCCCCCAGCCTTCTTAAAATCAGTGGGAATTTTCTTAAAGTCGTAAGGAGTTATACATAAAATTTCATCGTAAATGATAAAGGAGTTTGGTGATAAATAGACATCAAAGTGTTACGTGGAAATTGGACGGACAGGCATCTGCTAGTAGCAAAAGTTTGGAACAGTAAATTTCATTTCCTTGCAAGCTCATTGATAAGGATTTTTGAAAATTTGTATCCGTAATTGTAGACACAAAAATGTTGAGTATGTAATATTTGGAAGTTTTTAAGGAGAGACCTCATCATCCCCCGAGCAAGGCCCAAATGATGGCTCTACAGAATGTCCACGAAGAGCATTACGGGAAATCACTCCTCAACCTTTTCAAGAATATTGGTTTTGACATCCTCACAATAACGTATGGTAAGCCGGGGAATTTCATTTATTCTGGATTACAGAGAACTGTAACCGAGTTTATTTTGTAAACCAATTTTGTTGATATATTAATAAGATTGTAGCTATAGTCTTTTTCAGAAAGATTCTCTAATATCTAGATAACACGAGAAAATATTAGTCTGATATATGTATTCTCTGTAAATATATGAGAAATTCTCAAACATCCTGTATTCGGCACTTTTAACAATAAGTTTATATCACGTGTAATATCCTATATTCTGCAGGTGTAAATACGGGATGCTATTATGCAATTTCCACGTTGCTGAATCCAATCATCTTAGATTACTTTCCGGTAAGAACATTAGATTTTTCATTCAATATTCAAATATATTTACTGAAGGACTCTGATAAAATTTGCAAGTTTGCGAGACCGCAACCGTTTACTACCTAAATTTCGTAGAGACAGTCAAATACAACAGCAACTTTTTTAAGGAAAAAGATGGAAAAAAATATTCTGAGATATAGTCAAGAAATTAAACAAAGCGATATTGAAATTGTACGAGTTATGGTCATAAATGATACAATGATTAGACGTCATTGTAATCTTTAAAAGACGTGTATGTACATTTATTGTTCAGTTGTCATAGACGTGCAACAGGCAATAATTTACGAGACCCTTATCTATTTAGGCCGAAGACTTCTTATCAAAAAGCATAAAAATGTTGACTGGCTTTTCATTATTATTATGTTGAGCGTTGAACTTTAATAAAATAAAAAAAAGAGGTTGAAGTCCTACAACGGAAAAAAAAAAGAAAATGAAAACATACAAACACATCGCTCATTTGTCAAAATACTGGACTGCCTCATCTGTCTAATATGAAACAATGCTTTGTTTGGAATAATGTGACGTTTCCAAAAAAGTCGGGGAATTAATAGATTTTTTTATCCGAACGAACTTAACCTCCTGTTGGAATTGATGGCGGAGTCGGGTTTGGTCAAGGACTATAGCACCTAATCCAAATTGAATTTTTCAACTGATCCCGATAAAAAGAGGAAATATCATTTTATCAAGATTAGACATGCTGTCGATGGTGATATGCAAGCAGCATCAATTACTCCCTTCTCGGGGTAAAGGGTAGAGTAGAGCTTCAATAAGGGATATTTAAGTTTTACATGTGGGAATGCACAGAGACAAGTCCTTTAAAAAATGTTCTCAAAAAGAGTAGGGTCGTTTTTTTTGGTTTGTTTGTTGTTTAACGTCTCTCTCGAGAATTTTTCACTCATATGGAGATGCCACCACTTGCCGATGGAGAGCTGCAAATTTTTGTCCGTGCCAGCACCTACTGCGACACGGGACTTTGGTTTATACGGTCTCATCCGAAGGACCGGTCTCCACGTCCCACAGTGGGATTCGAACCCGCGACGTAAGGATCAATTCCTTACGCCGCGACTCTAGAGCAGACGCTCTAACCACTGCGCCACGCGGGCGACTAGAGTAGGGTCGTGTATAGGCATATTTGCAAGCATTCCAGGAAAGTGCAAAATTGAAGTTTGTTCAAATCACGTCCCCTTGGGTGAGGTGGGGTGGGGTAAGGCTACAATAGGGTGAGGCTACAATAGAAAAATAAGAGTTTTAACATGGAATAACTGCAGGGCCACACTAAATTATATCAATATGCAAGCATTCACAAATAGTGGGATTCATTTTAAATTATGGACCCTGGGGATAGGATGGAGCTAAAAATCGGAGATGCATTTTGAGATGGACGTTTCTGTTTATCGCTAGGGTCATGAAGAGAGTGCTGGACAGATTGGTCTGACCATTGTAATAGCCGGAGTAGGAGGGTCAATTGTAGCCGGAATCTGGCTCGACAAAACCAGGACATACAAGTATGTTACGGATTGATTTTGATTACGCATATCATATATGTACAATTGTCTATCATAAAAAAATGTAATGCTTATCCTGGATACTTTATGCTACAAATGCTTGCAATACAGATTAAATGTACACTATTCCAGGGGTAAAAATGGACTGAAAGATTAATTTTTTTTCCCCCTTTTTTGGATATTTTTATTCTAAAAAAAGGAAGTTTGCCTGATTACTAGTCTGATATTCGGGACTTCTCAGGTGGCTTTTAGTCAGAGAAGATGAAACCAATTTTTAGCTCACCTGAGCTGAAAGCTCAAGTGAGCTTTTCTGATCACCCGTTGTCCGTCGTCCGTCCGTCCGTCTGTAAACTTTTCACATTTTCAACTTCTTCTCAAGAACCACTGCGCCAATTTTAACCAAACTTAGTACAAAGTATCCCTGGGTGAAGGGGAGTTTAAATTGTTAAAATAAAGGGCCAAGTCCCATTACAAGGGGAGATAATCAAGAAAAGACAAAAATAGGGTGGGGTCATTAAAAAATCTTCTTCTCAAGAACCACTGGGCCAGAAAAGCTGAAACTAATGTAGAAGCATCCTTGGGTAGTGTAGATTCTAAATTGTTAAAATCATGACCCCCGGGGGTAGGGCGGGGCCACAATAGGGAATCCAATTTTTACATTGAAATATAGAGGAAAAATCTTTAAAAATCTTCTTCTCAAGAACCACTGGGCCAGAAAAGCTGAAACTTATGTGGAAGCATCTTTTGGTAGTGTAGATTCTAAATTGTTAAAATCATGACCCCCGGGGATAGGGCGGGGCCACAATAGGTATTACAAGGGGGGGGGGGGGAAATTGGTAAAGAACAGCATGGCCAAAGTTACTCAGGTGAGCGATGTGGCCCATGGGCCTCGTGTTCATAATGATCTAATTGAGGATACTGTCAAGAATTAATTTTGTATGTGCCACCTATACATGTATTATAATACAATTTATACACGTATCAGGTGCTCTGAGTGAAACTGACATGTTTTTAAATAAATTAATTATGCTCTTCAAAAGAATCCTTAATACCTTAGCATTATAATAATGCAGGGGTACCACGTTTGGTATATATTTCCTGTCCATGGCTGGAATGGTAGCCTTCACCTTTACCCTTGATGTTGACCTTTTATGGGTTGTCTTTTTATGCGCAGGGGCATTAGGGTAAGAATTTAATAAATTATAAGAGATATTCTTATCATTAATTTTTTGTTATTATTTTTTGAATAAAATGTGTTGGTAGATATTGTTTCTGACCTCTAGTTGTATACATTATAATTTTATTATCATTTTTATTAGTTGAAACTGTTTTTGATCTATATTGAGATTTCAAAGGAAATAAAAATATTTTCGTAGGAAAAAAAATCTTCCAAATTCATTATGGCAGCATAAGTAATTTAAAAGCAGAATGACTTTAAATATTATTTCTGTTGATGTAACTAGCTTCTTTATGACCGGGTACCTTCCCGTTGGTTTTGAATTTGCCGCCGAAATCACCTACCCGGAATCGGAAGGAACGTCTTCCGGTTTACTGAATGCTTCTGCGCAGGTACAGAATAGTGGTCCTGCTAATAAATAAAATTATATAATGAATAAAAGACAATAAAAGTTTAGGGTTGTAGTTTATATAAATAAAGTAGGAATGTAATATAATTAAGAAAATATGTTTAAATATACTTTTCCTGATATTAACTACATGTAGGTGAGAAATTTGATACAGGACGTACCAAATCTCGAAATTCTGCATACAATATTTAAATTATACTGAAAGTTATTTATTTTGCAGTTCTTTGGGATCATTCTTACCATAGGTTGTAGAGCAATGATTAACAAAGTGGGGACATTCGGTTCAAATCTCTTAATATCAGGGACACTTTTGCTGGGAACCATATGCACGGGTATAGTACTTTTTCACCGGCTTCCGTGGACTTATTTCAAAACTTTCTCACATAAATAAGGGCAGAGGAAAAAGCGTTTTAAAATTTTGAGCCTCTGAATATTTTTTTTAATGAATGCATATCTTCACCTTAATGTTTTCACTGTCTGCTCTATAGCCAGAAAATTTGAATTTTCGCTTCATTTCAGGATTCATTGCAGCTGATTACAGACGACAGGAAGCAGGGAAAGAGGTTTGTAAATCAATTTGTAATGGAAACTTATAAAGTTTTCTCCAAGAATCAAGAGAGATAGTGCTTGTCCTGTCTACGTAATTCTATTACGTTTTTTTTTATACAAGACGGGGGCTTTATATTTGCCATAATATATATCAGGCCGAGGTTATAGGACACCACAGCTTCATTTGGACTTGAATGTTATATTGTATCATTGTTTAAATACAATATACATTATTGACTGTGTTCGAGGGTAACATGCGTTTTGTCGGACCCAAGAATCAAAGTTAAAAGTTTTTGAAGAGTTATCCGCCCTTGATGAAAAGAAGGAAATTTTAATTTTTTCAAAATATCTATGGTGAATGATTCATTTTATTTCATATTATTATAAAGAGAGAGTTTATGCATATATTCACCAAGAGATTTGTATGAAATTCAAATTACTTTTTTACAATATTTTAATAACACATGCGCTGCCCATAGACTTCAATGTTAACTTCAAGTTACAATTAATTGTTCAATAGTTAAAACTTGGTAAATTCCTTTGGTGGAGTATTTTTGTTTAATAACACCTTCGAAATGCTAGCTACCATGATTTAAAAATCGGACCATTCATTTATTAGTACAAAAAATGGTCGTTATACATTGAATACCTTAATATATAGGATGGCAGTTATTTTTTTCCCCTAAATTATCGATGTGTAAACTCATGCCTTTGTACCTCACAAACTGAATAAAAGTGTGAAGCACGTAATATATTTTTTTTGTGAGTGATAAAACTTTTTTTTAATCCAGAATTTCTTACTTTCACACATTTTTACTTATTTTAGTACACCAATTTTGAGATCAACGTTAATCCAGAAAACACATGGTATATATGTATTTCAGTTTCATGCGCGGATCTAGAGGGGGGGGGGGGGTCCGGACCTCCCCTGGAATTAAAATAAAAAATGACTTTGGACCCTGCTTTCACCACCACGAAATAGGTGGGTTTTTTTTAGGGGGGGTGGAAATTTTTTTTACTGGGATGGAACCCCCCCCCCCCCCTGGAAAAAATTCCTGGATCCGCGCCTGAGTTTCCCATCTATGTCAGAGTTTTATAACATACACATTTATGTAGACTACTGCACTGGAATTATTCAATCACGTAGACACATTTAGTACCTTCCTCCTATGTAAACCATTCATGGCGTCCTTCACCCATGCAGCCCAGGCTTTTCTTAATAAGTCGGGATTTTTACTTAGATTTTTTTTTATCGATTTCCTACATCTGGAGGTCTGTTATGGAGCGTCAGAGTTTTCATTAATACATGCATGTATAGATGAACGATACTGGCAATATGTACGACGATTTTTACAACTTTTAATCATTGATAAAAGTTCAAAACACGTGCCGTGAAAATCATCTATCTATTATTTAAACCGGATTTAATTTATTAAAATGTTTCAGTATTTTTAATGTTGGCCAATTATACATCCCCGTTAGATCACATGAAGGTTCTACAAATAAAAGCAAAAACAGATTTATCAGCTTAGAAATTTTTAAAAGAAGTTTCATCAGAAATGGGAATAATGTTGATTTACTAATACAAGGGAATTAAAAGAAAAAAATACTTTAAATATCCCCTATTTCAATTTTGCAAGATTCTTTTGAGAACATTTTTTGTGAACACCCATCTGGTGTGAGGCATACGTACATACACGTTATATAATATGGAGTAATAGTCCTTAAGATGTTTGTTTCCTTCTCTTTTATAGATACTGGAGCAAATGGATAATGTTTTGGAGATAGAAATATCGGAGAAAGACTCCGAGAAATACCGAATGGCGGAACCCAATAACTGTGACAACCAGTTGTGACATCATCTATATGTGTGTTCTGTGTATCATCATTTTCACTGGTGGTCTAGACTGCTGTATGTCTAATCAAAAGAGAAAAAAGCGTCATGATCTCGAGTTATCAAGTCCTCCAATATTAATTTGTCTTAATATGTATCTGAACGCAAAAAGGTGCTAGTAGTATTGAATGGCAGTATTGGATTTAACCTATGACAGTATAACAAACAATTTTTTCAAGTTTTTCAAAAGTAGGTCAAACTCCAAGGTCAAATTTTCTGGTACCCAAAGGAAGGTCTCGTCACAAGGAATATAGCTGTGAAATCTGAAAGCCTTAATACTAACTGTTCAAAAGTTATGGTCAAGGTTAAAGGGTGTTTTTTTTTTTTTTTTTTTTTATAAATGGGTAAATCTACAAGGTCAAGGAAAAATATTTACACCTATGGAAAAATCTTGACATGGTGAATTCACATGTAAAATATTAAAGCCTTGGTACCAACTGTTCAAAAGTTATGGGCAAGGTTAAAGTTGGGGAAATTTTTGCAAACGTTGGTCAAACTCCAAGGTCAATGTCACATAATTACACCTCCCATGAAGTTCGGGGGGAGGTTATGCATGTAGGAGCCTTCCATTTCGCTCCATAATAAAACCTTTTAGTTGAAGAGACCCAGTCATTTGTATCGATTTATCAAAGAACTGAGACAAACTCAAATGTGCTGTAAAGCAAGCAAAATGCAATGTTTACGTGCCGAAAACAAAGTACTGCTGCATGTCGTCTATGTCGTCACATGACTTATTTATAGCACTAAGTCAGAGCACAAGAAGGAAGATATTTTGATTATTTTTCTTTTAATTCTGTCAAAAAATTCTTGTTCTGTCGATATTCTAATTAATTCATGGGAGTTGACCACAGTATGTTTTCTGCGCAAGTGCATAATCAGGAAGGAAGAACGAAACAATATTTTTTGTGCTGGACCAGACATTATTTGATATACATGAATAAGGTTCTGAAACTGGTAATTTTGTGAAATCTAATACTATCAATTATAATAACTATAAAAAATTATGAGCCATGCAGCCCCCCCCCCCGAAATTTTTACCGTTTTTGCATCACCCGAGTCTCTTGAGAAAAAAATTCAATGATTATGATCTGAAAGTGTCTTGTCCATGTGCAAAGGTCTTTTGAATAAGATCAACCTCTCTGGGATTGTGTGAAATTTCTGTTGGACAAAGTCACTGTGTATAAAGAAGCAGACACACTCTCAAAAGAAGTACTTTTTTTAAGCCACGCATTGTCAGGATTACAGAACACCATGTATCGTCATTTATAAATGGTCAAAGCCTCAATACATGCAGAATTGATACATAGAATGTTCCCTGCCATGTTGTGCGTTCCCTGTGTGGGTGTAACACCAGTATAGACTGCTCCATTCTTTTTCTTTCAGATATTTTTATTTGTATATAATTTACTTTGGATAGTCATCTTCTGATGACTTAACATCCATGCGCAGATTTGGGGGGGGGGGGGGTTCAGGGTCCGCCCCCCCCCCCCGAAGTTTCAGAGGTATTAAACGTATATACTGAAGCAAATAAAAAATGACTTTGCCCCCCCCCCCCCAGCATCACCACCACGAAATAGGTTTTTTCACGTTTAAGAAATGGATTTTTTGGTCTCGAAATTTCTGGGTAGGAATTTTTTTTGACTGGGGTAAACCCCCCCCCCCCCAAAAAAAAAAAAAAAAAATCCTGGATTCGCGCCTGAGATCCATTTGATCAATATGCTGATCAACTGAAAGAATGATATAACAACATATTTCTGTGGAGATTTAGAGAGGAGAATTTTGATTGTGCCATATATTTTAATTCCAAAATAAAAATCTTTTGTAATGTAAATGTAATGTATGGCAACAGCTGTAGTGACCATACAGCCAAAATTGCAACCACCCAATGAATGTACTATTTACTCTGTTACAGTAAAACTGATGTCGTTTATACATTATTTTTAAATTAAGGTTTTGTGGTTTTGTGTCATGTTTGGTACTTGGTCTGTGTGTGACTATATTATCTTGGATGTGGGTAAAATAAAATTTTACTAAATTAACTCTGTTTATATTCTACGAAAGCCCATTGAGCTCATTTCCGTAGATAAACACAGGTAATCAGAGATTACAGAGCTCACCTCAACGAATGTTGTCTTTAAGTAAGGCAAAGTCCCACACTAAACTAATAATCTAGGAGTATGCATCCCTAGATGCAACATTTATGCAATTTTGGTCTGATAGGGCTTGCAGTTACTTGGGAATGGACTTATCTGAAAACTTAAAACTAGACACTCATTCAGAAAATGTAAGTCAAATCCAGCATCCGAAGCAAGTTTTGAGATTGTTCATCCCTTGATGCATCATCCATGCAAGTTTGGTCAATATAGGGCTTTTAGTTACTTGGAAATGAGATCTGCTCCAAAAATTTTAATCTGGTCACTCATCCGGAAAATATAGGTCAGATTCAGCATCTGAAGCAAGTCCAGTAGTGTGCATCCTTAAATGTATCATCCATGCAAGTTTGGTCAATATAGGGCTTTTAGTTACTTGGAAATGAGATCTGCTCCAAAAACTTTAACCTGGTCACTCATCCGGAAAATATAGGTCAGATCCAGCATCCGAAGCAAGTCAAGTAGTGTGCATCCTTAGATGTATCATCCATGCAAGTTTGGTCAATATAGGGCTTATAGTTACTTGGAAATGAGATCTACTCCAAAAACCTTAACCTAGTCACTCATCCGAAAAATGTAGGTCAGATCCAGCATCCGAAGCAAGTTCAGTAGTGTGCATCCTTAGATGTATCATCCATGCAAGTTTGGTCAATATAATGGCTTATAGTTACTTGGAAATGAGACCTGCTCCAAAAACTTTAACCTGCTCCAAAAACTTTAACCTGCTCCAAAAACATTAACCTGGTCATTCTTTAGCTGAAATTGCAGCATCTGAAACCTTGACTGGTACAATGAAACACACTAGATGCATCCTCCATGCATCTCTGACTAATATAGGCCATAGAAGTACTTGAAAAGAAAACTGCTCCAAAAACCTTAACCTGGGACGCCGACACCGACGCCGAGGGTATTACATAAGCTCCCCCAACTTCGTTCAGGTGAGCTAAAAAAAAATATATTTTTTCGCGTTATAACGCGAAATTTTCGCGAATAAACGCGTAATTTTCGCGTTATAACGCGTAACTTTCGCGAATAAACGCGAAACTTTCGCGTTATAACGCGAAATAATACATATATAGTCATGTTACTCAGGAACCTGTGATCTTGACTGACAGATAGGAAACATGAACGCAGAGGGGGACTTTTATGAATTTATAAATGACATTTCTTCAGAAGATGTAAATGAGAATTGATGCGAGAAATGGATAGATTAGTGTTGATTTTTCATTCAATCTCAAAACGTTACTAATTAATCAAATGAATATTTCTTTAAAGATTTTCTTGTTTTTCACTTGTTGAATCCAAGAAATTCTTTAGACTAATTTTTTTCTCAGGAAGATCTCCACTCGTTGCTTTCTTTAAATAAATTGTCAATGTTTTCGTAAGTAATGGTAAGACCAAGTGGTGCAACCTTAAAAATACAATGTTGTATTTCTACAGTGAGTCTATTGGAGATGAATCATTTGATACGAATATTTGTCATCCAATTTTCACATTAGGTTACTCATGTGATGTGACACAATTGTTCCGTGTAATATACAAATTTACCTCATTGTTGTCAATTTTCTGAGATCTTTTATTTCAAATTCTATAGAGAGTGTCCAATCTAATTAAAATTAGACTTGTATTTTTCGCTCCTCTACTATACTCTTCAACACTTGTATTGAACAGCATTGAGAAAGACAAAATGTGACGTCAAAAAGATTTAGAAAGAAGAGAGACACATTCAATGGCGAGAAAACATAAAAATTCAGCTTGTGATAATCCAACTTCAAAATAGTCTTTTTTTTTCATTGTAATGAATAAACTAGATCATTAAAAAGTAAAACAAACTGTAGACTTATGCAAATGTCTCTGTTTTACAGGGAAAGTTTCGCGTTATAACGCGATAAGTTTCGCGTTTATTTGCGAAAGTTACGCGTTTATTCGCGAAAGTTTCGCGTTATAACGCGAAAGTTACGCGTTTATTCGCGAAAGTTACGCGTAATAACGCGAAAAATATATTTCTTTTTTACCTACGAAAATGAGCTCAATGGGCTTTCGTAATATACATGTATATAGAAAAAGAATAAAAAAAGATGATTTTAAAGTATTTTTCAGTTGGAAGAGGTCAAGAACATCAGTACTTATATTATGTGGTTTTAAACAAATTTAATACTTGTGTATGCAGTAGGAATTGATAATTGAAATAGATAAAACATTGAAATCATACTGTGATGATATGAAACTCGAAACAAATATTTAAACATTGAAAGATAAAATGGCAACTATTTGAAAAATTATACAATAGTCACATGTATTTGAATATTTGGTTTTATGCATTTTAATTCAAAGATGATTTTAAACACTGAATTGCTAACAATATTATTCTATAAAAAAAAATATGCCAAAAGTTTGTTCATTTCATTTGAAATACAAGACCGTTTGAAAAAAGCCCCCCCCCCCCTTCTTTTTTTTTTTATACAGTGCAAATTAAGTTAGTGCTGCTGACTTACATGCATTTAGAATTATAATGTAAATAAAATAAAGAAACTTGTAAAATTTATTGTTTTGTCTACACCAGTACAATGGAAATATGTATAGTGATGAAAAGAATAGTTTGATGTGGCTATATTGGAATATTTTCAGTATTTCTTTCAGCTTTTTTATCCTTCCTTGTAAAATATAATTTTAGTAAAATGACTATCTTTCATTTATTCATTAAAAATGAAGGTACAATAATTACACTATTCTAAATAAATCTGAACAAAAAAACTTAACTGCTAAATTTTCTATGGTTGCATAACACAAATTTTAACAAGAGATGTTTGTGAAACACTTATGCCCCCCCCCCCCCCCTTCCCTTTGGACATACATTATAGGGTGCACAAGCCTTTATTATGGGCAGTGTACATGGAAATGAAATTGACTCTCTGAACTTAAGAGTCAATAGGGGTCATCTACTGGTACTATCTGAGATGCATCAACCTATCAAGTATGACTATCTAAGCTAAAAAGTTTTTAATTAAAGGTTGCACAAACCTTGGTTGACATATATATATATATATATATATATATATATATATATATATATATATATATATATATATATATACACACCATTAGACAGGTTTGACTGTACTTCTAAATTATATATTATTATCAAATAATTGGAATTTTTCTAAGTCCAAGGGACATAACTCTGTCAAAAATGGCTCAATTGTACCCAAAACAGAACCTGACCTAGATATTCTTATGATAAATCTGTATACCAAATTTTTTCAGTATGTGCAACCTCCGCGAAGAAAATGAACGGAAACTGTTGTGGACTGACAGACCGACCGACAAACAGCAGCAAAGCAATATGCTCTCGTAAGGACTCACTCCCTTCTTTGTAGGGGGGCATAAAAATTCAAATCACAAGAAATAGGTTCAAATTTACTACAATTATGAAAAATTGTGCATTTTTTTTTAAACAATATCATCACATGTACTTATACTTGTATAAAAAGTACATAGCAAAAATAAAATTGCTATCAAACTTACATTCCTGACCTCTCTTGGTCCAAATAATAACAAAACAACAGTTCTTAAAATACAAATTCCAGATAACAATCTCTCATGACCATTTTATTTTTCAATGTATTACTTTGACTCTCCGTTGGAGGGTGGGGGTGTCAATATTTGTGGGCAACCAAAATTTTACTTGTTTGCCTAGATATAATTTCATGGGTAACTTTAATATATATACAAAAGATATACAAAAGATTCAATGAAATGATAGGATGACAAAAATTATTGTGTGAGGAGATGTAAATTTTTGTTGGTAAGGGTGACCCACGAAATCCATGATCACTGGTTCTCCACAAACAATGATGATTCCACTGTACCATACAAAAGAATGTGGAAAACACGATTCAATCCTCACGATTAACAATATGAATGTCATATTGCCCTCTTGCTATCCTGCAGAGAGATCAAAAATGGTATCTTGACAGTAGGGGTGGAATGATATATCAATACCTATCAATATATCCCCCTATGATACGTACTCTCTTCGATACATGTACAATAACAACAACAATTGGTGCATACTACAAATCCATTCATGTTCCTACCAAAATTAGAAAGTACCAAAATTGATCAGTTGAGCTTTTTTTTACGAAGACAATTATGCACTTGGAAAACTCATGCAGTTAAGAAAAGTTTAAGGATATCTGATCCTCAGCTAAGAATGATAACTCTTAAATCTATTAATGTCTCAAAATAAAGCTTGAAATTGAAATATTTTCTTGCAACAATTTTCATTTTAAGCATTCAATATGATTTAAGGTTCTTTGAAATCTTTATAATGATGTTATAACTAGAAATATGTCCATAGGACATGAATGCCCCGCCGAGGGTATATTAGTAATGCAACATGAAAATTTGTTTTAGTGTATGAAATTTGATGAGAATATCTTGAGTAGTTTTAAAATTGAAATTGAAATCTAAAAAGTTGGATATAGATGATAAATTCTCGCCAAATTATGAAGTAAAAATTGTGAATAAGACTCTACACAGACATTCTACGTACTGTATTTTACGTCATACATAACTTTTTATTTACGATGTCAAAGAATTACAGTATGTATTAAAATAATGTAAATCTAATCCGCATGCTGTATCAATCGTCCGCAATTTTATTTGTTTATAGCAATGTCATCCGCAATTTTTACTTCAATAGATAAAACTTCTTGTATAATTGTTCTGATGACGACTGTCTCTGGTTGAAACCGCTCAACTAAATAAATTCACTTGTGCAATCTCACGAAGTGTTGGTGATCTGTTTGTTCCGTTAAGTTTACTACTTTTGATCCAGACCCTATTGAATACCACGTGGTATCCAATCGTGAGAATCTTACGTAATTTCAACCTTAAGGTGTTGGTTTCCAGTCTAATTTTGTTTTGTTTTGTTTAAATAAATGAAGTTAAGGTCAAAGGAAAGGTCAAGGTCAAAAAATGTTGATGCAGTTGAAAAGGTTACATCAGTATGTATTAGCATATGAGGTTTGATAAAAATATTATGAATGTTTTCTTTAAAACTGAGTTAAACACAAATTGTGAAAAGTGAGGTCAAGGTCAAAGGAAAGGTCAAGGTCAAAAAATATTGATGCAGTTGAATATCTTACATCAGTATGTATCAGCATATGAAGTTTGACACTGATTAAGGAAAGTGAGGTCAAGGTCAAAGGAATGATCATGGTCAAAAAATGTTGATGCAGTTGAATAGCTCTCATCAGTATGTATTATCATATGAAGTTTGATAACACTGTATTGAATGGTATCTTTAAAACTGAGCTAAACACTAAATTAAGAAGTGAGGGCAAGGTCAAAGGAAAGGTCAAGGTCAAAAAAATATTAATGCAGTTGAAAATCTCTCATCCGTATGTATCAGCATATGAAGATTGATAAAAATATCTTGAATGATTTCATTAAAACTGAGCTAAACACTAATTTAAGAAAAGTGAGGTCAAGGTCAAAGGAATGGTCAAGGTAAAAAAATGTTGATGCAGTTGAATAGCTTACATCAGTATGTATCAACATATAAAGTTAGATTACACTATCTTGAATGGTATCTTTAAAACTGAACTAAACACTAATTTAAGAAAAGTGAGGTCAAGGTCAAATGAAAGGTCAAGGTCAAACTAGAAATATGTCCATATGACATGAATGCCCCGCCAAGGGTATATTAGTAATGCAACATTTTAACACAAATTGAGAAAAGTGAGGTCAAGGTCAAAGGAAAGGTCAAGGTCAAAAAATATTGCTGCAGTTGAATAGCTTACATCAGTATGTATCAGCATATGACGTTTGATTCAGAAACTAATTTAAGAAAAGTGAGGTCAAGATCAAAGGAAAGGTCAAGATCAAAAAATGTTGATGTAGTTGAAAAGGTTACATCAGTATGTATTAGCATATGAAGTTTGATGAAAATATTATGAATGGTTTCTTTAAAACTGTGCTAAACACTAATTTAAGAAAAGTGAGGTCAAGGTCAAAGGAAAGGTCAAGGTCAAAAAATATTGATGCAGTTGAATAGCTCTCATCAGTATGTATCAGCATATGAAATTTGACACTAATTTAAGAAAAGTGAGGTCAAGGTCAAAGGAAAGGTCAAGGTCAAAAAATGTTGATGCAGTTGAATAGCTCTCATCAGTATGTATCAGCATATGAAGTTTGATAACACTATCTTGAATGGTATCTTTAAAACTGAGCTAAAAACTTATTTAAGAAAAGTGAGGTCAAGGTCAAAGGAAAGGTCAAGGTAAAAAATATTGATGCAGTTTAATAGCTCTCATCAGTATGTATCAGCATATGAAGTTTGTTAAAAATATCTTGAATGGTTTCATTAAAACAGAGCTAAACATTAATTTAAAAAAAGTGAGGTCAAGGTCAAAGGAAAGGTCAAGGTCAAAAAAATGTTGATGCAGTTGCATAGCCCTCATCAATATCTATCAGCATATGAAGTTTGATAAAAATATCTTGGATAGTTTCTTTGAAACTGAGCTTTGAACAGAGCTAAACGCAAAGTGTGACGGAAGGACAGACGGAAGGACGGAAGGACGGAAGACGGACATGACAAACACTATATGCCCCGGCCATATTCATGGCGGGGCATAAAAATGTTGATGCAGTTGAATAGCTTACATCAGTATGTATTAACATATGAAGTTTGATTACACTACCTTGAATGGTATCTTTAAAACTGAGCTAAACACCAATTTAAGAAAAGTGAGGTCAAGGTCAAATGAATGGTCAAGGTCAAAAAATGTTGATGCAGTTGCATAGCTCTTATCAATATCTATCAGCATATGAAGGTTGATAAAAATATCTGAGATAGCTTCTTTGAAACTGAGCTTTGAACAGAGCTTAACGCAAAGTGTGACGGATGGACAGACGGAAGGACAGAAGGACGGAAGACGGACATGACAAACACTTATATGCCCCAGCCATATTCATGGCAGGGCATAAAAAGTTGACATTTGTACCCGGCAAAAGTACAAAAATAAATTCATTTTTAGAGAAATCAAATTTTCTTCAATGTAGCATTAGATCCCAGTGCTTATCTACATGAAATTAGAAGTGATCTGGGATGTCTTGCAAATGCTAACAAAAACTTTTTACACTATATATTTTATAACAATTGAAGTACATAGAAGAACTAAATACTTTATAAGTGTGCAAAACATGCATTTTTCTCCAAATGCCTGGATACCTATAATTTTGAATCCAAAAATATATTTGTTGATCAGTTTTCAATTAGAAAATCCATAGCTGGTGCTTTTATTCACATTTACTGAAAATATATTTGAGATCTGATAATTTTCCCTCTATAAAATGATAAACTTTAGTGATGAACTTCGAAGAAATACCATGGGTAAATACACGTTATTCTGTGAAATCCAAGACATTTTTGTGAGAATTTTCAATTACTGAAAAGCTGATTTTCGAAACCTGAGGATCGGACTACCTTAAAACAACACACAAAGATAAAGTGCATGCATCATTGTAGAAATTGAAAATGCAACTTTTGAATGATTTGGAGCATTTTTGGTTTTCTTTCTTCTTTGAAAATTTAGTTACAAATGTTGATTAAAGTTATTTTGTAACAGTTTTATTCAATATCAATGTTTTGCAGTTAGTGAATCAATATACCTATCGTAGCATGAGGGGTGTGTATCTTCCCACCCTTTTATTTTAGAATAAGCATTCAACATGTTCAGCAATAATTTCATACACTGCAATAAGTACAATAATCAAGTATTTTAAAAAAATATAAAAATGAAACAACTTTGAACTTCTTGGGTAAAAATGATCTGATAGAGGTTGAAAGCAATTCTCTAAGATGGAGAAAATGACTTCAAAATTTAATATGTTTGAAGATTTGTTCTTGGAGTTCTTTTTACTCTTTAAGTGGAAAGGCCTAAAATTAGACTATAAGACTATTATATTATGAAACCCCTACAGTATTCCTATGCCTAATCAATACTATGAACGACTCAGATTCTCCGTTTGTGCCGTCTACTCATCATGGCCTGCAGGGGGTCACAAGATGGAACTTCTTTTCGCTTCAAGTTCCCTCGAGATGTTGAACACGATCCCTTGTTCGATTCCTCATCCACTTTATTTCTATTATCTTCATTCAGTCTACCTGAACTAAAGTTTCTCTGTCCTCTATATCCTTGAGTCAACTCTTCCCTTCTGAAATTTTGTGGTACATTTTCTTTGTGTTGTGCAGTCTCCAGACTAAGCGAGTTGCGTCTTTGCTGTCTGGTTTTGCTGCTGTGAATGTTTCTAACATAGTTGCTATGGCTCTGAAAACTGTCATCCGGATCAATTCCCAGAGGACGCTCCTGTTGGTCAACCTTGTGAAGCTGCTCCAGGTGGGAATAAGTACTCTGTACACTCTCGGGATAGTTGTCATGGTGACCTGTATGCTGTCGGGGGTGTCTTACTTGTGGTCTCTTAAAAACAGAACCGTCTACAACAAGAAATTATGATTCTTCAAAACCAGAGAAAAATAATTTGCTTTCCAGTCCAGTCCAAAAATTCCCTTTAAATATGAAGATATTAAAATCTTAAAGATAACACAGGAATGAGGGTCAGAAAATTTTAAATAAAGAAAACTCACTTGAGGCTTTGGCTCAGGTAAAATATAAAACAGCAACAGATAAAAAATTTGCGACATCTGACATTAGAATTTTTTTAAAGATTTGTGCTCTCTTCTCCAAAACAGCCTTACCTGATTTCAGGCTGTGACCATGACCTTCACCTTGACCTTCACCTTGAAAAAGAAAATGAAGTTTCTTTCCCATTTTCTTTATAAGCCACAAATAAATTGACAATATTCTCAAAAAAAAAAAAAAAATAAAAAATAAATATCTATACAATATCATAACTTTATTTTTATGTTAATATTTAAAATTCTAATAATTCAATTCATTATCCATCCACTAACAATTCTTGACAAAAAGTATATGCCTAGACTTACCGTTACAAATTTGTGTGACGGGTAATTGGCCGCTAGGAAAGATTCGATTAGGCTGATAGGAGGGAGAATGGAATCGAGGAGGAACACTAGAATAACTACTGCAGGGATACGACATACTCTTAACGCTCATGTTATCATCCCCTATTGGAGTCTGATATCCCTGCTCCAAGGCCAGCACTCGGTCATTCATTCCCTGCATTACGGCAGTAAGCTGAAATAGAAAATGGGTGAAAACTTAGTATTTTTACATATCTATTTCATTCAATACATGTATATATTGACTTGATATTAACATAAGATTCAGCTCAAGCTCTTAAAAAATTAGGAAGGTCTCACCTAAAATGTTTCAATATTATATATTATAAATGTTCATTACGTGCATTTTTAGACAGCTTCATTTCTGTCAAATTTTGGGATTTTTTGTTTGTTTGTTTGTTTTTTTTTTTTAAATATCTCCATTTGTAAATAACCACTTGGTGAGAAGACCACTTTAAATATCAAAAGTGTTGCAAACACATGTAGACATGGAACTTCATTGACAATATACCAACCTTAGACAACTGAACATGTATATCCCTGATATTAGCCATGCTTAGAATGTCAGACATGTCTGTGGTTTCACTTCTCTCTTTGTCAAAACTTCCAATCTGATAGCTGAAAATTATTACATGATAAATCATTTTTTCCTACATTGAGGAAGTCTTAGCATTTTCTTCATAAATTTGTATCTCTTTTAAAACTGATGACTTTACTTGTAAAAATTACATCTGAAAACTTGTGTGAATAAAAAGCATTTTACAAATGATCTACCATTATAAATACTGCACATCAAACAAATGAAAGAAAGGAGTATCCTAAAAATAGTAAAATACCAGATTACATAAACAGAACTGAAGGTTATGAAATACTTGTTTTTACAATGTGAATTTAATGTAACAAATAAAAATTTTTCAAGTCAAATTTATGAAATTAAGGTTTAAAATAGATGTAAATAACCAAACCAAAAAACCCAAAACCAAGCCGAAAATTTACAGAACTGACCCGACTCGAAAATTTTTGGAACCATGACAGCCCTAGCAGCACGAAAACATTATAAATTTTCCTCCATACAATTTTTGACTTTTAATGATGTCTACTAATGACTATACAGACCTGGTCAGGTATTGGATGACCGAGTCTGAAGGCTGAGGTTAACCAATACCTGACCAGGTCTGAGCAGACAAAATTCAATAGCTATAACTGTTTTATTAAATAATCAGGAATTTTACAACATTTTTGACATTTAAGTTCTCGTCTCCAACAAATATAAATACTCATAATATAATATGTAATGTCATAACACATTATATTTCAATACTTTAACAACTGTTTGAAAGTGGAAAACAATACAATAAAACAATAAATACTCAACCCTTTACTAATAAAGGAGTTTAGTCTCTTCAATACTGCATGGAGTCTGCCATGTTTACATTCACAACAACACATGCTTTAGAATGGGCATTATCATTGGTAAAAAAAAAAAAAAAACAAGAGGCCCATGGGCCACATCGCTCACCTGAGCACATTGGCTAGGAAAAAAAGCAAAAATCAGTTCAGTATTGAAAAGGGTACACAGACACCTCGGCCCAACGACACCTCGGCCCGTCGCGCTTGACACCTCGGCCCTGACAGGTCGGCCCAAAATGATTGACACCTCGGCCCATACTAAAGACACCTCGGCCCAAGGAATTTTTTTTTTTAGAATAATTATCTGTATTCACTATGGTAATATAAATGTATGTATGTTTATAAGGACGATATGTATACGATAAACGGGCAAATAATTTCAGAATTTTTGAACGAACGACAGCATAGATGTCAGCTGCTGTATTTATTGAGTGGGAGATAGGAGATCTATTTATTTATTTATTTTGTTGCTTATGAAAATGCAACTTTATTCATTTCATAATATTTAGAATTCTTTTACTTAAAAATCACTTTGTAGTAGGGGCGTATTGTACACTTAACTATATATAATAATTATATTTATAAACCAGTGCACAGTAGCATATGTCCTTAGGTATTCTGTCCTGATCAATAAGATGTCTTAATTGATTCTTTTTAGCCTGCTCGTAATTAACTCCTCATTGTCACCACCCCATATGACACGCGCTTGAGACTTCGAAGGATGCGCTGCGTCTTCTTGTTTGTTTAACGATTAGCACTATGTGATAGACAATTTTTTTTTTAATTACCGTCAATTTACTCTCGGAAGATTATTCAATTATTTTCTTTTTTATTTCATGGATATATATAATAATATAATCCGTCGCATATAGTCCCTATAATAATAAAATACTTAAGAAAATATCAAATAAATATGTTTAAAATAATACATTTTTGTTTGTGCCGAGGTGTCTTTTACGTGAGCCGAGGTGTCTCAAATCTTGGGCCGACCCGTCACGGCCGAGGTGTCAATGGGCCGAGATGTCGTTGGGCCGAGGTGTCATTGGGCCGAAGTGTCTGACATTCTTGAAAAGTTAACGGGGGGGGGGGGGGGGGGGGGGAAGGGGGGGGGGAGGGATTTTAAACTACCTAACAATGCTTTCATATCAATATAACAAATGACTTTGCTGTTCTTGAGCAGAAGATTTTTTCCCATATATTCATTTGTAAAAATTTGATCCCCCATTGTGGCCCCACCCTACCCCTGGGGGCGCTCATTTCAACAAATTTCATTTTATACTACCCAACAATGTTCAATATCAATTTGACTAATCATGGCTTTTCTGTTCTTGAGAGAAAGATTTTTTCCTATAAATTCCTAGATGTAAACTTTGATCACCCATTGTGGCCCCACCCTACCTCCGGGGTCATGATTTGAACAAACTTGAATCTACACTACCTGAGGATGCTTCCATATAAATATGACCAATCATGTCTTTGCTTATCTTGAGAAGAAGATTTTTAAAGTTTTTTTCTATATACTCTTATGAAAAACTTTGACCCCCCCCATTGTTGGCCCCACCCTACCCCCAGGGGTCATGATTTGAACAAGCTTGAATCTACACTACCTGAGGATGCTTCCATATAAATATGACCATTCATGGCTTTGCTGTTCTTAAGAAGATTTTTAAAGATATTTTCCTATATATTTCTATGTAAAACTTTGATCCCCCATTGTGGCCCCACTCTACCCCCGGGGGTCATGATTTGAACAAACTTGAATCTACACAACCTGAGGATGCTTCCATATATAAATACGACCAATCATGGCTTTGCTGTTCTTAAGAAGAAGATTTTTAAAGATATTTTCCTATATATTTCTATGTAAAACTTTGATCCCCCATTGTGGCCTCACCCTACCCCCGGGGGTCATGATTTGAACACACTTGAATCTACACTACCTGAGGATGCTTCCATATAAATATGACCAATCAGGGCTTTGCTGTTCTTAAGAAGAAGATTTTTAAAGATATTTTCCTATATATTTCTATGTTAAACTTTGATCCCCCATTGTGGCCCCACCCTACCCCCGGGGGTCATGATTTGAACAAACTTGAATCTACAGTACCTGAGGATGTTTCCACATAAGTTTCATCTTTCCTGGCCCAGTGGTTCTTGAGAAGAAGATTTTTAAATGATGCCATTATTTTTTCACTAATTCCTAATTATCTCCCCTTGAAAGAGGGTGTGGCCCTTCATTTGAACAAATTTGAATCCCCTTCACCCAAGGATACTTTGTGGCAAGTTTGGTTGAATTTGGCCCAGTGGTTCTTGAGAAGAAGATGAAAATGTGAAAAGTTTACAACAACAATGCCAACGACAACAGACAACAGACAAATTTTGATCAGAAAAGCTCACTTGAGCCTTTGGCTCAGGTGAGCTAAAAATGTTAGCAAACCTATGGTTGGTCAAGAGGGAAAATCCAAATAAACCTCCTGAACTTCATTTTGAGGTGAACTAGCTCTTAGGAAGAGAATCTGAACCAATCAGAGAGATCAAAATTCCTGATCATTTAATAAAATATAATGTACCTGGACAGCTTGTCGACAAACAGAGTGTATTTTCCTCTTGCAGAGTCCAAGTGGTTCACAGCTCCCTTATACTTTCGTCCAATTTCCTCCTTACACGTGGCACAGGCCATCTTGTAGTAAGTGCTACAAGGAAATGAAAATGTATTATGTCCATACGTAGGCTCTATAAACTATCTTCTCTATTGCTATAGAAAATAACTTCTACCTTAAAAGTCTGTTTATGCTGGTAAAAGTTTATAGTTTTAAAGAAATGACAAATTAATATTTAACCAATGATCACAATTTTCTGTTTATATGAAAAACTTTTCTACACTAGATTTTTCTTTACTTGTAACCAATGAGAGGTGTATATCTGCATGTGCAATTAATAATTTTTTCTATTCAACTACATAAAATTTTAAAGACTAACCAGAGGCCCATGGGCCACAATGCTCTCCTGAATAAAAGTTTACAGATGGATGGATGCAAGACAAAATGTGATCAGAAAAGCTTACTTCAGCTTGGAGCAGTAAAAATATGGTCTTTCTAACCATAGCAAAACCTTTCTAATTGAACATATCATATACATGAAGAAAAATATCTAATCTAATTAACACTTGTTATGGACAGTCGATTGCAAACTCTATTGCAAAATATTTCCAACAACCATCCCTAATAATTGAATGCACACCTTGGCATCCTAAATGGTTGATTTATGCACCATCTTAAATCCTTGACTTCAAAGCGACTATGGCCCATAAGGCAAGCCCTTCCCAATCACTGAGTGATGGGTTTGTACACTTACCTTCCTGCATCAAAGCCTGTACTTGCTGTCTTCATTTCTTCTTCCACTACTGCACTTGTTACATCTGTTAAATTACTTTTTGAATGAAATTATATGAAATTGTGATCAGCAAGATACTGTATGTGTACTTTAAACATAGGTAATCAAAGATTACGAAGCTCACCTCGACGAATGTTATCTATAAGTGAAGCAAATCTCACATCATATTTTTTTTCTAGTTAGTGTAGATCAATATCCATGCAAATTTGGTTAAGTAGGACTTAAAATTACTTGGAAATAGACCTGCTCAAAAAACTTTTAACCTGTTTACTAATCAACAAAATTTTGGTCAGTTCTAACATCCAAAGCAAGTCTGGAAGTTTTCATCCTTAGAGGCACCATCTATGTTAGTTTAATCATAACAGGCCATAATATTATATAGCTACTCCAAAAAAATTATGGGAATGGACCTATTATAGATGCTCTAAATGATAAATGTAAATAAGGCAAAAGAACCAGGTCTGTCACAATCTCTTGATTAAGCTTTAATAAGCAATAGACCTATATAAGCAATAGATATTTCTAAATAATTCCAGTCTTTTTTAATGAGATACAGAGTCTTAATTGTTACCATCAACCTCCCATAATCAGCTGTATTTGTAACCTTTTAGCTATAAATAATGTCCTGTGTGTAACATGTGGACTTTAAGCAACAGTGCGATTATACTCAAATTTGAGGGATGCATTTATGAAAGAAGAAGAATTTGAGAATGATATATGTTCGGTCCTACTAACAGAGAACTCTAGAGAACAATAGAGAACTCAATGTTTATTTGGTAAATTCAATTAAATTTCATGCATAATTGAGTTGATTTTTACTTTATAAATCATTTTCTTTGCATACAATCAACAACAAAATAATTTTATGAATGTTTTCCCTTGAAAATACATAAATAGTTGAAACATCTAACAAAATAGATGGTTAAATATTTTATGTCATCCCGTTTCAAAAACGGTGTTTACTGAATAATAATAATTTTATCACATAATTTTCAGTTCTTTTTACATTTCTTATATTTAATATTATTTTTAAGTTATATCGAACACTTAAGCAATTTATTCTGGTGCAAAACATTTTGATAAACATAATAAAAATTACATGTTTACACTACATAATATAATTAATTTCTTATTACATTTTTCACAAAAGGTATATGATAAAGTCATCATGGATTAGCATGATTAGTATTCCGTTAAAATTAGACATAAAACATAGAAAAATATTCTTTTTTCAAATTTAACTTTTGTTTCTGTGTAATGTACTGGTTATTTGAAACATAAATATATTTCATTTACAGACAATAAATAATTAAAGATCATTAGGGTTCTGTAAGGTTCTTTAGAGTTCTCTGTTCATAGTAGTACCAATACATGTCTGTTGCAACATTTAAAATTGGTATTTATGACACAAGTTGTATCAGTTACATGCTTTAAAAAGTTTACTTTGCCCAACCGGACCAAAAAGTTGAAAAAAATCATAAGCATTAATAGATAAACAATATATACTTTACAGGTCTTACTATTTAGTGTTATTGTCCTCGATATATCGTCTATGCAAACCCATGCTGTAGAATCCCCAACAATGACATTACACTGAGCACATTGAAACACCATTGGAGGTTCATCTATATTGAATGACGACTTTGGCGAAACCGAGTTATGTAGAATCACTTCTTGGTGCTGCATGTCTCCCATATTACTGTGTTGACGTAACAGACGTTTGTCAACTTCTTAAACTTTGCAGCTTCCCGCAATTTTTGGAAGGGGCAGTAAAGCTAGCTTATATCTATAGTACTAATAAATGTTATGAGCTCTTAAAGTTTGTTAAAAAGCACAATTAATTTATAATAAAACAACGATTCGCTATTACAAAAGGATAGTACTGTAAGAAAAAGATATCGTGCAAATATATGAAAAATACGAAACTGAGGAACTATAAAAACATAATGTTCTTTTTACCTCATCAGTGCAGAAGAGTTTAACTGTGACAGACGATGTCGAAGATGAAATTATGTTTACCCAGAGCCCTGAAAGTAATGTCAAGGCATGGGTTCTATGGAGTAGAACAAAACTTACCTTTATTGACCAATGAACACCATTCTATTCGTCAATTGTGCAACTTTTTCCCGATTTTTTGCCGTATTCCGAGACACCAAATTGATGACCAATTCCAAACTACAAAACAACCAACTTTGTTAGACAATCGTCCAACTGTGTGTCATCCCTGGTTAAGACTCAAAACAGGCCAAGACAAAGAGGATGTAGAAGATATTGAAGAAAGAGTCAGCTCAAACGAGGGTTTAGATGCCAAGCTGATCAATGTAAAAATCTATTGTTAGTAAAAATTGTTGACTTTTCATTCTTTCTGTGCAGTTTTAATTTTTATCTGTACTGTATACGGTTTAATATATGGTAATGTTACTTACACTTCTCTTTGGTAAAATTGAATATTGTTCAATATTTATTTATAATAAAGCTTGGAGCTACAAGCAAATGTTCATATTAACATATAAATTATGAGAATTAATATTTATTTTGAAATTGTGCATTGTAGAGATCCTATCCTGATTATGATGAAGATGATGTTGCTAAATCAAAACCTAAACAACTGATGATAGTTGTTGGCTCAACACGATTAGATGCTGTTATTACAAAAGCCTTTGGGATCAGCAGATCGTAGGAAATTTGTCTTTTTCTCCTTCTTAAAGCTTTCTCTTTATCTATCTTTCTGTCTTTCTCACTTGCATCTGCAGGTACATGTATAACTTGATCGATCACACCCTGCAACAGTGGGGATGAAATTAAGGACGATGACTAGAGAAAACATCCATTCATGGCTGTAATTTATACACTGTTCATATGTGCTAAAATGTGAAAATAATGGAAGAATGAAGTGGTGTATACATTTTGATTCAAATTAATTTTCATTTTTCAGAAAAACAGAAGAGAAACTTGCAACAAAAAACTGCTTGGTCAATGGGAAACTTCCTCAAAAGAAAGCAACACAGGTAGACACTGTAAACTGTACTCTAAATTGTTCTTTCTTTGCTTACAAGTTTCTAAAAACTTAAAAAAAATATTGACATTGAAAATATTAATGAAGCTGTTATTTAAAAAATATATTAATTACGTATTCTTTAAAATAAGATTGGTAAGGCCTAGTGAAAATGAAGAAACATATTCTTGTTTGACAAACAGAATTGATCCAGTTCTAATGAAATGTAATAGATTTAATTACAATTCTATTGCTTTTTATAAATTTAATTGAATAAGCTAATGATTACATTTAGAGATATTGCTATTAGCAAACACGTGTAAATACTTCAAATTTTTGTTTTAGACACAAAAGAATTGTGTAATCATGAGTAATGAGAGTTTCAAAAATACTCTCTAAAAGCATGTCTTGTCTGAAAATTTCTTGAGTTAAGTTTACTAGGCCTACTGTTTAGGGCTGTCACAGTTCCCCGAAATAACCAAAAACCGTGGCCCAAGTTGTTCGGTTCAGTTTCAGGTTCACTTTTCCAGATTTCGGTTTGGGTATGGTTTATAATTAAAATCTGTTTTAAACCAAAAAATAACGTCAAAATCAAAAGCACAAAATGACGATAATAGTGATAAATAAACATCACAATTGAAATCTACTTCATCCATGACAAAAAAAATTCTTGGCTTCTCTTGCCAAGTTATTTATTTGGAGATGAAGAGTTTCATGTTTTCTCGTGATTATGGGGATGGGTATCATAGTTTAAGGATATAAATGAACTTTTGTTATGTGACTCAAACTGTAGGAGGAGTAGCATTTTGAAAGAATTTCACAGAAATTTCAATTTTTAGTAACCATGTAACCATGGCAACACTGTTCATTAAAAAAATATTTAGAATTATGTATCTTGGTATACTGGTTTATTGAAATAGGACCAAACCTGTAGGGGAATTAGCATTTTGAAAAATTGTTTACAGACAGACAATGGACACCTTACTATCCCATAACAGCTTCTGCTCTCTGACCATCAGAGCTGAAAAGTGGCAGATTCAGGTTAAATTCAAGTTTCATGCACCTTTAATGTACTCAACTGACTAACATATGACAATTTTCTATTTTTAGATAAAAGTTGGAGACTGCATTGATATTGTCTTGGATCAAATGACACGTATTACAAAGCTCAAAGGACTCGTATTTTAGATGTTATATCAGAAAAGACAAAAGCAGGCAGGACAAAGATGATAATAAGACTGTGGAAAAAACCTTTTCATGTGGAGATGACTTGATTAAGCTAGAATGAATAAAATTGTGACAAAATTTATTTCCCTATTAGTTGAAAATTAATTGGTGTAGCATACATACAAACATTTCAAAACTCTTGATCACGGCTAAAATTTGTTTTCACAAATAGCTGAATTAAGATTATAACAAATTTTGTTTATTACAACAGAGTTTATCTTGATCTTACACTCATTTAGTTTGAACAAGATCAATTCATCGAGGGAATGGTACTGTAAAACAATTGTCTGGAAGACAAAAGACAAATATAATTTGGGTCATTAAAAAATCTTCTCAAGAACCACTGGACCAAAAAATATTAAATTTACGTGGAAGCTCCCTCAGGTAGTATAGATAGTAATTGTTAAAAACATTGCTCAAATCAATTGTTCAAATCATGGCAAAAAAGGGGATCAAAGTTTTACATTGAAATATATACAGAAGAAATTTTTAGAAATCTTCACATAAATTACCAGACCAGAAAAGGTGAAATGTATATGAAAACTTCTTGAGGTAGTGTAAATTGTAAATTATTCAAATCATAGTCTGAAGCCAATTTTCAAAAGTCAACATTTTTGAATGATTTTTAGTTTCTTTTGAGCCGAAGGCTCAACGAGCTTATGCTATGGCCATTTGTACGGTGTGCATAAACTTTTTAGAATATGGGCCATAATTCAAGAAGCCCTTGGCCAATTATTGTCAAATTTGTCACAGGGTATCCTTGGCCCAAGGGCTCCTGTTTATACTAAAACTAGGGTTGTGACCCTTAAACAAGGGGAGATAATTAGGTAAATAAAACCATAAGTACTGGTTGCTAAAAAATCTTCTCAAGAACCACTTGGCAGATTATCACCAAACTTACACAAAAGGATGAGGATATATTGAAAATAAAAATTGTTCATGGTATCACCCTGGGGCAAAGGGCGTGGTCTCAAGGTCACTTCAAAGTTGACCAAAAATTACATTTTATTAAAATGTTGATATTTTGCTTACTAGAAGGACTAGGATCATCAAATCTTGTCAGTTGATGCATCTAAGGACTTCATATCATGTTGACTCAAAAGTAGGTCACAATGACCTACTTTTTAAATTTTGCAGTCATTTTTTTTTTCTCTTTTATTAAAACATGGTACATAAATAATTCAATGTACAGAAAATCATAATACATACATTGCATAGAAATTTATAAATCAAAATCACAAATAATTGCCTACTTCTAGATACAGATTATCATTAATTACATGTGCTTTCCTTAGAATCACGTTTTGTAAACAAAGACAATTTTTTATCTTATTTCGAAAAACTTCTATATACATGTTTTCTTTTTGAAATCTACATTTCATTTTATATTTATAAATGGTAAAACAAATGAATGACAATAGATTATTCAATCTAGTTGTTTTTAAATTGATTTCATTGTAAAATCCAAGTACCAGTATTTTCCATGTAATTTCAAAACCCAAAAACAAACTAATTTTTTTCCAAATATTTTCACAAAGTTTACACCTGTACAGGAGATGTTCAGTGTCTTCAACAACCATACAATATTCACAAAAAGGTTCTACATCTTTGTTCCATTTACTTACATTTAAGTTATTGTTCAATATGCAATTCAATAATTTATAATTGAATTCAGCAACATTTTTTTCATACATATACTTAATTTTAGCTAGATATACATTTTTCCAGACATATTTGTAACTAAGATCAAAAGCCTTTTGCCACATATTTTCATAAACTGATCATTGAAACTTTATGTTTACCAAAATTGAATAATAAAAATCACATTTAAGGTTTGCTACAGTTCTTACACTATTATCTCTAAATAAAAATGACACTTCGTTTTTAATATTAATAAATTTTGCATATGTACAATCAAAATTGTTTTTGTATTCTCTGAGTGCCTTCTTTATCATGATATATTCAGAGTGTATTGTTTTTCTTTTCCAGTATATTATAAAAGTGTTCAATACTAAGGAAGTTTCCATCATTATCAAATAGATCTTTGATATATAGAATATCACTTTTTATCCATTTTTTCAAAACAAAGAGGTTTAGAATCATACTGAAACAGATTATTGTTCCAAATGAATTCCGATAAAAATTGGTCTCTCTTTAAAGCACAAATTTGTTTAACTTTTTTTACAGTCATTCTTTTTCAAAATGACTTAGAGGCATATTCTGAACAATTTAAGGCCTATGATCATCAAACTTTGTCAGTTGATGCATCTTGGATCCTCAAAGTACGTCACATAAAAAGTAGGTCACCATGACCTACTTTTTTAAATTTTATGGCTGATCTTTTTAAAAACATTTAAGTTCATTAATTCGAATACTGAGAGGTTTAGAATCATTAATTCTTGTAAGATGATGCATCTTTGGGCCAGAAAACATATTTATTAAAAAGTACGTCACAGTGACCTACTTTTAGAACTCTGCAGGCATTTGAGTTCAAAGCATCTTAGAGTTATATTTTGAAAATTTTAAGGCCTATGATCATAAAACTTTGTAAGTTGCTGCATCTTGGGTCCTCGAAAAACGTCAACTGAAAACTAAGTCATTGTGACTTACTTTTGAAATTTTATGGCTATATTTAAATATTTTGGGTACCATTTGGCGTAGAATCATCAAACTTTGTCAGTTGATGTATCTTGGGTCCTCAAAGTAGGTCGACTTAAAAGTAGGTCAATATGACCTACTTTTCAATTTATATGGCTATAATTAAACATTTTCGGGTACTAATTGGCTTAGAATCATCAAACTTTGTCAGTTGATGCATCTTGGGTCCTCGGAGTAAGTCGACTGAAAAGTAGGTCACCGTGACCTACTTTTGAAAATTTATGGCTTTAATTAAATATTTTCAGGTACTAATTGGCTTAGAATCATCAAACTTTGTCAGTTGACGCATCTTAGGTCCTCTGAGTAAGTTGACTGAAAAGTAGGTCATCATGGCCTACTTTTGAAATTTTGTGGCTTTATTTAAATATATCGGGTACTAATTGGCTTTAAATCATCAAACTTTGTCAGTTGATGCATCTTTGGTTCTTGGAGTATGTCAACTTAGATGTACGTCACTCTGACCAACTTTTGGAATTTTATGGCTATTTTTAAATATTTTCGTGTACTAATTTGCTTAGAGTCATCAAACTTAGTCAGTTGATGCATCTTGGGTGCTTGGAGCACGTCGACTGAAAAGTAGGTCACTGTGACCTGATATAATATTTTTCAGGTACTAATTGGCTTAGAATCATCAAACTTTGTCAGTTGATGCATCTTGGGTCCTTAAAGTATGTCAACTGAAAAGTAGGTCACTGTGACCTACTTTTGAAATTTTATGGTTATAATTTAATATTTCGGGTACTAATTGGCTTAGAATCATCAAACTTTGTCAGTTGTTGCATCTTGGGTCCTCGGAGTATGTCAACTGAAAAGTAGCGCTAGGTCAACGTGACCTACTTTTGAAATTTTTTGACTTTATATAAATATTTCAGGTATTATTTGGCATAGAATTATCAAACTTAGTTAGTTTATCCATCTTGGGTCCTTAAAGAATGACAAGTGATAAGTAGGTCACTATGACCTACTCTCTGGTACTTATTGGCTGAGAATCTTCTTGGGTTCTCAGAGTGTTTTTTCTAAAATGTAGATTATGATGACCTACTTCTGGAATTTCAAGGCTTTATTTAAATATACAGGATACTTAGAAGCTTCAATTAGAAGTGATACTGCTTGTACAATTTATCAGAAGAGAGATTCAAGGCCCTTGGGCCTCTTGTTCATATTTATATAGATATGTGAATTTTCATAAAACAACTTATTTGGGGAAACAAAAAGAGATACGGGTAACTGAAATTTTGGTAAAACTTGTGTTTTCACTATAGAAATCAATGGAAAACAGAAAACATCTATCCTCCCACCCTGTGAAACAAAAATTCTTTTTTACAGATATTTCACAAATTTATTGTTTCATGGGGGAGGGGCAAAAACAGCAAAAGAGGTCATTTTATTACCAATTTCAATGAGGTTACAAATTAAACAAGCTAATTCATAGAATTTGTGTCCTCTGCTTAAGTAAAAAGATGGAGAAAAGGAAAAAAGTTCAACATTGACCTTTCATCTTTTGGCCTTTCAGTCAACAGAAGTCTTTTTAAAGTTGAAGAAATTCATGACCAAAAGTTTCATTGTAAAAGCTTACAGAAAAACTAAAATAATGATCTGAAAACTATGCAAAATTTATTTCTGACCATGGCCTTTGACCTTTTGACCTCAAAATCAGTATGGGTTTTTAAGGCCATGGGCAGTTGTGACATAAAATTTCATTGCAAAATCTCAAAGGATTCTAAAGATATAGCTTGGTAAAACAAAAAGTGTTACACAGAGAGAATGTATGAATTTATGACCTTGACCTCTTACCTTTTGACTTCAAAATCAACATGTACAGGGTTATTCTTTAGGCCAAAAGGAATTGTGAAATTAAATTTTATTGAAGAAAACTCAAAGAAAACTAAAGTTATCTAGAAAAAGTAATTTACAATGTATGAATTTATGACCTTTGACCTTTGTACCTCAAAATCAAAGGGGTCATCTTTTGGCCATAGGGAGTCGTGATATATACTTTCATTGAAAAAGCTAGAAGTCTTGAGATATCTTCCAAAAACGAAAGTGTTACACACAAACAGAATGTATGAATTTATGATCTTGACTTGTTGACCTCAAAATTAAAAGGGGTCTTCATTGGGCTATAGGGAGTTGTGGGATACAATTTCGTTACAAAGCTAATAGGCTTCTTGAGATGTATTGAAACGAAAGTTTTACATACAAGCAGAATGTATGAATTTATAACCTTGACTTTTGACCTTTCAACCTCAAAATTAACAGGAGTCTTTTTTAGGCCATATGGAGTTGTGGTATACAATTTCATTGCAAAAGCTAAGGTTTCTTGAGATACCGTCTGGAAACGAAAGTGTTACACATTAACAAAATGTATGAATTTATGACATTGACCTTTGACCTTTTGACCTCAAATTCAAAAATGGATATTCTTTAGGCCATAAGGAGTTGTGGTATAAAATTTTCAAGCAAAAGCTCAAATAAACAGAAATGTAATTTATGACATTGACCTTTTGACCTCAAAATCAAAAAGGAATACATGTATTCTTTAGGCCATAGGGAGTTGTGGTATTAGCAAAAAGCTCAAAACTCCTTGAGATATCGTCCGGAAACGAAAGTGTTACACAAGACATAAATACAGATAGACAGACGGACGGACGGACAGCCAGCCAAATATATATCCCCCGCTTTCAGTGAAAGCGAGGGACAAAATGTACATATCAATCTTATATGTTGAATTTTACAAAATTTTAACATACGGAAAGATTTAAGTAACATTTATCCATTTCTATGAGTATTTGAAAATCAAGTGATGTTTTAAAGCCTGATTTATGTGGATAACTTTTTAAACACCCCCCTCCCTCCCCCTTTATATAGAAGACTTGTAATTAAGAGCAATTAATTTTTTGACACTGGTTTTAAGATTTTACTAATGAACTCTTCTTTGCATTCTTTGCTTTGGTAAAATTTAGAAATTTATTTCAAAATTAAGGATTATCTCCCTCATGCATAGCTCTGATACTTCGACGAATTTGGACCCAGTCTTTGGCATATCTTTTTTCAGCTCTTCAAAGTCTTTTTTAATTAAATATTTCAGATTTCCAACGTTTCGGTATGAACATCACTGAAGAGACATGATTTGTCGAAATGCGCATCTGGTGCATCAAAATTGGTACCGTATAATATGATTTACATTGAAACAAGTTTTAATGGCCAAACTGCCATTTATATTGAACCCAATAGGTGTGAATGTAGGCGGGAAAAGAGAGTTAGCGTGCATAATTCTTTAGGAAATAACATTATTTTCCATAATGTTTGGTTGAGTGAGTTTGGTGCACTGGTAAGTTTTCTAGAGAGAAAGAGAGAGAGTCTTAATAAAGTTGTGGCTGCGGTAAGGTTAATTACTAATTACTATAGATGAACTAAGCTCTTAAGCACCATGTAAGCTATAGATATGTTTAATACAATTTACTCTTTTATAACACATTGCCTACATCTGCACTTGTCTCGGCTAGGAGTACAGAAAGGTACAAAAAGGTGGATATGTGTTTTTTTCATTGTAGTTAAACATGTCTTGATTTAGCCTACAACCCTGCAAAAACGGTTTAGTTGAAATAATATTTTCCAACGTTTTACTACATGTAGCAGTAAAACTATAGCTATAGACGACCATTCCAGCGAAGACCAGTAATGTGCTGTCGTAAATATTCGATCAGTACTAGTGGTTTCACATATGCCATTTAATTACTGATTTTTGATGTTATTGAAAAATTAAGCATAATCGCCTTACGAACATAATTGTTTTTGATGCATGAATTATGAACTAAATGTGAGAATAACAGTATATAATACAGCCTTTGATCTTTTGGATTACCTTTTACTTCAAAATCAGACCTATAGCAACAAATTTCAATTCAGTTGGGGGAAAGGGGTAAAACTTAACAGAAAAGGTACGTTATTTTTTTTAGGGGGATACAACCCTAAAATATATACTAAGTTATTGGAGGGGGGGGGGGCAACAGTATATTAGCTTTGTTCTCTATTGTGAAGTAATACACTCGAAATATTATTGGGAGGGGGCACGGACCTGTGCAATACAGTGCCAGAAATCGTTAAGGATTCAACATTTGATGCGTAGTTTAGAATGTAATACAAGAATACTCTAGAACTGAATCATTTGGTGTATCGTATTGTGAATCTCAAAAATGCAACATCATCTGTGCATGCACATTTGGACTACACAAGTATAAGAGTATTTTATTTGTAAGCCTGTTTTGAATTTAACTTATTTTCTTTTTATCTAGAAAATTTATAGGTCATTTGTAAGATCTGAAACCTGGCTTGCTGCACGTAAACAAAAATCTCATTTTTCCACAACAAAATTTAAATTGCTTTCAACGAAATAGTCTGATGGAAACCGGTAACCCTTCAAGACAAAACTTGAATTGAAAATTATAATAGTCGAAACTTTTTTATCTCTATGATAAGTTCAGGTATATGTTCTTCATTCTAGACAGGCCCGTAGGAAGCAGTTTCAGTTTGAGGGGGCACAGCCGTACATTTTCAATTGAGGGGGCACTATCAACCAAAAATTCCTTGACAAGCCAAAAAAAAAAAAAAAAAAAAAAGGTCACTAGACGTTTTTATTGAGGGTGCCCCCCCCCCCCCCCCCCCCCGGTTCCTACGGCCATGCTAGAAATATGAGAGAATCGGTGACAAAAAAGTTTTATAAAATGACAAACAATTAAACCCAACTTTTCTCCAGCGAGTGAGTACAAGTGTAATAAATCCAAGTGAGTACACGTGTTACGAATCCCAGTGAGTACACGTGTAATTCCAGTGAGTACACGTGTAATAGATCCCATCGAGTGCACGTGTAATAAATCCCTTTGAATACATTGTAATTATGATACCCTTTGAGAACGCATATAATGAATCCCAGTGAGTACACGTGTAATAAATCCCAGTGCGTACACGTGTAATGGATCCCATTGAGTGCACGTGTTATGAATCCCTGTGAATACATTGTAATTATGATTTCCTTTGAGAACGCGTGTAATGATTCCAAGTATGTACATGTATAATGAGGCACAGTGAGTACACGTGTAATGAATCCAGAAACTGGGATTCATGAATCGCACACGTATAATAGATGCAAATTGTATCATCAGTGTTACAAGTAAGTACAGATATGTGAGCTGAAATAAATTTGAAACATGTATAATAATGTTGATTAAGATCGATGAAGAAAACTTTTGATAAACCTCTTGAAACAAATATTCAGCATATGGTTTTAATCACCACAATAGGAACAACATTGGTTATATTGTTGGGCATCTACTAGCCTACTAACGCTTTCTGTGTTTATGAAGGTATTATTAGGCGTTTTTCTAAGGTTTAAGAAATAATAAATCAACTTCATGGTTGTTAAAGATGGTTTGATAAATAAATAAAGCACAGTAGTATATTTTTCTGATAGTCGTGCAAATATATTGATTGTTTAGCAGTCCAGGGACAGTGAGTTTTCGTTTACGCATAAAACATCAAATTCTTTTTTTTTTAATTATAGATGAACTATATTAGTATTAGTATTATTATACAAAGCGAACTTCAATTAATTAAGCATTTTAATTGATCTTTAAATTTAATAAAAATCAATGTACATAACATTAGCTAAGAGGGTTAGATGTATGGGATTAGATTTGTACATTTTAAAGACCCTCGTCCCAAACTGTCTATTCTAACACACACACACACACACCACAACAACAACAACAAAATGAAAATCCTCTACAACATATAGACAAAAATGTCTCATGTTCGACTGTGGGTCAAAATTTCCTAACTATTAGGATAAGGATTGGCAGGCTAAAAAACTGTTTTTGCATATATTTAATTATCATGTTTATTTTGTTATATAATAAAATAATAATTCTGAAATGCTTTATAAATGTTTTATGTCTGATATGGGTGATTTTTCTAATCGATATATTAACCTTGATTATTCATATTAAAAAAGCTACACTGAACCCCTACGACGATTTGTCAGAATGTTTTCAAAGTTCATTTGTAATTTCAATGTTATTGCGTCTGCACATCTTTACTCAGGCGTGAAGAAGGTGAAAGGGTAATTTTATACGACATCTTGTTGTGGAACTATTGTTCATCCCACATAGAGCTTGTTGATAAACAACACACGCCTCTCGCGGGAGAGGATCGTTTATTATCTCCAGATAGCAGACAATCTCGATAAGTAAGAACGATATGGAGGGGACGATCTTCTTTGGGATTTTTATTTTTGGAATTACATTCCTTCTTGCAGGTATGATGTTTATTGGGGATATGAAATTTTAAATATTGTTATGTTAAAAAAAATCTTTATGACAGCAACGAAGATCAAGTTCTGTGAAACAATTTATGTAAGTTCTACATAATCAGCTGTTTTGGCAGAATGACACAAACTGTTATATTTAAATGATAAAAAAGAAGATCAATTGAACATTGCTGCATAACAGTTTGTATTTTTTTTTATGTTCGTATATTTGCAAAATTAGCTCACCCTAAATAAATGTGAAATTTAGGCAGTATTTAGGGGTGGACTGGGGGACACCTAATTTTTTTAAAATTAAATTTCCTCAAAATACATTTCGTGTAATCAGTACATAAAGAATTAAAATGTTCTGCATTTTTATCAAATTTTAACTCGTATGTATCGTTACAACCCGGCATCGAATCAAGCTATTCTATATACTAATGGCAAAACCATATACTAGTATTGTTGTAAGTCTAGTTGCCGTTTTCCTCCTGGCTTGGCATGCAATTAAGTTGGTAAATAAATTGAATTATATGTCCTGATGAATCTCAAGTATAACCAAGTCATTCAATAATCACATTGTTATCCATGTTACCTACATTTTACATTAAATTTTTTGTTTCTTAGAAATAACACCTCTATAGATTGAAACAGCAATCACTGAAGTAAAAATGTTCCTTGAATTACTTTGATGAAAATATGTAACAAAGAAATGGCATTTACTTTTATTTTACTTAAATGACAAAAGAAATCAAAATACTTTTTTTGAAAAAAAATCTTAGAAGGTAAACGAACTATGATAGCTCTCCATATAATACAAATTGTTTGAACATTTTTGTATATTTCAGAGAGTGTACAAAGGTTAAATGATGATGGTCTACACCATAGATCTAAGCGGGCACTGTCACCTAGCCGGAAAATCGAGATTAAAAACATGTCCCCAAATGACAGACTATCATGTCCCCCAGGGCAAGTAAGTCACGGAGAGACAGACAGACGGACGAAGACCTAACGTCATTTCAAGCTTACAAGGAGAAGACTCATACACGTATATATAAAGGTCTATGTACCACATTAGATTTTTACAATGGCATATGCATAAAGGTAAAGAGGGTTTTCTAAAAAGACGACAGCAACATGGAGACCGGATGTCTATTTTTAAGTAGACGGTCCATTTCTGCATAATGATCCCACCCAGAGAATAAAAATAAATTTCACTCTGGCATTTAATGAAGTGATTTATATTGACTGTAAATGTCTCTTTCACTCAAATTATAATCAAAAATCGGTTTTCTAGCGCATATACCCACGTCCTCGTAAAATTATGGTCCTTGTAAAACTGAATTGCAGTATAATAAACTGACACACAATTGCAGTCGGGGAATGGAGGATGGGACGGCTTGTATTTACTGTAGATAACCTAGACGGTATAACGACATTTCCTTTGTACTTGTAAAATAATGTGTTGTAGTAATTCAGGTCGGCAGAGATCTGAACGAAGTATTGCTGACAAGCCCCAAAAATATTACACAATGCACATGTGCAAACCTACATGTTATCATCAATTTTATGCTTTGTTTCTTTCTTCTTTGTTCTGAAAAAAAAATACGGTGAAGTTTTGGATGTGCTAAGCCTCAATATGTTTGAAAGATTTCTTTTCTAGTTGAATGAAGTCTTCAAAATTTCGCTTGAGATTCGATCCACATATAATTATGAATGAAGAAATATTAAATTTAAAACAGTCCTTCCAATCAGTATCGGTTCCCAGATGAAGAAACACTTGAACTGAGTGGTTCTAACTCTGCCACTGAGGTCAATTGTACTTCTCTTACTCTTTGATTGAAGTGTCGAAATAGGGATAAAGATAAGATAAGCCATACTGCATTTTGTTGGTGAAATTTACAGCATTCTAAATCCATTGGTGTTATTGTATATCTACATTCACGTTTAAAAAAAATATGACTACACTGGCGGATTTAGAGGGGGGGGGGGGCCTAGGGGGATTGCCCTTTGCTGTGGCCGTGGGCCCCTGCCCCAAACTGGTCACCCCCCCTTTTTTCAAGATTCCTGGATCCGCCACTGGACTATAATTAGGTTTCTACATTATTACTGGACACACCAGTATCTGATTCGAAAACAAAATTAAAATTTTCCCGTTAAAGATATGCAAGATCAGGAGGCAGTGAATATAGCATACAAAACAATGTCAACACTATACGTTTAAAACAGTCTTCTGAACAATAAATTTCTGCGTGATCTATTCTGAGCTTGACAAATTTATACAATTTAAAGCCGTTCTTCTTACTTAATCTATGCAGTAAATTATGATATCTTCAAACGATCAGAATTGTAAAATTTATGTATTACCTGAAGAAAGTAATAAACTGTTGAACTCAACTACATATTACATTTTGATGTATTTTAAGGATTCAAACGACCCTTGACAATTTAACTGTAGTTGTAATATCATCTTGTGCATCATTCAATCTTTTGAAAAATGCATTGCCCATAGAAAGTATAAAAAAGGTCAAGTATTTAAAAAGAATTAAGTATGTATACTGGATACATCACTATAAAGTTGTTTTTTTTTTTTTATAATAAGCAAAATATTCATAAGCAGTTTCACATTTTCGGTAAAGAGCTCAGATCTTGTAAGATAAGCTAGTTTACAACAAGCCGATAGCAACTCATAAAAACAAAAGGTTATAGTGATTGGTTTTTATAATCATGTTTTTCAGACTGCCCCTCCTACACGAGTAAACACCACGGAGAGACTGGAAAACCTGAGGGCTGAAATGTTAACGGCAGGAGTCGACGCCTATATAATCCCCTCTGAGGATGCCCATCAGGTATAACGACGCAAAGATTATCTAAGTTACTTTTCATGCATCCGAATATCACCTATTTTTACTGTAGTAAAAAAAGAACTTTAAGTAAATTAAAATGAAGAAATCTAACCCAAAAATTAAAAGAAGAGTAAATACTTTATTCAGATATCACAAGTGAAATGAAAAGTGATTACGATGTACTGTATTTAATACAAGAATATACATTTTTGTCATAAAGATATCAATCAAAATCTACATTTTTTAAAAACATGTAATTGTATATCTAAATTATGAAAGAATCTGTCTTTTTCTCTTTTGTAAATTTAATAGTAAATTCATTTGAGTGCAATGAAAACCATCAACAAGTGTGTGTTCCATGGATGTTATCTCCGTTTTTCAAAGCCTAATTAATTATCTTAAGGTGAAAACATTTGCACCCTTTACAGCACTGCTGTAATAATTTCAGAGCGAGTATCCATCAGATTACGACCTAAGAAGAGAATTTATCTCGGGCTTGTCAGGATCCGCCGGTAGGATACATTTCACATAGATTCATATGTAGAGCTGATGCTATAAAAACACTGCATATAGACAACAGTGTACTATATTTCCTTATCTTAGCTCATTCCTGTAGTAAATATAACATATTAACAAAAATCTGGCCTAAGATTCAATGAAAATTAAAAGTTGATAGCTAGAGTCGAAGTGTAAATGCGTAAATTAGGATTTCCGCAATCCAGACTTTCTATTGACAGTTTTGTATAGTATAACTCCTTTAAATATATGAAAATATATATTACAATGAATACTTTTAACAGGGAGAAGAAAACATCACTTCATTTCTAATTTTAAAACAATTTATTTCCGAAAGGATTAGCAATCGTGACCAGGACACAAGCGGCCCTGTGGACGGACGGTCGGTATTTTTTACAGGCGGAAGATGAGCTTGATTGTAACTGGATATTGATGAAAAGTGGTTAGTAATTGCTAGTATTAATTACTCGTGCATCATTCCAAGTAGTTTTACCGTATGGGGGTAAATTTTCGCTTACATTCGCGCCTGGATAAAATGATTTTAAAATAGTGAATAATTTATATGTAAGAATATCTTTATGTACATATTAATTAAGGATATAAGTTATATAAATTTGCTGGAATCTATGTGACAGAGGAAAAGTAATCGAAATTATATTATTGCAAATTTGCAATACTTAAAACTTAAGAAGACTTTCTAACAAAGCTCTACTTTTCAGGTGAGCCTGGTGTGCCTTCTTCCACTGAATGGCTTATATCGGTTTTAGGAACAAATGCCAAGGTTGGAGCCTACCCTTTCCTTATAAACAGTGGTATGTAACAGCTTCCCGTCTGACAGAGAACTTTATAGATCTTGAGAATTTTTATAAATCTAGAAAGGACTTAAAAAAAAATCAACACTTCCCTAAATTTTGCACTGAGAATTTAATATAAATCACAGGTAGTTATGAGAGATATGAAAAAGCTTTGTCCCAAAGAAACATAACCATGACAACCACGGCAGAAGACTTAGTCGGTAAAATCTGGACCATGGGTCGTCCTGAGGAACCCAATTCACCAATCAACGCTCTTCCTTTAAAATTCGCAGGTATGTCCTGTCCACACAACAAATGTCATGGTTGAACTTGGATTGTTTTTAATGAAATAGATGTATAACTTTTATCATAAACAATATGTTAATTTTAACATATTTTCATGCAGTTATCACTGTATAAATACATGTTTATAATCCAGTTTCTGCTTATAATTTAGATCTGAGGAAAAAGAGCTATAGATGTAAATCATTGTGATGTTTCACTTATCCGTCTACTAAGTGCACATAACTAACATCCATTTTCATTGCATGGAGACTACAAATTTTACAAGGACAATCAATCAATTTGTATTTTAGGTCGAAGTTGGCAGGATAAATTGGCAGATATGCACAAGGCCATGACAGAAAAGGATGTAGACGCCATGGTGGTCACGGGACTGGATGAAACGGCATGTGAGTTTATCAAGCGATATTTTAATGATACAAACTACAAGAAATATTAATCAAAGTTAAATCGCTGGAACTTTTCCGAGATCATGATTTCAGTCTTTTTGTTCAAATTTTAGTGGCATCACAGTAATTTATACTTCATACACTCGTATAATATTTTACACTCTGTTTTACAAATGACAAAAAAGATAAACAGGGGAACTTTAATATAAACATACAACACACGATGTTGTAAAAAAGTTTGTACGTTTGACTTCAAACCTTGTTAGAATTTTTTTTTAAAGTAGGATATTGGCTATAATTGTATATATTGACAATGTATATAAAACTAAAACCCCGCAACACATGAAATTATACCTATGTTTAAAAATAGCATGCCATATATAAATATTGCAGTGAAAAATGAAAACTGCCAACCACAACACGCACATTTCTTTTAGTTATATCTTATTTCAGCTGTAACAAATTATTATTTGAAACCGAAATTCTCCACCGACAGACTTGACACAAAGTTAATCACAATTATGTTTCTTATTTAATTTCTTCATCATCTTTTGACAACCATGCGCCACAAAAATGAAGATATTTGTTGTATGAAAAATTTCTGTTTTCCATTAGAAACTAATTTCTTTCAGGGTTGCTGAATTTACGAGCTGCCGACATTGCATACAATCCCTTTTTCCTCTCTTACATAATCGTGGATAAAAAAATGAATGAAACAACGTAAGTTTTCAACACTCAAAAATGTCAGTCCTTGAATGCTATCCATTTTTCTGGTACTTGAATGTGTTTAGCTAATTATAAAGCAAGCCGATACGTCACTATAAATGATGAACTTCATTATTTTATGTATCTGTCGTTTGACAGGTTGTATGAATTATGGCACATGGCGTTTTCTGTCGGTCTGTATGATACATTTATCGTGTCCTGGTCTAACACATTGTAAGACTTATTATCCTCCTAGTACGTTAGAGTAGTTAAAGGGGAAAGGGGAGGGGGTGTCACAACTCAAGAAATAATTACCTTATTTAGGAATTATGTGGCTTCTCATACAGAAATAGTTTCTGGAACTTATCTTGCATCCTGGGATGAAGGTTCATCGATCTTTATAAATTGAAGTATATTTTTTTTGTCTCGGGAAGGGGTTGAGGATGGGTCGCGCACCTTAGACAGTGAGGATTGTCACCATAACCTCGTTTTTTGATTTCTTCATATGTTTGTATCATATCTTGTACAATATGATGCTTGGGATTATCTCATGGGGGGCATGATGCATTATATTTTTGTTGACACAGAGACTTTTTTTTTAATAGAGGAAGTGTCCATAGTAAAGTCCAATATTTTGTGCTCTTTCGATACAATACAGTATCTAAAGAAAGTTAAAAAAAGCTTAATGATCCCAAGCCTTTTCCAGATCTAATGAGGGAAAAACTGTATAATGTAGTTTGATTTTAGAATATTTTTAGCAAAACATTACAAGAACACAGACTGACCTATTTGATATAGAATATATTTTGAATATATGTGGTTTGCAATGTATCGAGTTTTCTGGAATTTCTGAGTCACAATATCCAACAATTTGTCGGTACTCCCATGGGTACCTAATTGTATCCCTTTATTAGCCTACATGTTTTTCTATTCTTAAGAAGCAGAATGTATTCTAAAACTTGTACATGTACACGAAGAAGTGTCGTGCTATGTCTTTCAAGTCTTCATTTAGATATGAGGATGAGTTTGACCAATTAACATGTTGATTTTATTTTTTTCCACTGAATTCGAAATAAATTTCACAACATAATCTGACATGTCTGTTTCATATTTGGATATTTTACTAGATATAGACATTGATGACAAAATAACATCTAAACTAAATGACAAACGGAATAACAACAACAGCTACTGAGATACAAGGTATCCACAATATCGTTTAAATTCAAAATTTCGCAAATTGTTTGGTCGTAACACTGTCCTTGTTTGCATATACAACTTGTTTCTGGGTCGAATTTTGACTTAAATATTTCATACAAATTGTACGATGGCCGGTTGCAGCCATCAAATAACAAGTTTGAGTAATTCTATTATGTATGAAAAAAATGATTGACTAAAGTATAGTATTACCAGTATCATTTTGTACATGTACAGTTTTATCGAAGACAAAATGGATGTACTTGTGATATACAAATCTTACGACAAGTCACATTTGAAACTCCTAACCTTAATTTGGGACATAACCGGCAAAGGGTACAAAATGATACTGGTATTACTATTTTGTCATTTAATTTTCCGTACAAAATAAAGTTACTCTAACATTTAATTGGATGGCTCATATCAGACATTGTAAAATAGTTAGGCCATTGTTATCATATTACTGATTTGTGTAAGGATTTACTCCGTTTATCTCAGTCGACAAGGAATGTTTACTTATCCATGACATCTGATCCCACCCCTTTGGATTCCAGGGGTCTTTTTTTACCCTGCCTTTGATTATGACATTTTCTTATTGGAGTTTGAAATTGAAACTAAAAAATCGACATCAAATAATGATGTAAAATTTAAAAATAAAATATATTAACCGACTTGTTTTAATATTCCTATGAAGCAGAGTTTATTCAAAAACTTCTACATGAGAAGAAAACACTGTGGCCTTCAACTCGACAATCAGATATATCGACGATGTTTTATTAAGTAACAACAGTTATTTCCATTCTGAATCATATGTCGACTCTATATAACCCACTGAACTAAAAATAGAAAAAAAATAGAAAAAATAGAGTCATATTTGGATGTTTTTACTGATTATAGACGATAAGGGTCAACAACTAACTAAATTGTTTGACAAACGAGATGATTTCAGCTTTTTCATCGTTAACATCGTGATCGAGTACGATCAATTTTTAAACCGAGGCAAGCTACTAAGTCAGCATATCGTAAATTCTATGGTCGTTATAATGACCTTGTTAACAAATATAACCTATCACTGAGTCGTATTTTGGCTAACGTAACCAATTGTTAGCCCTTTGCTTTTATACTTAATTTTGCTACGGAATGTTCCGTCTATACGTGATCAATACATAGGACTCACGGTGGGTGATCGGTCCACAGGGGATGCTTACTCCTAAGCACCTGGTCCCACTTCTGGAATTTCCGAGGGTCTGTGTTTTATGCCGTTTTCACAGATTTGTATTGTTTGTAGATTTTTTAAGATCGACCACTGTTCGTTATCTTCACCTTTTTCATATTCCTCCAACCGTAATCATAAAGAAGTCCATCCATGTATGAACAATTTTTTATGTAAAATTACATTGTACTTGTTCATGTTTCTATGCAATAATTAAGTTCCCAGAAATGAATATTCTTTCTCATCTGATGCATCTGTGTATGAATTATAATCATAGTCTTTGAATGAGTAAAATTTGTCAATTTTTTGTATGCAACACGTGTATGTAAACATATCCTGTTATTGGAATGCATGCCATTGAATATAATCTTCCATTAATTTTGCTTGAATTTAGCATCAAATCAAAAAAAAAAAAAATTGAAAAAAAGAACATTGTCTTGATTTTATAGATTATACATAAAGAATCATACTGCAAAACTAACTCAGAATCCCACGGATGAGCAAAGCACAGAGAAACTACATGAGCATCTAAACACGGGGACGAGTGGGAGTTGTTCTGGTAGAACAGGGTACTGTGTACAGGTAGGACCTAATACAGTGTAGTACTGAAGATGTAAAATGATAGTACTGATGTTGGACCAGGTAAAGTCACAGGTGCTTGCAATTGTAGAGTGAACCCCCTTTGCATACATTTATATATATCCCGACCCCAGAGATTTTTCATTTTTTTCCTTAAAAAAAATTATGAATAGAACCAGGCACCGTGTAATGAGTGCATTAGATACAGTGTAAAAGGGGGGCTGAATATATTGTAAAACTAGGGCTAAATTATACTGTGTAATCAGTATCATGCACAGATCCAAGATTTTTTTCCAGGGGGAGTGGGTGTGCACCCAATCTAAAATTTTGGGAAAAAGAAAACTTGTCCAAATTCTGAAAATCTACTTGTGGTTGAGGTGGACAAATCACTTTCCTTCATATATTAGACACTCCTGACCATTTTACCAGAGTTCTTGTTTTTCAAGGGAGGGGGGGGGGGTCCAAGATCATAGTTTGGTTACTTTGCTATATAGATTTAATAACTAGGGACCGGTCACGGTAGCTTAGTGGTAGGGCACTCGCTTCGTGATCAGGAGGCCCGTGTTTCGATTCTCGTTCGCCTCGCCGCGTCAAACCTAGGACGTAAACATAGGTAGTGACTGTTCCCTCGCCAAGCGCCCAGCACTAGAAGTAAAGTGATGGGCCTTTCGGTTGAGACCTTAAAACCAAGGTCCCGTGTTACAGTAGGCGTTGGCACGATAAAGAACCCGCTTGATAAAGAACCCTCACTGCTCAGTGTCCTTGAGTGCCGAGTATAGGTCTAAATTTGAAGCCCTTCACCGGCATACGGTGACGTCTCTATATGAGTGAAAAATTCTCGAATGGGACGTTAAACAATATACAATCAATTAACAATAACTAGGAAAATCCCAGCCCCGACCCCTATCTAAATCCGCGAAAGGGTATGACCATATAGTGTGTTTAAGTAGGACCAGATTATGTATTTTCGATATTCTCAGATAATGTGTTAAAGTAAAAAAGATGAGGTAGGATGGGATACTCTGAAAATACTGTATTGAGATTTAGATTGCAAAAAAGGACACTATGTTAAGGTAGGACAGGGTTTTTACAGGTAGAACATGTATACTTAAAAGGTATTACCAGATAGTACAGGAATAAATATTGTGTAAAGTAGAACCAGTAAGTGTTTTATGGTAGAACTATATTTGTAAAAACAGGGCATATACTGTGGGAATATATTATTGAATACATGTATTTTGTAAGGGTATGACAAGCTAGTATTTTTGTGTTTACCCGATCATGACAAGTAGCAAACGGTTAGTGTGACCGGTCGACATGGGATGCTTACTCCTCCGTGGTACCTCATTCCACCTTTTCAGAGGTGCGTGTTGGTTCTGGTCATAATTTGTTCTGTTTAAGTGGACATATGAGAATTATCACTGTTCTTTATCTTTAAATTTCATTAGATAAAATTGTCGTGGATGTAAATTAAAATATTATATTAACTTTAGGTATATGAGTATAGTTCAACAGCAGTGGAATCTAAGGTGCAGACTGTAGCCTCTAACAGTGGCATTGTGCTGGTGTCCTTTTCATGTAATTATGCCTTGTATTCCAAAATACCAGAGGTAACTTACTAGTATTCTTTGTTTATAATGTTTTAATAATTTTTTTTTTTAAAGTTTTGGAATAAAGATAAAGTGCAATTCATTGATGTTTATCTTTCCAAGGTTTAATTTATCGTAAAAAGATGAATGGAATTAATGTTTCTTGATTTCTAGGCGAAGCGGCTACAGGAAAACACGCCAGCAGCTCTACAAAAGTCACAGAAGAATGATGTTGAAAGAAATGGGATGAGAAATTCTCATGTAATATATTAAGTTTAACTTTTTGATATTAACCAAGTTTCTTTCTTTAAAATAATGCATATCATTGTTTATAGTATATAAGTTTCTTTCTTTAAAATAATGCATATCATTGTTTATAGTATATAAAAAATCTTGTATAATATATCAACCAAAGTACCGTATTAGTTTTTGTTAGAGAACTAGTTTGTTTTAAAAGAAATAAGATATTTGTAATTTTTACAACTATCTCAATCATGTTAAATACATTTAAGAAGCAAATAAAGGCACAATAATGATTTTTATAAAAACACAAAAGAAAAAAATTGTTAAAATCAATAAAGATTAATTATGCAATTTTTATCAACGCATAGCATAAAACATTCAAATTCTTCGTGTTTGATTATTTTCTTTTGCTTATGTTCCAGCTTCTTGCATGTTTTTGTTAGATATTGTGTAAGGATGTTCCAACTATACATTAGGAACCTTGCTCTTTTTTGTTTGCATTTTGGGTAAATTTTTGGATGAATCTTTAGCACTTGTTGAATTGTGGGGGAAACAATTAGTATGAAAACGTCAGTCAGCAAATGACTTAATGATAGCTTGTATTACAATTAAAGTACACTATGCTTGGAACCATTACTCTACTACATTTAAGGAGATAAGAAAATCTCAACAAATTTGCTCTTCTTTGTTTATATATAATTACAATTTTTTATTTTCCTTAGTTTAACATTATTCTTTTTCTTTCTTATATACAGAAGCGGGATGCAGTGGCACTAATTACTTTTATGACAAAATTGGAGAAAGAGGTAATAATAAAAATAATTCAGGAGGCTTCATCATATTTCAAATTTTGAAGGTGAAAATCAATATTAATGTACATGCATCTATTAAACAGTAATTTCAGAATACTAAAACATACCTTTCCAGGTGAAAGCAGGAAAGAGATGGACAGAAGTGTCAGCTGCCAGAGATCTGAAAACATACAGAGAGTAAGGGTCTCTCAAAGACTTAAAAATGTGTATTTTGAAAATGTAGAATAAGTGAAAAATAAGAAAACTTAGAGGGTAGGGAAATTAAAAAAATGAGTAGTTAATGTTAAGAACACATAGTGCATTGATTTTTGAGGAGTGTAGAGTAAGTGAATTTTAAAAGGATTTCAAGAACACACAGGGAATGTGAATTTTGAGAACATTCAGATAATAAGGACTTTCAAAACCAAACATTTACTCCTGTTGAAAATTTGTGAAATATGATTTTCTTGTATCAAGGAATTAACATATTAAATAAATATAATTGTATACTGGTTTGAATTTTTGGCCTAAAGGAAGGATAAAACAACCTTTAACTTTCAAAAATCATGAGAATGAGATCTAAATTTATGTTCTTTTTAGTGAAATGAAAATTAATTTAGTGTAAAATTTTATTTTTCCATTCAAAGTTTCTCAATAATGTCCTATAAAAAAATAAATTAAGATTAAAAATGCATAATTTATAAAGATGATGGCATAAAAAGAAGAATTTAAACATCATAGAAAGTCTACAATTTTGTAATATTTTAGAGATTTTATATATGCATCATTTATAACCAGAATAAGGCCAAAAATATATACATGTACCAATCCATGCATCCAATTTTTTGGTTTATAAACTGTTTGCTTAAATGAAAATAAGAAAATAACTTTTACATACATTTTGGTATCTTTTTTCGTCTGTGCCATTAAAAAAATTAAGATTTATTTCACAGGAAGAAATTATACAACAGAGGTCTCAGTTTTCCATCCATCTCAGCTGTTGGTTCTAATGGAGCAGTTATCCACTACACCCCCGGTAACCTAACCGATCGACAAATCACCACATCCGAAATGTACCTTCTAGACTCAGGTGGACAATATTTGTAAGTGGGCACTGAAATAATGATATGGTAAATAATTGTTAATGTTCTTTCCTTCCCACAAGTATTAAATGCAAAAAGATACCCAATTTTTCGTAGCTGGATATGGAATTTATTTCATGAGTGGGTGAGGATTTTATGATATTCTCCCAAGTGAAATAAACTTTGTGAAGGGAAGAAATAATCTTTCTATATTTATACCCCCCTCTGAAGGAGAGGGGTATACTGTTTTACCCTTGTGTGTCTGTCTGTCTGTCCGTCTGTCTCTCCATCCGTCTGTGTGTCTGTCCGTTACAAATTTTGGTCTCAGTTTTCTCAGCAACTACTCGTCGCAGATATTTGAAATTGTAGCTCACTCTTTGTTTAGGCATGCCATATGTTGGGATTCATTTTTGTACGAATCCGATGTCAACTTCCTGTTTATCCTTGCTTCTCTCCGTATTATACATAACAAAGTTTGGTAGCAGTTTTCTCAGCAACTACTCAACGCAGATACTTGAAATTTTAGCATACTCTTTGTTTAGGCATGCCATATGGTGGGATTCATTTTTGTACAAATCCGATGTCAACTTACTGTTTATCCATATGTCTGTACGTACTATACATAACAAATTTTGGTCGCAGTTTTCTCAGCAACTACACATTGCAGATGCTTGAAATTTTAGCACACTCTTTGTTTAAGCATGCCATATGGTGGGATTCATTTTTGTACGAATCCGATGTCAACGTACTGTTTATCCATGCGTCTGTCCGTACCATATATAACATATTTTGGTCGCAGTTTTCTCAGCAACTACTCATCACAGATGCTTGAAATTTTAGCACACTCTTTGTTTAAGCATGCCATATGTTGGGATTCATTTTTGTAAAGATCCAGTGTTCACTTCCTGATTATCACTGTGTCTGTCCATAACTGGACTTGTATATTCACATCAGAGCGGGGGTATTATTAGTGAGCATTGGCTCACAGACTTCTTGTTTTTTACAGGGAAAAATATCACTTTGATATTTCTAACTGTGAAAATATCACTTTGATATTTTTCTCTGTGAAAAATATCACTTTTATTCAATGGATTAATTATGGTACTTCACTCTTGAAAATGTTGCAAATGCATTGGTTGACATTTCAGTAGTTGTTCCTCTGTTGAATAGAAATCACATGGTAAGTTATGGAAGCCTGATTTTATTGTCGATGAATGGATGACTGAAATCTTATTTGATTATTTCTAGATAAATATTTTTCACTTAAAAGCACCTGCATAGGCTCATTGATACTCTTTGTTCTGCATAGGTATATGAGATGTAAAGTACATTAGGAAGTTCTGTGGTATTTGTAATTATATGAGTATTGAATTATATCATATATGAATCATATTCACTACTTGTATAAAACTACTTTTGCTTTATACAATTTATTCATTATCAAATAGAGATGGAACGACAGATGTTACAAGAACTTTTCATTTTGGGACACCTACAGATTTTGAGAAGGTAATCTTTCTTATACTATAATTGTAAGAAACATAATACAAACATAAGGACTTTTTGAAAATGTGACCTCTACAATGTCATATCTGAAATGCATATTAAATATTAAATATTTAGTGAACAAAAGACAGATTTAATCATAGATATTGTTTGGTGTTTTTTAAATTGGACATTTTATAGTAATCATAATCAAATCAAGTTTACAGAGAAGTAATTTTACAGAAATGAAATATGAAGATAACGAACAGTTATCAAACTTAGAACTAATTAAATGTGTATTTGGTAGATAAGTAAGTGCAAAATATTATCCTCAAGAAGATAAAAATTTGGAGAAACTTCTTTTTCGACCATATTCTAGATTCTTCTGAGTGATCTATTTCGTACTTTTGCATATTTTGAGTGAAAATGCGGTACAGATCAGTAAAAATAATTTTTTTTTTAAGGAAACAATTATTATAGTTTATAATTGTATTATATAATAATAATAATAATCAATAGACAATGGATATCTCTGATATATGACATATTCGACGCATTGTCAAACTGAACGACATACTTTTGTGTCGTGTAAAATCTGTTTATATTTGTATGTTTACTAGTAACAATATATTTCATTGAGCAGTGTTCGTTATGAACAGCAAAAAGTCACAGAATTGCACTTACAATTAACTTAATTTTCCATTTCCTCATGAGATTTGAAATTCTGTTCATTGTATTTTCAAAATCGGTTTGACTGTTTCTAAGACATAAAGGCTATTTTTTCGTCAGCGAAATATAGGTAACGATTTGGACAATGTAACAAAAAATATGCTGAAAATGATATATTTAAATATATCATATTTGATACAAAAATCGACATTGCTTATGAACTAAACTTTCCAGGAGAGTTACACACGTGTATTGATGGGTCACGTGGATTTGGCAATGATGACGTTTATCGCCGGCCTTTATGGTATGGTTCAAGGTTTTATATTGTATAACGATTGATTTCTGATTATTGAAAAGATCAGAAATCAAATCGATTACTATAGTAGTCGGGATGTAAAATTGCATATGGTTTGTTAGTTAACAATAAAACACTCAAAAATAATAAATGAAGCTCGAGCCATTCATGCATTTTTCATCTTGATTATATAGTATTTATTTCAGAACTATTGTTAATTATTTATTTTCAATATATTTTCCTATGTTAGGAATGTTACACGCGTGTGTTGATGGGACAAGTTGATCTGGCAAGGTTTAAGTTTGCCAAAACTGACTACGGTCCTTATGGTAAGACTTGGTATAGTGTGTGCAGTAAAACACCTGCTTGAATTCGATTCAGTCTCATTATCTATGCAATATCCTAGAATAGTTCTTGCACGTGTAGAATTAGTGAGTAAAGACTAAGGTGATGTATATAAACCGTGCAGTAATATAAATTATCATTTGCAACACTCTGGATGGTCTGTCACAGCATGCAGAGAACTAACGGAAGTCAGAACTATATGTCATGTACAGTGTAGCGGTTTGAGTTTCATTTGCAACATTTTGGGATGACCTACTGCAAGTACTTCAAGTGAATTGGAATAGGACAAGGCGTATACAATGTATGAATGATTTTCACATTTAGCGGATTTTACAAAAGGCGAATGCATGATGTTAGGAATAGATTAAATGTTATAAAATATACTAACCCATTGCTTGAGGTATTTGGATGTATACAGATATTTCCCGATAGCCACAAGATGTGTATAACATGTATGAAATATTTACTAACTGCATGATGGAGTTTATTTTAGAGTTTATGATAAGGCACTATACTCTTTTTGCACCGTTAGTAAGGAATATAGTTTGTTGTTAATAACTGAGGTGGTTTGATAGAATAGTGTGGTGTGGACTGTGTGATTAACTGATTCATGGTTAAGCATCACATTTGCTTGCGAAATTTTTCAGTTTGAAATTTTCATTAAGACATGTTTTCGGTATGAACTTAATATTACCCTCATAGTTTTGGCTAAATTGTCTCTTTTAAGTAAATGTACAAAGGAGTAAGGTTTCTTTACAGTCTATCCGTATCTAATACAAAAATGTAATCAATATGTGAATAAAATTAAGTACAATGTCAATATATTTCTATATTTAATGTTTATTGAAATTGAAAAAAATGACAGGTCGTGAAATTGATGCCATTGCCCGTCGTCCTTTATGGGAAGTTGGTCTTCAATACAGACATGGTACTGGTCACGGAATAGGGATGTTCTTAAGTGTACATGAAGGTAATTATAAAGCAAAAAAAAAAACTTTGTTAAGCACATAATTATTAAGTAATTATGTCCAAAAAATGTAGAGCAAGAGTAAGCAATGATATTTCCTTGACATTTTCGTAGAATTTGCTCACCTAAGGTCATTCAGTGCTTCATTCTCTTATGCTAGGAGAAAGTGATGTTTTATAATGACTGATGAAATTTCTAAAATATGTTTTTCGTAGAAAAAAACAACATTTAGTTTAAAATACATTGCATTGTGGCAGCTCAAAACAGTCTAATTGTTTAATTATTAACATCTATACGATTCTGTTGCAATTGTTAGACAAGGATGTTTTAATACTTCTTATCTCAAGAGAAAAAATTAATTCAACAATGAATAAATTAACAGCCCCAACCATAAGACTGTGTAAAGATTTTGTTTTGTCGACTTAAGGTCCGGGGCGGATTTCACTATCTCATGCGCCGTTTGAAAGCGACTCACCACTACAAGATGGAAATTTCTTTTCTGATGGTACAATAAAAATTTTCTATTATTGTATTACTTTAAGCAATTAAATACGTACAAGTGCATGTATAATATATCAGATATAAATACGTCAATTCTATTGTTTGTGTTGGAAAACGATGTAAATTTTCATGACTTTATCACGTTTATCCCAAAGAACCAGGTTACTATGAAGATGGAAAGTTTGGTATTAGATTGGAAAATATTTTTATGGTAAAGGAAGTCGATACAAAGGTTCGTAAAACTAATTGTGCAATAATATTTGGATTTTAATAAACTTTGATTTCAAAAACTTGTAAGGAAGATATTTTTTTTCAAATTTAATTGAACATCTTGTATTTTAGTATAAA